CCTTCCTTCCCCCCGCTTCTTACTTACAATGGAGGACGCCTTTGCCGGGTCATGCGTGCAAAGCCTCTTCGAGCCCAAGGCGGACCTCTCCCTCTGTGTGAACAAGTCGATAAAGCTTTTCGTGAAGGAACTCCCCATACCTCCGGCGGATTCGGCAGACGGGACAGACAAGGAAGACAAGGGAGACGCGGAAAACTCAACTGACGCAAAGAACAAGCGAAGAGAAAGCCTGCTAAGCGAAAACCATCTGAACGAAGACCTGCTGAGCGAAAATCTGTCTCTTCTAAACGGGTACGCCTACTTCAACCAAATAGGAAGTAACATAAATCTACTGCACACAGAACTGCATGGAATGAAGAGAGACTTCCTTTTTCAAAGCAAGCAAACAAAAAAAAATATAAAAAAACTCAAGGTGGTGCGGAAAGAAAATAAAATATACCAGAGACTACTGCAAGAAACGAAAAACGATCGAAGGAGGAAAGAGACTTATGAACTGTTATGTACAGAAATTCAAAAATTAGAAGACGTAAATGACCTTACCAAAAAACAGGAGATGGAGAAGAGAGACATTCAGGGCTTGCAGCAGAAAATGAAAGACATTGAAAACACCATTCGGATGAATGATGAGAATATTAAACGAACCATTCGACAGATTAGCGACATCGTCTCGACGAATTTGCAGCCCTGATGGGGGGCCAGCATGCGATTGGTTAGCAGTCGGGAGTGCGTCATCGTTGCGTTTTCGTCTGTGTCGTGGTTGTCTTCTCATCCGTGTCATCTCTGCCATTTGTTCCATTCCCTGCTTTCACTCCTTCTGGGTGATGAAAACGCGCCCCCCTCCTTCTATCGCTGGGGATGTCTCCTCTCTCCAGTGTTTCTCCCCCCCTTTTTCTTTAACCCCTCAAATTCTGAACATGTGTCTTTTCCCCTGCGTGCTTCACCACCTACTCGACTACACTCTTGTGGAGCTCCTTGTACAACTCCAGTTCTCGTTTCTTTTCGTCCAGCACGCTACAAAGGGGATGCAGAACCAGCCGAGAAAACAAAAAGAAAAGGAAAAATGTAAAAATAAAATATGTGAAAAAAAAAGGTAAAAAAATATATATGAAAAAAAACAGCAAAACAACAAAAAAAACATTTTTTTTAATGTGTGTGAATTATAAAAAAATTTCCTTGCATAGAATAGGCACGCGTTGGGGGCGGTCGCGCCACTTACATGGATGCGTAATTCTTGCTGTAGATTTTTAGTTCCACGAGAAGGGCGCATGCCTGTATGAGGAGGAGGGGGGGCGAGGGCCAAATGTAGGGTGGTCGAATTGCACGCTTCGTCAGCTGCACAGGTGGCACATTCACTACCCACTAGAGACAGTCAGGATGATTCTCCCTTCGTTGCCTCTACATCACTGCGTCGCCTCTACCGCACGACTTTTCTTCCGCGCCGAGAAACTTCCTCGTCCACGCGGTTTTCTACCCAACAAGGAGGAACGCATGGCAAGAAAATGGAAAAAAAAAAAATCACTTCTCACCTGTTGCAGGATGGCTAGTTTCTCCCTGAACACGTTTTCGTTATCCGTCTTGATTTTGCTAAACTCGTTTTCCTTCTCTTCCTTCTCCGCAATGACTTCTTTGAGCATTTCCTTTGCCTTGTCCTGGGGGGTGAGGGGTAGCGGAACAAATGGCAGGTTTGTAAATGGGTATTGGGAAATTATCGTTGGGGTGACCTGTTCACCTGGAATGATCTCCTCCACGGACGCACAATCAAACACACACAAACACACACAAACACACAAACTGCAGCATGATATATATGCACGGAACGTCCTATGTAATCAACCCAGCGATGAGCCGCTAACTGAGCCGATAGACATTTTCAAGCGCTTCCATGCGAGCTGTGCAGAAAGGGCGCCTTACAATCTTCTCCTTGGCTTCGTTCAGCATTTTCTGCGGAGGGGGAAAAAAAGGGGAGAATCGATCAATGGGGGTAAACAGGGACACGAAGACGAACACGCCTCGCGGAGCGGTTGGACAATGTGGAAGACGTCCCGAGACGATCGAGGTGGGAATCAGTGGGCAGGCTACGGGTGTCATTTCTTCACGCCGCGCCAGACCACTCCACAACTCTTCATGCCGCCCCAAACCGCTTCCCATCGCTTCGCACCTCGTTCTCCGCGACGATCCGGCTAAACTTGTTCGACGAAACCGTGACGAACTTATCCGTCTCGTCGTTGAGCTTCTTCACGCGGGTCTCCCTATCCTGGATGTCCTCCTTCAAGTCATCGATCTCGTCCTCGAGCAGTTTAATTCTTTTCTCGTAATCATCAATGAGGCGCAGGGAGTTTTTCATCTCCTCCTGGTCCGCCTCAATGAAGGACTTGATATCACTCTTGGTGTCCTTCCAATTCATGTTCAGCATATTGTCCACGGTAAAGGAGTCAATGTTAATGCTGACGTTGTTTATTTTGTTCCATTCAGATGGAGAGATGTTTCTATACAAATTTAAGTTCTGCAGAATTTCAGACAACTTGTCATTTACACTTTTGGCTAGCTTCTTTAAGTCACTGTTCCTGTTATTTAATTTGTCGCTCAAAGTGGGATGTTCATTGTTCAAGCTTTTAATTTCGTTTTTTATTTGTTCAATTTTTTCCTTGTTTTTTTCGATATCTTCATTCATCTGAAGAAACTGTGCCTTGTTGAGTGTTTGTTTTTGCAAAACTTCCTTCACTTTATTAATCTGCTCGATAATCTTTTCCGTCTTTACCTTTTCTTCCTGGTTAGCCTTCTTACACATTTCGATTTCCTTTTCTAGCTTCTTGGTTTCCTCCAAGCTGTTGGTATAGAGGAGTTTTATTTTTTTATTTTCTTCACACAGAACTTTATTTCGCTTAATCAGTTCCTCATTTTCCTTCATGTGATTTTTTATTTCTTCTATTTTTTTTTTTTTTTCAACAATGTCTTCACTTTTTGCACTTACATCATTTTGCAACCTGGCAATCTCTTTGTCCAATTTCGCATTCAGCACATCGTTGGCATTTTTTTCTTCCTTGTTAATGTAGGACTTGTAACTTTGTAGGATAAAATCTTCCATTTTTATTTCTCCATCTTCGTTAAAATCGTATGAACAATTCATATCTTTTTCCTCATTTATATCAGTGAAACATTCAGCTTCGAAGATCAGAAGCTGGCAAAGCCATGCTAAGGCAGACAAGTGCGTATTATACTGCAAGCCGGTGGTCGGGGCCACCAGCGTGGATTTCGAAATGGTATATGGATACCCAATATCTTTGTAAAAGCTCAAAACCACTTCTCCATAGTTGTCCTTATTCACTTCGATTTGCGGGTCGACATGCTTAAAGATAAAATTCCATATGTTTATCAGATCGGTCATGCTTGGATTTTTAAACAAATTGGGGGATATACTCCCGCTGTAATTTTTCCACCCCAAGTATCGTATCAGCGTTTTCACATTTTCCTTCTTGTCAGTTTTGTCTACCTTCTTTACATACACGGACGCGCTGGACTTGTAAAATGACAGCGCGTTCAGCGAGGTCCTCGACTTTGATTTCTTGTCCCCCGAAATGTATATGCTGCTGTTCAGGTTAGTGTTGTTGTTGAACACGGACAGTGTGGAGTTGAATTTGTTGTACACCGAGTGGTTGTTCATTTTGTCAAGTGGGTGGGTAGGTGGCTGAACTGGATGGAAAGGTGGTTGAAATGGGGGGAGGTGCCGCTGAAAGGATTTTCTCCTTTTTGGAACTCCTTTGGGCCAACTGGGCAGTCGCCGCGATCTACACGGGAGTTAACATGGGAGTCAACACGCGCAAATGGAGCTTCACCGTGAATACTTGCATGTGCACATTGGGCAGCGGAAAATCTGCCTTTTGGTTCACTGTGCAAAATGGCATGTGGCCAATTAAAAAGAGAGAAATAAAGATGAAATAAAGATGAAATAAAAATGAATAAAAATGAAATAAAAATGAGATAAAAATGAAATACAAATGAAAGAAAAATGAATAAAAATTAAATAAAAATGAATAAATGTTTAAAAATAGCCTGCACGGACAGGTGAATAGGCGAAAAAATACCTGAACGGTCAGGCGAATTGACGAAAAAATGTGCCTGCACAGACGGTGAATTAGCTAAAAAAGTCTCCGAGTGGGAAGAATATAATGGCGATTTTTCCTCCGCTAATCCTCCGAATTTGCACAATATGTGGAAAATATTTTTTTAAATTGTTCCTCCTGCGAAAATGCATAAAAAAAAAAAAAGGTAAAACTATGATATGTACAACCTTTGGTGAGCATCTCGAATGGTAAACATTTTTGACGAGCGCCTTTTGAAGAGGAAAATCATTTCCCGAAATGTGTCCTATTTAACCTAAACCTTAGAATATTTGTATGTCACATTTTTTACCCAGACGCGAACGTTGCGCATGGGGATGCATATAGCGAACGCCTGGGGCGCGCGAAGTGAACTGCCCATTTGGTACATTTGTCTTTTTCGCATATGAGGGGGGGAGAAGAGGAAAACACTTTTTGCTATCCATCCAGGAAATTGCCTCAATGGGAATGCAAAAGGGCGACACAGAGAAATAAAAAACATACACCGGTCAAACTTCTAACAATTTGTGAATTAATTTGTAACTAAAAAAGTTAAAATGGTGCCCCCGCGAGGGGGATAAACAAAATCAGGAAGGAATAATGGACAGACAAAAAAAAAAAAAAAATGAAACAGAGCTTAATGCAGAAACATGTGCCCGTAAAGCTACGCTATAACGTTACTAAGGTTCGGACGTGGAAACCTTTTCAACAAAGGGCCCGCACAACAATTCGCGGATTTTTTTTAAAAAAGGAGTTACTTTCACATGTGTTTCCTTCGTTTCGTTCGTTTTGTTCGTTTTAGTAGCAACTTGGACCTTTTGCGCGTTTAAAGCATGCCCATACGTTACACACCGGAGGGAGGGGGGAATAAGCCAAAGGGGCGAAAGCGAATCACCATCATTAAGAGGGGTCACAAAAAATAATGCTTAGCTCGAACGGCGGGTACTCTCAACAAATCATCCATCTCGCGTAAGGACGTCCCGTTTTGATCTACTACTATTGTATAATTACCCCCTCAGCTTTGTGCATACTTTTGGCCATTCCTCTGCGCCTTCAGTTTTCGAATTTCTTCCAGTTCACTTTCCATTTGCTTCTTGGATTCGAAATCGACTAAGCACTTGGGGTCGTTGCGTCCCGCTTTCTGCAACTGTTCATATTTCTTCACCTTATTTATTTGCTTCTTCACCGAGGTGTCTTTCCTGTCTTGTTTGTTGCGCTTTTCCACGCCGTCATTTTTGGCACTGTACAGTTTGTCCACATAACTCAGCTACATAGTGGGCGGAATAAAGAGAGAGCGAAATGATGTTAGGTGAGGCAACTTGCGAGGAGAATGAAAAAGACAAATGGGTACGCAATGGGGCTGCACAACTGAGGGACTATCCATGTGTATTGTTTTCTTTTTTTCAACTTATGGAGAAAATTTTTTTAGCGGAGATTGGCCATGCCCGCGTTGGGGTGAAGTATGCATGCTGGGAAGATCACCATGTTTCCATCTTGGCCCCTCTTTGCAGGTTACCTTTTTCCTCCCTAATTGATTCTTTTTATTTTGCTTTACATTTTGGAGGTACGAGTTAACAATTCCGTTTAGCTGATCGATGCTGTTTTCGCTTTTTTTATTATCTTTACTTTCGTTGAATAATTTGTCCTTGCCTAGTTCAATGACTTTTTCTTTTTTCCCGAATAATGTACTTTCAGTTAGCCAGCCATAGGACATTTTTTTTTTTCTCGTTAGGCAATTTTCCACACGAATAACCCAAAAGAAGCAGGGGGATGGGGGGCACAGCTCCCATAAATGTGCTTTGGCAAAATCGTGTAAATGTTTCACCCGTAGTGGGACGAACTGTACTTGTGGTGTACAATCAGATGAAAAGAAAACTGCGCAAGCGCGTAGTTCTTTAAATACCTATATATGTATATACGAATGGGTGTTTTAAGTGGGAAGAAAACGCATGATTTATCTTGTTCATAGCGAGATGGCTCACTTTTTTACGGCAAATTTCTTTTTTTTTCCCATTTTGGCAAAACGATTTACCTTAACAAGTCATCAGAAAAATAAAGCTAACTGGCAAAAAAAAAAATAGCTAAAATTGCAAAAAAAAAAAAATAGCTAAAATGGCAAAAAAAAAAAACTATATGAATAGAGAGATTTAAATCGAGGGACACGTTTGCCAATTTGTGCCAATGTAAATATAACGAGTTGACCACGTTGGGTAATGAAAGATAACTTTGTCACACAAATTCGAACGAATGAATACGTTTTGCTGCCAAAATGAACATGTTATTTTTTTCAACATGCTGTTTACACAAAAAAAAAGGGAAAAAATAGGGGGTAATCAAAGGCAGGTTGGATCCATATTAGGGTGTGGGATGGGTTGGACAAACGGGCTCCGCCTTAATGAAGCTGCCACAAAGCCCATCGCTGGCGATTATATCTTGGTTCTCTGAAAGGGTGGCCGAAAGGAGGGGGAGGGCGTTTACAATCGTGGAAGCGCATAATAGTAGGCACACTCGTGCAGGCGCAAAGCGTTCGGCACGATTGCGCAATCTCTTGTGGCGAAAAAGATGTACCTATTATGTTAAGTTCCCCCGAGCTTAGGCTGTTCTTTATGACATTCTGAAAGGGAGAAAGAAAAAAATGGGGGAAAACGTGTCCCCATGAGAAAGTGACGCAGAAGATAATATATATATATAAATGCGCGAAGGCGAGTTAGCGCGCGCGACAACGCTTGTCTGCTTATGCAAGGGGGGAGGAATATGGGACGGGCTCCTATTCCCTGGTTTAGTTTCTCCCCTGTTGATTTTCTTCCCGGTTTATTATCTTCCCGGTTTATTATCTTCCCGGTTTATTATCTTCCCGGTTTATTATCTTCCCGGTTTATTATCTTCCCGGTTTATTATCTTCCCGGTTGATTCTTCCTCCCCCGCTGTGACACTCCCCACGAGGGGCTCTTCTTACATGTACGATGTTCAGAACCTTCGAAATAATCAGCGGGACATTGCCGCGGTGTCTAACGAGGAAGGAGAGCAGCAGGGCCGCGAACAAATCGCCAGAGCCACACACGTTAAAATCGAATCTAAATATTTTATACTTAAAGACGATTAGCTTTGCTTGGCCGTTTAGGTAGCCAACATATAAGTACAGGTGGTCTTTATCGAAGGGGTACTGAACAGAGGTTACGACGATTAATTTGACTCCTCTGTTTAGTAAAAAACGAACACATGTAGTTACGTCGTTCTCATTCTTTATTTTCTTGTCACATAGTAACTCTAACTCGAACTGATTCGGCGTCATGATATCGACAAAGGGAATGCACTTTTTGTACGCAAGGACGACATCCTTATCGACGTATATCCTGCCGTTGTCTCCCATTACTGGGTCGCAAATCCAGAGGAAATCTACACTGAGTAGTTTTCCGAAGGAAGAATCACCTGCACAGGAGTTACCGCTATGCCATTCAGCAGCATCGCCGTCGGTTTTTTCTTCTTCTATTGCCAGTGGTGCCTCCACTTGAGGATCCATCTGCGTGGCCCTTTTTTCATTGTGCTCATTTTTTAGCTCCCAGATGTGGCTCATCACCGCGTCGACGCACTCCTTCGTTTTTATATAGCCCGTCAGGAAGTACACGCCATTTCCGTGATTGCCATTGCTGTGGTTGCCATTTCCGTGGTTACCACCGCCCGTGGTCGCTAGGTCCTCCTTCAGTGCGCCCAAAATGGTTTGCATCTCCTCGTGCTTCATCTCAACCCCCACGTGCTTGTACTTGGAGTAGTACTGAACCGTGTTGAAGATTTTGGGGTCGTGCCCCCTCCTCCTCAACACGAAGGAAGCGATGGTGTTTCCGCAGAACCCATCAAGGACATGGGACTGAATGGAAATGATATGTTCCCTATTCGTGCTGGGGTTCATGGTGCAAGGGGTGGAAAGGAGAGCGGTGAGGAAGAGTGGGAGAAAGAAAGCGTCCGCGAAACTCCTTTTTGCATAGGTTGGCTGGGGGAGAAGTTCCCCTCTTTGTGGTGTTCTTCGGAATGTTCTATGCGGTAGGCCTAGAAGCGAAGTGCCTACCCATTGGGGGAACCTGGAAATGAAGTGAAGGTGTAGTGAATTGCCACAAAGAGACGCTAAAAGATGCAAAATAGGCTGAAAGATGCCGTAAAACGCAGCAAAAACGTAGTAAAAACGCCGCAAAAATGAGGTCGAAATGGCAGAACAAAAAATAAGCACTATCGCGATGAGCAGTACGCTGCGGCGCGTGTTGCATTTAGTTGCATCTTGTCGCAATCCTCTCAAACCCGATTTTTTCTAATTTGGAGTGGTGCCGAACGAGCGCCAAGGACAGGTCAAATCATCACGCGCTCTCGAACAAATGGCGACATAATTTGTGTTCGGCCCCTATAGATGCAACACAGTCATCACACGTGCGATCCGCTTTTGCGTGAAGGACGCGCATACAAAAAGAAACAAACAAAGGAAGCATGTAAAGGTTGCTAATTCGCATAAACATGGAACATCCTGTAGAGGGAAACTCTCACGTAGGTGCTCACAAACGTGAATGATGTTTCTCCATTTTGGCTGCTAAAACTACGCGGAGAGGTAGCCTCATCTTCGAATAATGCCACGGGAAAGAAGCAGAAAAAATGAAAATGATAATCCTTCCATGGTAGCTACACGGAGAAAGTCTTGAGCATTTCTACGCACTAAAAAAAATAAAAGGAGGATCGTCTTAAAAGGATGCTTTTACGACCTTACACAGATGTACCTAAGAGCGTGGAACGTACGTTGTTACCCTCTTTGGAAAAAAAATATAATAATTAGCGGTAAGTGTTCCCAAAAAAGGAACCCTTAGCCGCCTAACCGAGCACATTGCACTAATGGAAGGGAAAATTACGTACCCAGGTGCACACAAATGAGGAGAGAGGAAAAAGAAAGAGGCAAGGCCCCCAAGTTCGATCTCCTCTCCTATGATTTAAGGAAGCTTCCTTGTGTGAATTTTTTTTTTTTTTTTGTGGCCTTCCAGGGAAAACAACCCCCTGCTGTGTCTTTTGGCGCACGTAACAGAGTTACCACCTTCTGCGACTTCTTCACCGCTAAAGCGTTGGCGACAGAGGGAAGAGAAAAGCCCCTTTTCCAGCAACAGCACAGAAGTGAAAGAAAAATCCCCCCTCATGTGGCCCACATTCCATTGATTGTGATTGCACAGTTTAGAGAATGGGGAAAATATGCCTAGGAGGGGTAATGAAGGGGGCAGAAAAAATTGCAAACTCAAGTTTTCCACTTTTTCACGCTATCCCTCCTCGGCACGTTCATCCGTCTTGAGCTTGGGGAGCATCTTCACTTGGTGTGACTTCTCTCTGTCTGCTTAAAAGTGCTAGCAGTAGTAGTAGTACTGCTACGACTACCGGCGATCTTCCCTACTGTGCGGCCCCTTTGGGAAGAACCCCCCAACGATGTGATTGACCTGAACGGGTGGTCATCCCGTTGGAACAGAATAAAGGGGGAGGAAGTTAGCTGCGCATTCCCCCAAACCCCCCTCATAGTTTTTCCTGTCACCTTGAGGGTGCGACTCTCCCAGTGGAAATCCTCCTCCGTGGGAACAATCCTCCGTGGGAACCATCCTCCGTGGGAACCATCCTCCGTGGGAAGAGAATTTTCCCCTCAAAGGGACCAACCGGCTGCGTATATCGTGAGGTTCGCAGTCGCCCTCCCCCATGGAGGTCACCCGTCGCGTGAGACATTCACTACAGAGTTCACCACGGAGGCAGTGGCATGATGGAGCCCCTCCTCGGTGACGAATTTGAGCAGCGATGTGACATCTTACTTAGGAAGACGGATATGAAAAATGTAATCATCCCGAGAAGAGAAAGCGGAACAAGCGTCGACATAAACTTTGAAGAAGATGGGGAGAAAATTGAACGGAGATTTAAACGGGTTAGAATAAGGAAGCATGGGGGCCTATCAATGTGCTGCTTCTCAGTAGGAAGGACAGCAACCAGGTTGGGGAAATTCCTTCCCGGTGATACGCTCAGAAAGTTGAGGAACCAAAGTAGCATCGCGGTAAAGATGAACAATAAAATGAACCATTCCTTTGGCAGGAATTACCATTTTATGCAAAATGATAAGAAGACAGCCCCTCTGGGTGACCCCTCCACATCAGCGGATAGAAATCTGTCCCAATTTGACGACTCCCAAAAGAGGGGGAAGAAAAAATCTACCCCGTCTAAGGCTCTCCATGATGAGCATTTGGAAGACAAAGCCGCGAATCCCCAGAAGGGAAAAAAACAAAAGTGGAGACATGACTCCCCCAAAGGGGGCAGACCATCCACGATCACTGATTGGCTAACCAGTCAGGTGCGAAACTATGCCAATTGTACGTACCTCTTGGGGAGGAAAAAATGTTACATGTGTTTTATGGCCACCCAGGGGATACAAACGAGGGAAGAAGCGAATGAAGCGAAGGAGATTCCCGCCATGGGTGTCTCCATAAATGAGTGGAAAAAAGGAAGAAGTTGGGGGGAAGACACAAACAAATCATTCACCTTCAGTTACGGATTTTACACCAAGAAGGGAAAGTACCATAACAATGAGGACACATGTTCGCATGCCTCATTCAGTTCTTATGAAATACAAAAGGGGGTGGAGAAACTCATCCATCGCATGGGAAGCAGCGGAAGGAAATTTAATCTCTTCCATGAGGTGTTAAAAAGGTTTCACCTACGTTCGTCGATTCTTCGCCATAGGGATCGCTCTGCTCGGGAGGCTGAGCTCGGTGGAGATAGAAATGAATTGAATCCTCCCGCGAAACGTTCAAATGGAGGCACTTGTAAGGTCTACTTAAAACCCGTGCTGCCCGTGTATCACCTGGAGGAGGGGAGCCCACCGAATGTCCCTCACCACCACGACATGATCTGCAGGTATTTTTACGAAAAGAAGAGCGACGATCACAGAGAGGGGGAAAGCCACCAAAAGAAGAGGACCAGACGCACACAAAGGAGAGAAAAAAGAAACGTGCCCAAAGACACACATGATGTCGAAGAAGGGACCAAAAAACTACAGTTAAAATGTTTAACCCAGTGGGGAGAGAAAACCCAAATGTTAGATTCCCAGGGGGAAGAATTCTACCAAACACATAACCCTAACTTGCGCTTCTCCCATTACTATAAGTTCGTCTGTAAGGTTTGCAGGAAGTACCAATATATGAATGCCCAGCAGAGCCGGATGTTGCATCCGGCCTACCTGCGCTACCTCCATGGTGTACCCAAATGGGGAGGGAAGAAAAAAAAGAAAAAATCGTGCCACAAGATGAGCGCTTACACCTCCTCCAGTTGCTCAGACGAATTTAACTACGTCAGGTTCTCTCCCCAGAATGGGAAGAAGCGTTATGGGGAAAAAGGCAGCGCGGAAACGGGCGCAACTGTGGATGGGGATTTTCCTGCCTTCTCCACTGCTAGACAGGTCAACAACTTTAGCGGCTTAAGCGGACATACAGATAGATCCATCCACGGGGAGGGCGAAAACCACCCGAGTGACTCCTCCCCAAGTGGAAGCACGACAAACAGTTATGGCAGACTGAGCGACTACCTCACGAGCTGCAAAACCTGCAGGCATCTTCTCAAATATGATAACATGGCGAACGATTCTTTGTTGAATTTTTGGAAGACGAATTATTTCATGGAACACCCATTTTGCCTGAACAGGTCAGAAAAAAAAATGCTCAACCTAGTTGCAGCTAGCCAAGAGAGGGAAAAGACAATGATTAGAAAAAATTTCCTAAATGATCACGACGAAAGGAGTGGTTTAGCTGAGGAGGAGAGGTGCCACGTCCGCTCTCATTCCGATGTGGAGACTTACCAAAACGGAAAGGAGCTGCAAATGTGGAAGGATGTGTTGGAGAGATGTTCCACGAGAAAAATTGCCCCGAATGAATGGGACAGAAAGGGAGAGCCCTCTCGAAGTTTCCTCAAACGGACGAGACAGAATATGATTCGATCGAGGGAGTGGAAAAGATGGATAGACAAAATGCGAAGGTATCTCTTTGAACAATACTACGCGAGATTGATTGCCAAGAAGGAATCGAAACCGAGTGAAGGACACTCCGATGGATCTTCTGAACAGAGAGGGTTGGATAACAACTTTGACATGCACTTGTTCACCATATGCGACGGTCATGGCGATTCGCATGCTTCCCACTTCTTAATTCAAAATGTGCACAGGGTTTTTTACTACCTCCTCGTTCACACCCTCTTCAATGTTTATATCTCCCTAAAGATCTTACACCCCCTGTTGGATTTTTTATACTATCGGGAGTGTGCAAGAGGGAGGAGTAGCAGCTGTGCCGGATCGTGCATTATTAACATCCTCCTATGGGGGAACTACCTTTATGTGAACAACACGGGGGATAGCAGGTGCGCCATGCTGACCTTTCACCTGGATAGGTTTGAATACAGTCGGGAGTCCCCCGCGGAGGAGGAGAAGGAACACCACAGGGCGAGAAGAAAGAAGCGAAGAGGGGGGAAGTCCAAGAAGAGGACGAAGCTAGGTGCCCGCGCGGTTAACCGCGACTGCGACTCCGATGGCCAGTACCAGGCATACGTCATCAGCGCGAAGTCATTTTCCTACAACGAGCTCAACTGCGAACACAACTGCAATAGTTACATGGAGTACTTGCGGATGTATAAGATGCATCTCTGTGAGGAGTTAGTCGGTCGGCAAGTGAGCACAGGGGAGGGACACCACCCTGGAGAGAGGCGAAACGAGAACGGGGACACTTCCGTGAGTAGGCCCCCCAGGGACAAGCTTCGACGGGGTGTGCAAGACGAAGAACAGATGGAGATGGAGGCACCTCCCAACATGAAGAACACGAAGAAGAGGAAGAAAAAGGAGGATCTGAAAAAGACCAAGATGGATAAACACTTGAACAAACAAATCGCAATGCTTAATGGGTACCTACTGAGCGAACGCGGAAAGGAAATAAACATAGGGAACCTCTCCTATGATTTAATAAAATATAATAGAGTCGACGGGTGCCTACATCCCTGCAGAGTTATTGGAGACTATGACTTGAAGAGGAAGTACTACAATGAGCATTTCATCTTGTCCAACGATTCGAATGTGTACAAATACGACATGAATAATATCAATTTGGTCAATATGATTCGTTATCTGTACTTGAGGAAGTTCTGCGGGGCGTGCAGGAGGAGCTACCTCCTCAGTAACTATGGCAAGATTGGACCCATCAGGGAGATTGTCCTTTTGGACGTTCCGGAGCAGCCTCGCCAGGCGGGCAAAATCCACACAGGGAGCGCTGCTAATCTGCAACGTAGCAGCACTGTGAGCAGAGGAGAGGTGCCCCCTAAACCGCATAAGCGGCCTAAACCGCGTGAGCCTTCCGAGGGGAGACCTCCCCCCGCCGGATTGTGCTTAAAAATTTACAGGGACGGCGCGCCCGACAGTAACCTGCCTACCAGCCAGGTGGAGAAGAAAGAAGAAAATTTCCCTGTACAGCTAAACGAGCGGTTCGCACCCTACATTAACATCAAAAGTGTTTCCATGAATGAAAATTATTTATGCTGGAAGAAACGAAGGAACTTTTTCCACTTGTTGATCATTGCGTCTGACGGCGTTTTCGAGTACGTCAACCCGCACTTCTTATTAAACATTTTAAAAAAAAACAAATCCGTGTATGCCAAGGTGAGGAAGCTGTACCGAACGTATAACATGCGAGAGTTGTTGACAACCACCCCAGGAGGTACCCCCCAAAGGGACATAAACAAAATGATGCACAGGTATATGCTCACAAAAGAAGATTGTACTAAACTGGCAAGGGATATTGTCAAGGGTTCCATAATGCATGGCAATTTGGACGACAGCACATGTTTTTGTATTTTTATATTTCCCACTTTTTTTGTATGTGGATAATTTGAAATGGGGTGTATCATATGCACACACAGATTTGTTATTTCTATTTTTGGGGAAACTTATCACCTGACCTGTTCAGGCATTTTTTTGTGACCCATCCGAATGGGAAACTTTCCCACACACGGAAGCGGGGGAGGGGGGCTCTTTACAAAGTAGGCTAACACCAACATAGATATCACGCAAATGGGAACGAATGGGCATGCGGGTAGAGATCCTTCATGTTTTTCTGCACACCTTCGTTAGTTTGTCGCTTCCCACGATTAGCCACTTTGTGGTGCTTTCTTCTCTGACCCAGTTTTCCATAATTGCGCAAAACCGTATGAACAAGAGAGAGAGAGAGAAAAAAAAAAAAAAACAGCCATTTTTAAGGTAACACATCTGTTCAGGACACTTCATCGTCAGTAGAGGGGGACCATGGAACTTGAATTTAGAAAGGTGGCCTCCCATACTAATCCCCTGTTGGGTGAAAAGGAAATCATGGATGTATAGCTCGTGTGGACACCTTCCTCTTTCCATTGGTTTTCTTCCTTTTTGGAGGTAAATGCCCCAGGCGGCTAAAAAGGGACAGCCGAAACGATTGCCCCATTTTCGGGTGTGTGGCCTCCCAGTCTGCTTTCTTCCCGCAGGAAGAGAGGCACTTTTCTTTTTTTTTTTTGGCGAAAATTGCGGGGTGGAAGGTCTCACGCACCATTATCTTATCACATCCTTGTCGCAACTACTGTCACTTTCGCAATGCGCTCATTTTACTTTCCCTGCCCTACCGCGTAGGCACGGGTGTCGTTAAAGCCATCTCGTGGATGAACGCGGGACACATTTCTTTCACCTAGACTTATATGCACTGCGAGACGTTTGTGCCATCCAGTTAGGATGGTCATTTTGCGGGATCCCCTTCCCCCCTACTCTCACGTGAACCAAGAGCAAGCAAAGTTTGGCAGATCTTATAACATTATGGCAGCCATTTTTTAAGTGAACCTTTGGTAATTATTCTATTGCCTTAGGAGCTTTTCACCCGTTGTGCCTTTTTTTCTCTGTTACGAAGATCAAGACGTCCCGCTTGGTGAGGGTCCCCCCTTACGACGAAAGGGGAATTCCTTGTGGAAGAGTCACCGCGATGTAACTGGTTCAGGAGAAGCCTCCTGCTTAGCGAAGGGAAAGGTGGCCCACTACCCAACAAAGCCGCGCAGCTGCAGTGACGATGACGAGGAAGTCTCTTTCGAGTGGGGAGTCAAGCGAGAGTGACGAATGGGGAGGGCATCTTGAGGGGAGCCAATGGAGAGGCCATCTCGATAGCGGCGAGCAAAGTGACCCAGACGAGGACACCTTTGACTCATGCAGTTCGTCTGAATCCGACGACTCGAAAGGCCACCCTTCCGAGAGGGATGGAGAATCAAACATAAAAAGAATCAATGAGTACATCGAAAAGTTGGACATCCTGAGGAACAAGTGCGATCTAAAAATAAGGCTGAATCAGCAGAAGGAGAAGGAGAACCTCCTAAGTAACATCGACAACATAAACATACAGGTGAAGAAGCACTTGTTGTTTAAGGGGAAGATCAATAAAATTAACAACTCCCTTAGGGAGAAGTGCAACTATGATGCTTTTTCGCAGATGGAAAAGATCTATAAGACCATATCGAATGTTAACTCATCATACGAATATATTACGTTAAAAATTCAGCTGCAGGATTATATAAGGCAGGTGGAGGGCTGCGTGAGGAGGAATTACCTGGACGCCATCGAGCCGCTAAACCAGTTTTTGCAGGTTAGGAGGTGTCTGTATAGGTATGGTCGGTCCGAGCTGCTGCGGGGGGGGAGCAGCCTCAATGGGGGGATCGCCTCAGGCCATGGCTACCACAGCAAGGGGGCAGTCGCTCTCCTGACCAGCGAAGACGCGATCATTGAAAGCGACATAATCAAGTATGTCCAGCAGAGGGAAAAGCAGCTGTCAGAGGACCATCCCGAACAGAATAACGATGCACACCCACACTCGCATGCGGAAGCACAGGCATATGCGCAGATATTCCAGACAGATGAAGAGAACGTAAAATTGCTGAACGGGTACTATGACCATGTGAAGGGTCTCATCGAGGATGAAATCGGCGAGTGCATAAAATTGAAGGACGTGGATGGGGTTAGGGCGAAGGTAGGACTGTACTTGAGTATTTTTCGCACTCGGGGGGATAAGAGGAAGCAGAATGATCAGAATGAGCAGAGGGAGAAGAAAACGGACTCTTCTCAGGGGGGCGGTGAAGGGGGAGACGAGGGATCCGATGAGGAAAGCCGCCATAAGGGAAGCGGGGTGGGCAGTCACGATGAGGCAAGCGAAGTGGGAAGTCACGATGAGGCAAGCGGGGTGAGCAGTCACGATGAGGAGAATCGCGTAGGAAGTGACAGTAGCGACCGCGGTGACGAGCACCATGGGGGAGGACCCCCCGCTGACGTCGCCTTGGAGGATCAGCTGCTCTACTTCGGAGAATACCTGTTCGTGTGCCGCATGGCCATGAAGCTAGTCGAGCTGGAAGTGGAAAAGAAGCTGGAGCTTCTGACCAGGCAAGTAGTGAGCACAGAAGACAGCGTGTACGTGGAGTGCATCAAAGGGACGTACACCTGCCTCTACAGACACAACGCCTTTTTGGAAACGCTTCTGGGAGATCATATAGTTTGCATTATTTACAACAGGAAGGCGGAGCTAATCTTTAATAGAGTCGTAAAATCGATATGCTCAAGCTTTTGCAGTCAGGCGGAGGTCCTACGGATCGATAACTACAATGAGTTAACGAAATTGGACAAAAACGTGGAGATGTTGTCTCTACTTTGTTATCATTTTCAAAACATAAAGAAATTTTTACACCAGTTGGGGGAAGAGAAATTTAGAAGATTGGATGCCATGTTCGTTTTGGCTAGCTGGATAAATAAAGAGATTTTTTCTGACCAGTCAGGCTTGTTTAAAAATTTGCCTTACGTAAAATGTATACAAGATTGCCTATGTTCGTATATCGATTATGAGATACTGTTTACGAAGCACTGCATCGATAAGGCATTCGTTTTGACGGACGACATTATGCTGTCTTTGATAGATGACGAGAAGAGCAAGGGAAAAGACGCTAGAGATTTTTACGAGAATATGGTTAACTTCGAGCATATAATGATGAGCTCTAGTAACAGCAATGAGTACACTTCTACCCTGCTGGATGATGCGTTTTTCATTTTCCAGAAGTCTGTGTGCAGGAGTATAAATATGAAAGACATTAACACCATGTGTGTTTTGGTGAATCACATAATTTTGTTCATTGGGAGCACTCTGAAAAGGTACCTGAGTGAGAATTTGAAAACGAGCAAAAGCATATACGCCGCGTTCATTCACGAGGTTGGGAATTTGAAGCCGTTCTCCTTCAGGGGTCTCCTTAGCAGCATCGATGAGACGAACTACATGGATGAGGGCCAGGGGAACAACCGCACCGTGGCCCTGGCACAGAACTTGGTGAGTTCGCTTAGCTACGTTCGGAGTGAAGCCCCGGAGGGGGTGGCAGGACGTAACGACCATGCCAGTGGAAGTGCCGGCCGTAATAATGCGATACGCGGGGGGGGGGGCGGTGATACCTCTGTAAGCAGCGAGGTGAAAGGCAGTGGGAAGGGCAGTCGCAGTGGCAAGGGCATGGGAAATGACAGGGGCATCTACGACTACCTGACGGCGGAGCACTATGAGAGCCTCTTCAACCCTCTGTCGGACCGAAAAAACATGGACAGTCAAACTATTAACTCCAAGTTTAGCTATCCTCACTGCGTGAACAACATAGACTCCTGCCACCAGTACATACAGAACTTCAAACATTTCATCCATGATTATTTTGTGGACAATTTCTTGAAGGATGAAGGGGAAAAGAAAGAAAGGGGGAGGCATAAAGGGAGGCACAAGGAGAAGAAACAGGAGAAGAAACAGGAGAAACAAACGGAGAAGCAGAAGCAAACGGAGAGGCAGAACTACCTCCTCATGTTTGCCAACTCGTTTGCCAATTACGAGAACCTACTTATCGACTTCGAAAAACTGAGTGTCGAAAATTGTAAAAATCTGCTGAACATTCTGAAGGTGCACTTTATTGGGCAGCTGGTCGTCATCGAGAGCGTCAATTTTGATATAACGAGTGAGCAGTATGCTTACTATCAGCTGAACGATCCATACATTAACGGCTTGGTCAGTCGAATGAAGTTGATCGTTTATCACATTTCGCTATACTTCAATCAGAACATCTTTCAAATATGCGTTGGGTTGCTGGCGGAGAAGGTGGGTAGAGGAAGCGTACCTATACGTGCGTGCAGACATCGCTACGTTGATTGGTGCATACATTGCTGCGCATTCGCGCTCCACTTGTCTGTACGCCCCTCGTGACGTTGCCAAGGCGGCCACTGCCCCAGACGTACATATATTCATGCGCGATGTGCTTCCCCCCCACCTACAACACCTCTTATAGATCTGCAAATACATCGAGCGAATCGTGCGCACGAAGAAGTTTAGCCTGTACGGTTGCGTCCAATTAGACAACGACATCAGAAATCTCATGCTTTTCTTCACATCTCTCACCAGCATCAACGTGAAGAAGGAGTTCAGCAAACTGCTCGAAATTTGCGAGTTACTAAATATAAACGATTTGCAGGACTTTAAAGATTTCTACGAGGAGAATAAGAACAACTTGAGTTCCAGTGAGGTGGAGGAGATCATCTCGATGCGGAATGACATTTCGGAGGAGCTCCTTGGGGCGATCAAGCTGTACATGAATTGGGGCGCGTCTTAAAATAGCCCAAGGAGGGTGACAGGAACGGAGGGAAAAGGCGCATGAGCTTATGCTGGGGAAAAACCCCACCAGTGAGGAGCTACGCGGGGGAGCCATGGGAAGACGACTCCTACGAAGGAAGCGAAGGAGGGACTCCTCCCCGTTCGACCCACCCCCCTGAAGAAATTACACTCAAAACATACGGAAAGAAAAAAAAAGTAACCAAATTGACGTCTCTGCGAGGTTTTTTTTTTTTTTTTTTTGTGCATTACGAGGCTGCCTTAAATTAATCGTTGACCACTCTCAACAATTCATACTCGCTCCTTTTTACATGCTCGATTACTGAACATTATTTTTAAAAAAAGTTCGGACTGCTGTCCCAGTGGGGAGGAAGAAAAAAAGAGAAAAAAAAAAAGGAAAAAACATCAAAACGGTTGGCAGCATTGCAACAAATGATGAAAGCCCCTGGGGGGACTCATCCTGTGGGGAAAGGACAGCACGACCTTCCTACCAAGGGCATCTACTTTTGTACTTCTTTCTGTAGCCATAATTCCTCCTGTGCATTATTTCCATTTTGATTGCCATTCCTTCGATTTCGGACCCTGCGCGGGGGAAAAAAATAAAAGAAGAAATTACAACATTTATGCGGGTTGCGAAAAGATGTGTGCACAGTTGGAATGTCCTCCTGCCCATTTGCCTATCCATCCCTGTGTGCAGTTTTCCCCTTTAAAGGAACTCTCTCTCGTCTTCCATTCCCAACTAACCATCGTATTTGTCTATGGCCTTCTGCGCGTCGTTGATATTTTCGAAAACGCACACGCCTGTCCCCTGAGTGGAGGAAAAAAAGGCGTTCCAGTCAGCGATGTGTTAGTGAACACATGTTCAAAAAGGGAAGAAGTGCATATGCGGAGAGGGGCCAACATGGGGGGCTTCCTCCCATTTCATGAGTGCAAATTACATCCGATCTATCCGTGTGGTCGTAGTTTATCCAGGCATTCACGACTTTGCACACATTGCTGAAGAGTTCCTGTGCGAGGTGTGGGGGGAAGCAAATGGTAAAGTAGTGCAACAAAATGGTCAGGTGGTGGAATCAAATGGCAATATGGTCCAATCACATTAGGGTGTATGGCCACAATGCGATCACAGATACGTATGTCCGTGCATCCCCAAACTGGCACGGGCACTACGGTCATCGCTATGGGCAACGAAGATGCCCACAAAGCTAATGCCAACAGCGTCAATGCCTAGGCCGGGGCTGACGGTACCACTAAGTCATTCTTCGAGATGGTGTAGTCCAGGTTTGAGATTTTCACGCGCACTTGGCTGTCCCGCTCGTCGTAGTTCTTTCAGGGGAAAAGAAAAAAGGTAAAAAATAATGCGAGAGCGTGTCGAATGTCGCTGGTGAAGTGATCCGCCTTGGTAATTTTCCTTTCCAAAGCCACTTAGAGGTGCACGCATGCACGTGGGCGTGGTCGCTACCTGGTAGGAACTCCTGTTGTTGTATTTGTTTATTCTGTTGTGGTGGTGGTTCGTCTTGTATTCTTCGTTCTACAGGGGGGGGGAGAAGTGGGGGGAGGGAATTCACGGGAGCACTGTCGATATGGTTCATCCCGTTGGCTGCGCTCGCCGCGTTTGCCGTGTTCGCCGCGCCGGATGTAGACACGAAGATCCATCCCCTGATGGGTACTGGGGCCCCCTCTCTAACTCCCCTCTAGTGGGTCATTACGTGGGAGTGCCTATAACCGCCGTATTGTCTATGGTAGTGTTTTCGGTGATGATGACCGTCTAAAGGGGGGCGAAAAGAAGAGGAATGGTATTTGCTGTGCGGATTTGGTAAGGGTTATCGCTTCGTGCTATCGCTTCGTGGGGGGGATTATTGACCGGATGGCCCGCGTCTGCATCGGATGAAACGAACGATGCATACGATTCATCGGCGTCATCCGCTCCACCGATGCTCTCTCCACGCCATTTCTTCCCCTCGTGAATTACTATGATTGTATTTCCTAAATTCCCTCATTGTGGCAATTCATAATGTTGCTCTCGTTACACAAAAAAAAAAAAAAGGAAAAAAAAGAGAAAAAACAGAAAAATTATGTCTCCATAAAATTATGCGCATTCATATGGGTAACAAAACTGATGAGAATGGTTAACTTGTTTCTGACGTGTGGCATCATCATTATTTGCATTTGCTGCTAAGAGCGTTCGCAAATAACTTGTGTTGAAGTGACTTTACGATGTTGATGGTATGGAACGAAGGCGACGCACTTACCCCTGCATAGACGTGTTTACCATTTTCAGCTATGTGGGAGATTCCAATGCGGGCAACGCCAATGGCACATTCGTCCACGTGAGTGTACGCAGTTTTATGACTCCTTGTTCTTGTTATTTGAAGAAGGCGACCCGTGGGGGTGCCGTATCCTGAAGTGCGCGACGCGCTTAAGGTAAACACAGGACCGATGATATTATTCATCCATCGGAACATCCCTCCAACGGAGGAATGAAGAAAAATAAAATAAAAAAAAAAAAGAAAAAAAACTCTAGACTGGAGAGTACCACATGACATGTGAATTTTTGCGTGATGAATAATCCTATGAGTGAACCTCCTCTCATAAACGAATCGACAATCGGAGGTAGAAACTGCCGCAACGCGTTAATACCAAAGAGTGATATATGTCATCCAGGCGGTAACCCCCGCAGGTTGAAGCGTTGTAAACCCCCCACCCCAATTGTGCGTACATAGCGAATCGAGAATCGTCCCATTTGCTCCTGTTTAGACCCCGCCGTTATTTGACACCCTCTTGCAACGGTTGATCCGTTAACGCAAAGGGAGGGGAAGCCCATCAAATGGCACAGCAGTCGCGGTGTAGCAGTCGGCAGGAAGAAATATATGCCTCCTCCCCCAACCAACCATGAAGAAAAAAAAAGTCGTCAAGTTGAAGGAGGAATATGTGCCGAAAGGGAACTACTGTAAAATTATATGAGCATATATGAAATACGAAAAAAGTGATGTCGTTCCGTTTTGGGGGGCGCCGAGAGAAACGAGAGACGGGGAAAATCCCGATCGGTTCATCGGTTCATTCCAAAGCATCACCTTTGTCGTGTCCGAAACTGAGCAGATATCTTCAACCGCCAGAGGGTGATGCCTGTACTGCCCCTTTCACCGAGAGAGTGCAGTTCTACATGCACGTACACGTCGTTGTGCACACACGGACATAACTATTTACACATGTGGGTTTCTTCCCTCCCCCCCTTCAGTTAGCAAAGATGCCCTGTTGACCAACATTTTCATGCAGAGCGCAGAGAACGTGCTGTCGGAAGTCGAGTCGAAGAATTCCCAGCTGATAGTTAACTGTATAAACAAGTTGCACAAAAAAAATCTGCAAACGAAGTTGAAGGCCATAAGTGTAAGTAGCCATTTTGAGAGTTTTTTTTTTTTTTTTCCCCTCCGTTTCGCTAGCTGTTGACAAAAAGTGGATGGAAGCACCTACTGAAACGTCTCAACTTCTGCATGATCATTTGTGGTACTCTCCTGGTGGAGTTTTTCTTTCCCCCAATTGGTGCCATCCATTGCATCCTATCCCTGCCCGTTACCTACCCGTAGGAACTAATTCTGCACCTGAGCAAGTACGACGAAGACGAAGTGAGCCACTTGTTCTCCTCCTTCATAAGCGTGTACAAAAAGTTGATCTATCACCCGAACTATGGCCTGAGGGAAAGTAGGGACCTTGTTTGTTTTTCCGTCCTGCTGCATCGCAGCGATATCGTAGCGGTGTTGTAGCCATATGGCAGCCTTATCGCAACCATATCGGATCCATATTGCATCCTCATCGCAACCATATCGGATCCATATTGGATCCATATTGCATCCTCATCGCAGCCATATCGAATCCATATTGCATCCTCATGGGTCCCCCTTCACCACGCTACTTCTTTCCCCCATTTGACAGACCTAAACCTGTGCCTGAAGCTGTTCATAGTGAAAGTTAAGGCGAAGATCAAGCCCCACCTGAGTGTGTTCTTGCCGCCACTCTTTGTGTCTCTCTTCGACTACAGCAAAAATGTAAGGCGAGGAGGTTCCAGGGGAAGAGATTCCCGGCCAGGCGATGCGTCCACGGGCGCACTTCGCGTCGGAAGCACATCGGTCCAGCTGGCACACTGCTCCCTGTTCCCCACGTACAGGTAAAACACATCGCGGGAGAAATTCTTCTCATCATATTCCCCCCAAAAGGGAAGACCCAAGAGTCGAGGGGGGTGGAAGACCAAGTCAGGCAGCATCCAACGAAGGCAAAAAAAACACAACCGGGAAAGATACGCCTGCAGGAGGAACTGAAGCTCTACGGAGGGATTAAAAATTTGAAGGTGAATTTGACGAACCTCTATAATTGCCTCAAGTATGTTGGCGGTCCCCTCTGTGAGGAAGTCACGAGGAATTTGAAAAATAAAAAGAACGACGAGGATTACGATTATGGTGTGTACCTTTTCAACGTGGTCTGTTTTTATCCATCCCTTTTGTACATGCTGGTGAAAATTGCTAAGGGGGGTGACGACGAAGGGGGGAAGACGAAGCACCCTGTGGAAAATCACCCCGTGGAAAACCGCCCTGCCAAAGAATGCAACGATAGGACGGCGTCCCCAAACCGTAGAGACGTCAACTCAGTGAAGCAGTTCATCCGAAAGGAATTTCCCAACTTCGTTAGCACGTTTAACCTCTTCTTCAATGCAGTTAACTCAATTTACAAAGAAAGCAAAGACAACGAGCGGGTAAAGAAAATGCTCTTCCTGTCCGTCTACAATATTATATACTTGCTGAAGAAGTATAAACTGAACTACTCCGATTTTGATGAAGAAAAAGCGAACTCATCCATCTTCAATTACATTTCTTGTGTCATCAGCAATAAAGATGAGTACATCCTGAAACATATAAACCACTTGTTACTGTTGTATTTTTTCTCGGAGAATAAAAAAATGATTAATGAGAATTTTTTGAAATGTTACTTGTCCCTAATTAAGCACAACAAAATTGCGAGGAATGACATTTTTAATTACAACATTTCTTTGTTCATCTTTATTTTTGAGAAGAGTGATATTAGAGAATTTTTTTTTTTTTTTTTTTTTTTCTGCTGCACGGGATGTCTTCTTCGCTAGCTGTTTACTACGACTTGTTGCAGCATCTTCTTGGCTACTTTGCGGAGGCAACCCATGGGAGCAGCCTCAGCCAAAGCGAAGACCGAGGTGCCCAGTACTCCCTTTCCGAATCGGATTGCTACACTGTGCTCAGCGAAAGCATCTTACACCTGCCATTAGAAACGATCCTTGCTCAGAAAGTCGGCGTCACCTACAAATGCTCATTCGACAGGGGACACCATCTATGTGAGGCTCTCTCCAACATATACTACTGCCAGAAGAAGAAGCCAAGTAAGGACGGTAAGGACAAGGATCAATTTGAAGAATTAAAGAGGAAAATAATTGCGGAGAATCTGGAGGAGGATCACTTCATCCGTACGTATAGCAACTTTCTCAAGGTGTCCAAATGTGGAGACATAATAGCTCTCAGTTGTTTGTGCCTGCTGAGTCAGTACACGAGCGACCTGGCGAAAGAGTTCAGGGCAGGTGAAACGTCGGAATGTGGAAGACTCGCTAACCCGTCCGGGGGATCCCACCCAAGTGTGAACGATTCTACAGTTGGAAGATCCTCCCAAAGTAGTGGCAACCCCAGCGGAAGACACAAATATCACAGCGCGGTTGACTTCATTTTGAACCTTCTAACAGAATTGAAAGGGGTGGTGTTACCACCAGGGGTCCATGTGGACAGCCCAGGAGATGTAGCCAACCAAAGCAATGGCGCTGTCAGGATAGCCTTCATTCGCACGTTGAAGAGCACCTTCAAAATCGCCTGCCTGATGGTGGAGGAAAGAAATTACGATGCCGTTGGAATGGTGAAGAAGCATTGGGGCATTCTCGAGTTTCTCTTGGCGCAGGGGGAAGTAGAGGACGAAGAGGTTTCGCTAGAGTGGGTCTTCTTCATTTTTATGGATTTCTTGAAGTGGCGCAGACGTGGGGAGAGGGAGAAGGCGAACCTTGCAGAAGGGGTAGCGGATGGGGGAGACGCCCTGTTCAGCTCCCTGGACGTTAGTTTGAACCTCTTGGCGTTCATTTGCTCCAAGGGGGGGAAGTCCTGCGATGCCCTGGCGGGGACCCTTCAGGAGGTAAGACCAGAGGCAAGGCGTCCCTGTTTAGCACTTTCGACGATACGCAACTGTGCTTGGAATTCTTGAATATGTACCCCCTCTTTACATGAATAGGAATAGCACCTGTTTCTACCTACTAATGTGCACTTGCCTTTCTTTATGTTGATCTCCCCTTTCAGGCCCTTCTTGGAGTACCCCCAACTGACGAAACGGTGGAGAAGCAGCTAGCCATCTGCGTGAAGCTGATCAATTTTATGAGGAAGGAGCGCACGAAGTTTTTCGACCTCTCGGAGAAGGCCCTGGAAATATACAGTTACTACCTCCTGCAGGGTGTGAGGGGTGGAGCTGGCAGCTGGGGAACAGGCGTCTCCCGTTTGGAGGACGATCGAAACGATTGCGATGGGGGCCACAGTCTAAAGTGCACTTCACTGAAGGCGTTTTACGCCGCCGTGCAGGGCGACGCAGAAGACGAGCCCGACCTCTTTGGAGAGCAGTTCTACAAAGGTGTGTTCCATGCGTATAGGAAAAAAATGCACTTGAGTAGAGCCCTCCCGGATGAAGATTTTTCCTTCTTCTTCTCCTCATATGCATTGAGAACGAGGAGGGAGATTGGCCCACTGGACGATATGCACCTACATTTGCTGTTTGGAACTCTCCTCAATGTGAAAGACGAACATGTAGAAAGACACACAAAGGATTTGTTAGTGTCGACAAAACTCAGTAAGGAGAGTTTATTCTCCTTCCTGGAGGTAATGCGGGATGTGTACGGATGGTGTAGGGAGAACGATGAAGAGGAGAGAAGGGGGAAAATGTGGTCCTCTTTCACGTCCACCATGAACCGATTTGAAGATGATTATGAGGAAAGCGAAAGTGACGACATGAGTGAAATGGTCGAGGGGGACCATTTCAAGATTGGCCTACTTGTCAGTAACTCTTCGGTAAGGCTAACCGGCATTGGTCAGGAGGAGGAAGAAGAAGAGGAAGAAAACACGGATGCCGCTTTACCTAGCACCGATTTGAAGAGGGAAGACGAGGAGCGTCCCACAAAAGGAATTGTCCGACAAAAGAACAATGAAGAAACATTCTTGTCATTACGCAGAAGGGATATCGTAAATCCGAGATTCATAGAGCGACTTCTAAGTGTGTACAAACTGTATTACCAAGTGGAATCTTTTTCCGTTGGCCACTTGAAGGGATTCACCATGCTATGCTTTGAGGCAACCATTCCAGGGGCAGCTGAGGAGCAGCCCCAGAAGGAGTCACACAGAAGCGAACTATATCGATTCGACCGTTTCTACCATTTTGCCTATGCCAACATCAGGAGGAAATCGTTGTTCTGTCACATCTTCAGCTTGAAAGATAAGATAGAAACGGATGAGGGGGAAGAAATGGGGATGCTGAATCTGCTCATTTATGTGTATAGGCAGCTGGAGAGGGGAAACAGTCGGAGGAAGTTGCCCGTCAAGCATGTTCCTGCGAAGCATGTTCCTGCGAAGTATGTCCTTTCCACCCATGTTAGCATATCCGACCTGGTGTGCGTCATGAGGCAGGTGAATAACTGGGACGTGCTCAACATCTGTCGGGACATCCTCAGGGATCGACGAGTCAATGGGGAGCTGTCCGCCGATGCGCTGAGGGACGTCATTCGCGAGCTAGACAACTTTAAAGTGAAGAGCGTCTTCGACTTGCCGCTGAAGGTGTTCCTGTTTGAGGAGTGCCTCCTGGGGGATAGCGACCTGAGCGGCAGCGATGGCACAGGAGGAGGTGTTGTAGGAGGAGGTGTTGTAGGAGGTGGTGTTGTAGGAGGAGGTGTTGTAGGAGGTGGTGTTGTAGGAGGTGGTGTTGTAGGAGGTGGTGTTGTAGGAGGTGGTGTTGTAGGAGGAGGTGTCGCAGGAGACCTCGTTGAAGGAGACGCGAAGCAGTACGAAGAAGAAATGGCCAAGCTGAAGGAGCGACTGCCGCGCAGCCTCCACACCTACGTGGAGAAGAACCTCTCCCTGACCGTCAAAGGAGAGCTGCCCTGCTTAAACCTTCTCCACCACTTGATATGCATCAGCAGCACGTTCCGAGACGTTAATCTTTTCGAGTGTGCCATCGTGAGGAGGAAGGTACTCCTAGGGCTGGCCCTCCAGTATGTTACTTGGAATAACTTTGACGTGTTCTTTTGTTGCCTTGGCTTTGTGAGGGGCGCCTTTCCAGGGGAGGACCTGCCCCCCGACAGCGGCGGCTTGCCCAACGGTGGGGAAAGCATGCCAAATGATGGAGAAAGCATTCCAAAGGATGGAGAAAGCATTCCAAAGGATGGAGAAAGCATTCCAAAGGAGGGAGAAAGCATTCCAAAGGATGGAGGAAGCATACCCAACGGTGTGCTCCCGAATGGAGACCTCCCGAGTGACGCCCTTCCAAGTGACTCCCCTCTGCATGACCCCCTCCCGAGTGATCCCCCCCTGCGTGACGACCACCGCGTGGAGGAGGCCTTCCGCAAGTTTCTCTGCCATCTGAAAAACTTCTACCGAAAAATGCACGACGAGCAGAGCGCACTGCATAGGCAGAAATGGAGGGTCCTAAATGAAACCTTGAAAGGAAGTACCAGCGGTAGGAAGGTACCCCCTGCAGTTGAGAGAAAGCTAAAGAGACAGAAAAGCAGGGACAAAAAAGTCGAAGGCAAAAGGGAGTCCCACCAATTACTCCATTCGAAGATGGGCATACATTTTTTGAAGTACACATATGTGAAGTGTGAAATGGAGAACAAAACATATCTGTCGACATTTAAGGAGACAGAGAAAATCACAGCAGACCTGAGGAAGATCCTTTACTTCATTCTCTCGATTAGTTGCTATGACGACGGATTAGTGGATGGTGAAATGGTGACGCTGGCGACACAAATGCTGAAGCTACTACTACAGTTTGATGTGCAAAATGTTAAGTCGATTTACAAAATATATTTTTTCTCTCTTCCAATCAGTGTTACCCACTTTTCCGACTACCTCACGACGGACATTTTTCGTCTGCATGAATTGAAACTAAGTAAGGATGGATTGTCCAAGCTGATGAGGAAAATGCTGGACCTTTATGTAAACACGTATTACTTGTTTATCCTCTTTTCCAATGTGGACAAGTGCAGAGATAGCAGCTTTTTCGTTGACAAGACGCTGAGCATTCTGCTAATGAATTGCCTTTTTTTTGCTGAACTGCATAAATTGAGAGGCTCCCATATGTTTAAGTTTGCCATGATAAGTTCCTTTTTGCACATTAATGAAGGGGGGAACAACCTATTTTTGCTTTCCGCTGCAGGGGGGGGTGTTGATGGGCATGCCTGCCGAGTGTTGGGGGTGGAACCCGATGTGGGTGCGAATGCGGATGCAGCAGGTGTGGGGGGGACCCCAAGGAGAAGTGAACACTCCCTGCGGAGTGGCCATCCCATGCCAGGTGACAAGCTGTGTAGCCTCTCTGACGATAGCGATGACGCCCTTTTGAGCGAGCCTGATGGAGGAGGCCCACCTACCGCCGGCCTCTCCAAAAGAAAGAGCAAAGAACCCCCAGTGAGAGAAGAAAATGACGTAAGAAGAAGAGGAGGGCCTCCAGACAGCAGCAGAGAGGACAGTCCCACGTTGAGCCCCACCAGGGTGATGCAAAACTGCCAAGAGGAAGAGGCTCAGGATGAGGATAACCAGAAGGAGGAGACACCACGTACTGATGGCAGTCGAGAGGATACTCCTCAATCTGTACGTTTGTGTGCCGTAGCCAACCGCCCTAAGAGGGATGATAATAGTTGCAAAAGAAAAATGATCCCTTTGTATGCTTTGAAGAACCAACTGAAGAATCCATCCCTCCTAATCGATCTGAACAAAAATATAATCGATTTGTATTCATTCGTCCTCGAGTTAAACTATTTGAAGGTCCTTCTCTCCATGCTAAACATATGTCTGTCCGCTGAGTATTTTATTTACGAGCCGGAGTTGCACCAGCAGTTTTTGGCCTTCCTCGAAAGTCACAATTTTTGCGTGGGTGATTTTTTGAGTGATATTAAACGTGTCGGCGACATCCTCGAGGGGGATGCAGCGAAGAACAAGTGGGAAGGCAGCTCATCCAGGCGGAATGAGATGGAAAAGACGCCCTTCCCGAGAAAAGATCGAAACAAGTTCTACCTCTTTCTGCTCGCCCTGCACCTTATCCTGCGTCTCATAACGATTTACCCCAACGAGTGCATCACGATAACGAACGAAACGAAGCTACACGACATTGTCAACTTCAACAAGATCCTTTTTTCAAATATAATCATCACAAATCAGCTGAACGAGCTGAGACAAATTTCGACTGACTACATTAATACCACGTTCCAGTATGACCCCCTTACGAAGACGCTCATGTTTAAGTACAAGATGAAGGAAGACGACAGTGAGCAGTTCGAGGACGTAACTGCCAAGTTGACGCTGCTCTTCCTTCCGAACTACCCTTTCTCGCACCTGGTCATAAGTGACAGGATTGAGTCTCTAGGTAGGCGAAGGAAGAGGCGTCCCCTGCTTTTTGGGATGCTTCCCATTAAAAAGAGAAAAAAAAAAATAATTCTTGTCTACCCCTTGAACCGTATGAGAGGTGTATATAACCCATTTTGACGTGTGAGAAGTCAATGCTTCTTACCACTCCGTGTTAACCGCTTTTCCCCTCCCCGGCAGACAAGAAGGCCCACGTGCACAACTCCATCAAGAGCATGTATAAATATGCCCGGACGGGCAACATCAACGAGATGTTCGTAAAATTTGACAGCATTATGAATGGCTACTTTGAGAATAAGTCGCAATGCAACATCTGTTTCATGATTTTGTACGAGACGAAGACCTGCGACAAGGCCTGCTCCCAGTGCGGCACTTCCTACCATAGCTACTGCCTACACAAGTACGTCCCGCGCAGCGTTAGCGGTGTTTTAGCGGCGTATTAGCTGCGTATTAGCGGTGTATTAGCGCCCTATTAGCGGAGTCCTTGCGGAGCATCCGTTTTGCCTACCCCTGATCCGTCTTCGCATTTTTTCACGTTTCCGTTTGGCTTTACCCTCCCCCCGCAGGTGGTTCCTGACGTCCCACAATACCAAGTGTCCCTCGTGCCAAATGCAGTTCACTTAGTGAAGAAGCGCCGCGTGGAGACTACTCGGGGGTAATTTTCGATATGCCCCTTTTCCTGGGTGACACGCACTCTCTGTGTGTATCCCCTTATTTGAACTTTTTACACCCCATGTGGTTCCTACACATGGTAACTTTCTCAACCTCGTTGAATGCGTTATATTTGTTTTTAAAAAAGTTGGCCATGTTTAAAGACAGAGGCGAGGGCAGTGCGCGCGGAATTCGACACGTTTAATTTACAAAAAAAATGGAGTGAAATGAAATGAGGTGGGGCGACGCGATATGAGGTGAGACGAAATAAAATGAGGTGAAACGATGCGAAGTGAGATGAAACGGAACAGGGGGAACGCTGCGCGACGTGACGTGGGCGGGGTGCTCCACTTCGAATACCAAGCGACGACAGCGTAATTGCAGTTGTGCAACAAAGGAAAAAGGAAGGGGGGGAGGAGCAAATGCCCCCTGTGCCAGAGCGCCAATTTTAAAAATAAAAAATGGGGTAGAAAAAATGAAAGGAGTCATGCGTGTAGGGTAGTCGAACGGAGAAACGTGCCATCCGCCTGCACACATATAATACCGCTGCATCTGAGGGGGGCATTTCTCTTTCGCGAACTGGGTGCCCGTGTGAACAAGGTAGATGTTTCGGGGCGGTTCTGATGGGGAGGGACGCCAAGTGCGTGGTGCATCCTCCGTGTTCTGTCTCATGCTGTGTTGCCTTGCCTCTGGGAAGGGTAGCGGTGTGACGAAGATGACTTCACGAGGACGCTACGATAACGCGAAGTTGACGCCAAGTGGACGCACAGATGAGCCCCCCCCTCAGGTGAATCCATGGAAAGTGGGCAGCGGGTGCGCGGCGGCACGGTTGGTGGTGGTGGCGGACTTGAAGTGGGCCTTGCGTCGCTGCTTCTTCCTATCAGGGGAGGAGAAGTCTGGAATGGAAAGGTTCCTCTTGACGCGCATAGATGTGCCCAACTCGTAAGAAGTCTCCGGGTTCACAGCGTGATAACTGGATCGTTTGAATTTCCTTCTCTTAGAAGAGGTAGGGCCAGGAGTCATATGATTAGTGCTGTCATCATAAAAGGACATTTCTTCCTTGGTCTCGATCACATTCTTTTCCTTCATGTCATTTAATACCTTAATACTAGCTCGCTTAATAAACCCATTGGCATTCTTATCATCCTTGGCATATTTGTCCGAGAAAATAGCAAAGGATCTCCTCCCACTCCTTTTATACCCCCCCAAATTTTTAAACGTATCATTGATAAGCTTAAAAATGATTTTCCCATGTCTATCATTGGACTTACACAAAAAGTGAGATATCATGGTTGTGGTTAGAAGGTTCTTTTTCTTTTGTTCGATTTCTCTGAACGTTTTTATTCCTATATAGTATTTTAAGCAGTGGACATACCAGTTATACACTCCGATTCCATCGAGGTTATCAAAACGTATGTCTGAAAACCAAGGGTGTGATAATGCATCCGCTGCGGTAATTCTATCATTCGGATTATACTTCAACATTTTCACGAGGAGATCTATTCCCAGCTCATCGATCCGTCCATTTGTTATTACATTGAGTGCATCCTTCTTATCTTTTATATTAACATTGAAGAAATCTTCCTTGAGAGGATAGAATCTGGAGTCACTAAAAAATTCGAGCTCGTCATTGTTTGGCTTGCCTAAAGAGTTTACGATTCGAATGATGAGGTCAAATTCGGTTACGCCTCTGAATAGCGGCCTTCCTATAATGAGTTCGCAGATGATGCAGGCTGCTGACCAGATGTCCACGTTCAGTCCGTACTGGAAGTCCTTATTATTGTAGTAGTCGTCTTCTTCGATTCCCCTGAGGCGCGCCCTCTCCCGCTCGGCTGCTTTTTCCCGATTTGTTGCATTTTCCCGTTGTTCCGCTTTCTCCCCCTGCTTGTCCTTCTTGTTCTTATTGTTGGAGTTGACGTTGCCCTGGCCCTGCCCACTTCTGTTCGCGCCTCCTTTTCCGCCGCCGCTTCCCCTGTCCGTCGTGCATGCAGCGCTGTCCGCGTGGGCCGTGCCGCAGTTGCCGCTGCTGTCGATGCCCCTGGTGGAGGGGGCCCGAGAGGGGTACGGCACGCTCGAGTGTGGAGCACTCGCATTGGAGTGATTCGCATGGGACGGATTAGCATGAGACGGATTAGCATGAGACAGATTCGCATTGGAGTTACTCGCATTGCAGCGACTCGCGTGAGACAGATTCGAAGATGCGGGCACCCCATTGGGTGGCGGCTTGACCTTCCCCCTGGCCTTGGCGCGCCCTTTCTTCCCCTTAGCCATCTCAAACTTAGAGAGAAGCACCTCCAGAGGGCGGTAATAAATGGTGCACACCGTGGGAGTCATATCCCCGTCATTTTTTAGCTCCCTGCATAAGCCTAAGTCACCAATCTTAAGTAAAAACTTCCGATTTGGGGTCTCCTGCAGCATCACATTTTCAGGCTTCAAATCTCGGTGGCACATTTTATTGTTGTGTAGATAAGCCAGTCCATTTAACAACTGGAAGGATAACCACTTGGCTTCTTTCAAACTTAGACCCGCCTGGTCATCCGTGATTTTCGTCTTCTGAATCAGCCTCTTCAAATCTCCTGCATCACAGTACTCATACGCAGCGAAGATAAATTTCTGGTCCGCTGCCAGAGGAGTCATATCCAGTTTTGTTGAGTGCTCAAAGTTCGAAGCATGGTGTTGTAATATCTGCCGATTGATATACTCACTTATGCATTTTTGTCTGTCTATTGTTACATCTATGAGCCTTAAAATGTTTGGATGCCTTCCGATGTTCTTCAGACAGCTCAGTTCTCTCAACGTTGTGCAGCTAATTCCTTCCTCATTTATTGTTTTCAAATCATCACGGAAGAATTTTATCGCATAAATATTTTTCCTAAAAAATACGAACTCGTCTGTGTAGTAGTCGTATGGGAGGTAATTGGTATTCTGGTAGAGGTCGTTGTTGTTGTTGTTGTTATATTTTATTACCTTCCCTTTGTACACGTCTCCGTACGTCCCGCCCCCCAGCTTCTCCTCCAGCGACACCGTCGAGTAGATATTGTTGAAATATATTTTGCACTTGGTCAGCGTTATGCCGTACATGGTGGGAGAAGTGGAAAAACTGAAGGTGCGTACAACCGATATATGATACCCAAGAGAGTAATCAACAGAGTTGGTCTCCCACCTTTGCAGACCGGTTCTTTTAGATCTTCTGGAACCACTTCACTAGGCCTCCCTCTGGAACCGCTATCCCAACCGCGTCAGTGCAAAGGCGGGGTGGGGCAGGACGATTAGGCCATAAGTACAGCGGCGCTACCCTTTTGGCCCCCCTGCAGAGGAGGGAGAACTTACCCAATGCTGCACACACAAGTGGAAGGTGTAAAATAAAAAGGGGGGAAGTGAGGGGTTCGGGGCGTAAAGCTATGCCCACATGTGTGTGCTTCTGCCCTCCCCCCTTCTTGGTGGAACCTCCCAGGGAAGTATTATCCTCGGGCTTAGCCAACGAAGAGCGGAGAGTTCTTCTCTCGTGAGGGAGGTATGACTGATGGTTAATGGTTGTGAGGGGAAATTTCTCAGTGGCGCTTTCCAAGTGGAGCTTCCTAAGTGAGGCTTTCCCAATGCCTCCTCGCAATATCGTTTGCTCCTCTGCGATGTGTAAATATTCCCCTTGGAACCCCTGGAACGAAAGAAGAGAGTTCTCATTCGTTGCATGCAATTGGGCGTGTGTGCGTCCTCTTCTGCGCGTGTGTAAGGGGAGAATTAGCGAGATGGGTCAACCCGTGTGTGAGAGGTCAGCACACGTGCGGGGCCAATCTTGAGTGTGCTTCTCCCCCGCATGTACCTCTCCCCTGCGTGCACCTACCCGTGTGTAAGCCCGAAAAGGTCAGCACACGTGCTGGGCCAATGTTGAGTGTGCTTCTCCCCCGCATGCAATTTTCCCCTGCGTGCACCTACCCGTGTGTAAGCTCGAAAAGGTACGCACACTCGAGGAAGCCTCTGGGATCCCCTCAAAGTGCACTTCGAACGAATTGCCAGGATAAAGGAAAAGGATTTTTCAAACTGCGATTCTTATTTCACATGGGCTTAAATGAGGCCAAAGGAAAAAAAAAAAAAAAAAAAAAAAAAAAAACAGCACTGAAATAGACAAAGTGTAACTGGATAGAAGTTTTATCTGTCGAATGAAAAAACAAGAAGCACAAAAAGGAGTTTCCAATTGGTAGCATATTTCAATGTATTATAATGGGATTCAAGGGGAGGGGGGGGAAACTATATGGGCCCTAATCCGGGAAAGAAAAAACGGAGACAGAAAAGCAGAGATCGATGTGCTAAGCGCGGTGCGCCAAGTGCGAGGTGACAAACGCAGTGCACCAAGTGTGATGTGAGAAAGGGCGATGTAATAAGCGCGATATAACAAGCGCCATGTGACAAGCGCGATGTGTACCAAAAGAAAACAAAAACAAGCAAGTGTTCTTTGAAGAGAATTCCCCAGCGCGCACCTTAACAAAGGTGTTATCGAAAAAACGAGGGAAAAAAAAAGAAAAAAAACAAAAGGACTGTGTCAAATGAGTTTCCGCCTGACGTGCTAAAGCTCACACTTCCCATTTTGCATTTCACTCATTAGCAACAAAAAGGAGGAAAGCCTAATCAATTTTATCTCCTTCAAAATTTATGGACAGATATAATCAGTTTTTTTTTTTTTTTTTTTCAAAGTGCCGCTGATATGCTGATGCGCTGATGGCTCGCCCAATTTGCGTGGTGACCTATGAACGTATCTGCTGGCTCGACGGTGTAGAGGAACTTACAAAAAAAAGGAGTCATTCTCGGGGACCTTTCTTATATGTAACATGTGGGTCTCAAACGATGCCACCGTTTTTTCCTCAACGGTGTTAACCTGGTGACGCGCATATTTTCCCATGGGTCTCTGTAGATGAATAGACCGGTATACGGAGGGAACGTGAATTGCAGTGCAGGGGGGAGTGGAAAAGATACATTCCGCGCGACATTACGTTGCTTCTACATGGGTTTATTTTTAAATTTTCGATGAGGAAATCTTCTCTACGTGTCATTCACAGGTTTTCCTGCCCTACGGAGGGTCCTCGCGTTCTGTTCGCATGCCCCTTTTGATTTTTTTTTTTTATTAGTAGAAATCCCCCATCATGACACGGTTTTACTGCCCCCCCTGGGCAAGAGAAAACCATGCTTGTATTATAATTTTATGGTTCCACCTGAGTCACCGGTTGGCACCATAAATGGTTACCCAACCACGTGTGCAAAGGGATGAAGAGGTGTACGTTGCACAATTTGCGCGTGATATTTTTTGCCGGGACAACGAAGAAAAGGGAAATTCAGATCAAAATTGGTAACCCCTTCAGTTTGTGTTTAACTGGGAATGTAACGTATGGAGGTGGGTTGCAGCGGTGGGGTATATATTTCCAGCGCGTGGCCTTTCGCTTGAACCGTGGGTGAGGGACGACCATTCTGCCATGCGTTGTTCGCTAATCTGGGGAACACTTCACAGCAACTTATGCACACCGCATAGACGTTTTCTTTGCAAGTGGAATTGATAACTGGGAATTGCAAATAAAGGATAATTTAGTTTTTTTTTCTCTCTATTTTTTTTTTTTTCTTAAAATTATGGAATTCCCTTGATGCTACACCGTAACAAGGACAGATCGATCGCGCACCAAACTGGAAAAGTCCAATTAGGGCGGATGATAAGTTGTGTTGGACGCCCCATCATTAATATAGTTTCTTTTCTCCCTCTTTGGGACGGGTTCGCCCGCAGGTTATTCCCGTATGCCTTGGGAATACGCCCCCAAAAGGTATGCCAGAAAAATACGGCAAAAATATATGGCAAAAGAATACGCCAAAAAAATATGCTTAAAAGATGCGCTTAAAAAATAGGCTTAAAAAATACCCCCGCAAAATCTCCCTCCAACGGGTGCACCTCCACGTATACACGGCCCCGCTTTGTGCCTTCCTCGGGAGAAATTCCTCCACCACCCCCCAAGCACCGGAGGGGGAAATCAGCTGTGCGCACGACTCACCATTTGGTCGACCGGCTGGCTAGCTGGATGATTAGCTCCTTCGCAACTGTGAAGTGGCCAAATGCGTAATTCATCAAATGGAGAAAAAAGAAAAAAAACAAAAAAGCGTAAAAAAAAAACGGAAAAAGAAGCAGAAAAAAAAGCAGAAAAAGAAGCGGAAAAAGAGGCGGAAAAAGAAGCGGGAAAAAAGTGGAAAAGTTAAGCAAAGCGAAGTAACGTAAAGGGGGAAAAGAAAACACCCTACGAGATAACCAAACAAATTTTTAAGTTGAACAACGAAAGAGAACGATTAATAGATTTGCCGCCTGTCATCATAAAGGCAACTCCATTTTTGTAGTTATTGTTCGTCATTGGCAAAGCCACCAATTTTTGTGCATGACGTGAACGTGTGAGGAAAGGAAGAAAAGTCCAGTTGTTCTTTCCTGTGAGCGTTTTGTGGATCTCCGGCGGGGGGGAAGCACGCGAGGGGAGGAAGAGCCCAAGCGTAGACGAAGCGGTCACGTGGAAACGACGCAGTCACGCGTAGACCACACAGCCACGCACAACCCGCGAGCGAGGAAATAAAATGAGCAGAGAGGAGTAGCATGAATACGAACAAAAATAAAACGTTTCACAAAAAACTGAAGAATAAAAGAGTAATCAAGGAATTTTCCTACGTTTCTTTTAAGAAGGAAATTGCGAAGCTGTACGAAGAGGAGAAGGACTTCTTTAAGCAGATGCATAATGGAACTCTATCGTCGAAAGATGTTGTAAAATGTGACGGGGTGAGTGAAGAGTGTGGGGAGCAGCACGTGGGGCAACAGAAGAAGCGGCACACGGAGCGGCTGCTGGGAGAGACACAGAAACTGCCAGCGGAGCAGCGAGACGGGGGGCACCCCCTTGATTGTGTCGGGTTAGTGGTCAAAGTACAGAAAGAACATACGACGGCGCACCCTTTACAACCAAAGAGCGACAAAAGACAAGAGGCCACCAAGGGGGAGAATCCCAAAGGAGGTGCAACAGGCCGAGTCGATGTTCTGAGAGCACCATTCCTGGGGGACAAAGACACGGAAAGTTTCCACTCGTGTTCTATGGAGAAGCACGTCGAGGGGGATAGCGCGATGAGTGCAGTGAGCCGTGTGGAGAGGAAGAAGCCCCAAATGGGGGAAGCCAAGTTGGAGCAGGCGAAGAAGGGGGAGAAGTTGAAGAAGGGGGAGAAGCTGAAGAAGGGGAAGAAGTTGGAGTCGCCAGAGAAGTTGGAACCGGTGGATAAGTCGAAGAAGTCGGAGCAGGCAGAAAAGGAAGTCATAAAGCAAGTGCTACAAATCATTATAACGAAAAAAAAAATCACTGATATTGTAAAAACGCACTTTGATGAGAAGAAGATAAAATTTATAAGCACACAAATGATGAGATACATTTTAAAGAAGGCACAAAAAAACGTGGACTTCCAGATGATAAAGATTCTTCTGATTCAGAATGTGGACAAGAAGAACATAGAGAGCACAATAAACACCAAGGGGAAAAGGAAGTTATTCAAAAATTATATTTTTTCCAAGCAGAAAGTGAGGGCCATAGAGTGTGTTCTTCTTCACATTGCTCAGATGGACGAAGAGCATTTCACTTTTCGTGAGGCTTATAATGAGTTAGACATATCTTCCGATGAGTACCTGCTGTGTGTGGAAGCCGTGTGTGTTTATCTGACCAAGAACGTGCAGAAGGATAAGGCGAATTATAAAAAATACTTGGCTATACATCGGCACGTTAGGGAACTTTTGCGTGAAAATTCCAGTGCATATGAGAGCGCCAGTAGTAGATCCGTACATGGCACCACGGGAGTGGATACGCAGGAAGATGAGGACAGTCAGAGAATCAAAGAGAAGAAAAAGAAGAAGAAAAAGAAAACCAAAAATAATGCCACTGAGGCAGAGGCGGACGATATTGCCCCTCTGCGCAATGACGAGGGGGGATGTGCGAGCTGCAAGACCGGGGGGAACAGCGGCAGAGCTGAAGGGGGGGGACCCACAAACAGCAGCACAGACAGGAGCAGCATAGATAAAAGCAGCACCGCCAAGAGTCTCGCAAAGAGCACCATCGCGAAAGTTCCACATCAACCCGATGCGCACCACGAAGGCTCTGAAAAACTGCTCAAAATGGTGAACGAAGAAATGAAAAAAAGGGACCGCGAAATTGACACACTAAAAAAGTCACTGGAGCTGATAGAGAAGAATGTGAAGCTGCTGCTGAGGAAGAGTGACGTGAGGACAGATTCGGTGGAGGACTCGTTGGAGGCTTCCAGAACGAGCAACTCTTCTTATTGCAGCGCGGAGAGGGCACCTCCACGTGTGAAGTCAGCCGTGAAGTTAGCCTCCAAGTCAGCCGAGAAGTCATCTGTCAAGTTAGCCGCGAAGACAGCCGCAGAATCACCTGTAGCCATCCCTATAAGCGACGAAGATGTAACGTCGTTCAGGCAAAAGGCATTCGTCCTGATGAATCTGTTGAGTGAGCACCTCACCGAGAAGGAAACCAAAACAGGCGCAAGTTCGAAGAAGCAAACGGAAGGGGAGCCACTAACCCTGAATTATCTGAACGATGAGATTGACAGACTGATAGGACTCATGACGAGGGGCGACAAACCGTGTGTCTACAAACCGTGTGTCTACAAACCGTGTGTCTACAAACCGCGTAGCTCCAAACCGTGTGGCGACGTGGGGCAAAACAGCAGTGAGGTGTGGAGCCCCTCGGAGGGAGCCTCCAACTTCGAGGAAGAACGAAACAAATTGGTATCTCCCCAAATGAAGGGAATCAACAAAAAGGGAAAGGCAACCAAAGTTGAGCATTTCGAAGAGCAATTCCCCCAGCAGTCCCACGAGCAGATAAGTGTGGAAGTATCAAATATGGGGAGAAAAGCAGTAGACAGGGAAGGGAACAGAATTGTACACACGACGGGGAAAACTGTTTCTGGGAAAATGGGCTCCTCTAAAGTGAGCTCCTCCAAAGTGGTTTCCCCAAAAGTGGATTCTTCCAAAGTGGGCCCCTCCAAAGTCGGGTCAACATCCGAGTTAAAGAAAAACGATTTGTCCAAGATGGAGATGAAGGTTTCCCCACAAAGCAGATACACAGACAGGGTGAAAGAAAGGCAAAAGAAATCATCCATTTACGCATATGATATAGGTACCACGCGGTGGAACAACCCCTACAGCGTACTTGAACCCAAAAGGGAAAGGAAAAAAAATAGCATCGTTGAATACGTTAATAATTTTATGAACACTGTAGCGACTGATCAGAGGAACAAAGAAATATCATCTCTGGAGAGTAGCAAAAGGGAAGACATAATTACTTCTCAAAACACTAGCTCGGATGCATCTGTCATTGTCGTGAACACGAATAGGAGGAGAAACTATTTCCAAGAATACATGAATTACTGCAATGAGGCTGACGAGGATGATGGGGATGGAGAGCAGAGTGACCTCGTACCGGTGAATAAGGCCTCCCATGTGTACTCCAGGGGCGGGAGGACCACAAACCAGTGGAAACGCGAGAATAAAGAGAAAAGAGAAAAGGAGGCGGAGGAAGATAAAGAAGGGGGGAACGAAAACCGGGCCAAAAGCGAACACCTGATGAATCTGAATGCGAAACAGACCAACCGCATGCTGAGCATCGGTAAGCTTAACAGCAATAACACGACGACGACAAACCACAGCGTACAGAGGCGACACACCGGAGTTGCGGAGAACAGTGATCGGAATGAGGAGGAAGATAAGGGGAAGAAGAAACAGAAAGAGCAGAAGGGAAGCGCTCATGAGGTGGTGCAGGCGCTAGCGCAGGGGATAGTAATAGCGGGTAGACGGGACGGAAGGGAGGAGAACCCAGCCAAGGAAAGGAAGAATAAAGAAGGCGAAGAGAGGGATAAGAAGCAGAGTGAGAAAAAAGACGAAAAAGACGAAAGTGACGATGAGGAGGAGGATGAAAAGAAGACGAAACAACCTCCGCAGCAGTTGGACGAGCTGGACAAGGTGAGCGACCATACCACGGAAAGCGGCGACAGCGTCGTCTACAACTACAACCTCTACAACGCCATCTACGATATGAACGAACAGTTTTCCAGTATGGTGAAAAATATGTACTTAGACGAAGACGTTGGGGGGGGGACCGTTGGAGGGGCTCCGGAAAATGAAAAGGCGAAGTCGAAGGGGAAGAAGGAAAAGGGAAAAAAAGGAAGCAAGGGGCTCCAGCAGGAAGTGGAAGAAGACTCGGGCCAAGTGAGTGACATCGCAGAGAGTGGCGAAAAAAGGAGGAGACAGGAGAAACTGAAGAAGAAGGCCAAAAAGAAGGAAGAGAAACGGAGAAGGAAGGAACTGCTGCTGGAAGAAAAGAGGAAAGTGAAGGAAACAAGAAAGGAACAGAAGAAAAAAATAAAAGAAATGAAAAAGGAAGAAAAGAGGAAAATGAAGGAGGCGGAAAGGGAGAAGAAGCAGAAGCTGAAGGAGGCGCAGGAATCGAAGGAGGCGAAAAAGGCCAAGAAGGCCAAGGAGGCGAAGAAGGAAAAGAAGGCAAAACGGATTGCAGCCAAAGCAGCCGCAAAGGTAGAGGAAAAGTCGGGCGCAAGCCCAGCGGCCGGGCGCGTGGAGGGAAACCTCACAGAGTACTCCTCCATGAGGGAGAACAATCCCAGTGAAGACACTCAGGCGGGACCCCCCCCAAACAACGACTACAACTTCATCGATGCCACGTCCAGTGAAAGGCAGAAGAGGATGAAGACGCACGGGGGGAGGACCATATACGATGAATACATAACTCAGGAGAAGGCAATTAGGGGCATCATCAAGAAGAAGTACATACGGGTAAGTGGCTACGGAGTGTATCAGATGATCGGGTTGGTGTTGGCGTGGATGGGCTCCTGTGTGTCTTCGCTACGCGAGGGGGGCGAATCGATTGGGCGCGCCTTCCGGGGGGCCATCCGCGGGTCCGCCGTGTGAAAAGCGTGTGCGCTGCTTCTCCCCCGCGGCGTCACTGCGTCGTTGCGTCACTGTGTCCCCACTTCGGTTTTACCCCTTCTTCACCGATTAAAATCGCTCCTCCCCTTCTCGCAGGGCATCCTCACCGTCCGGAGGCACGACTACGGGTTTGTCATCTGCAACGACAGGAAGGTGCACATAAAGTCGAAGAAGGACATGAACAGAGCGATCGACGGGGACGCAGTGGTGATCAAGCTGAAGAGGGACAAAAGGGGAGAGGCAAGCGAGGTTGGAGAAGAGAAATGGGGAAGAAAGATCACCCATAAGGAGCACAGAAAGGGGGGAGCAAAGTCCAGCGCCTGGCTGGAGGAGAAGAAGGAAGACGAACTTACAGGGAAAATAATCTACATAGAAGAACACCACGGGTCGAACATCCAATACGTCTGCATCTTTAGAGAAAAAATGAAAAAGCAAAAGTTCAGTATGGCCATCCCATTTAAAAAAAGCATCCCATTTATTAAGGTAGAAAACAAACACATAATTGAGTTCATGAAGAGGAGTAACGTCATGGACATAACGAACCAGCTGGTCTATATAAAAATATTTCGATGGAATACAAATGAATTGTTCCCACAAGGGAGAATTGTAGAGCTGCTTGGGCAGAATGACTTGTTTCACAACATGCAAAATGCTATTTTGCTAAACCACAATTTAAACTTCAATTTGAAAGAACCTTTGGAAGATAACTTTTTAAAAAAATTGAAGAACAAAGACATTCTATACAGCGATATAATGAATGAGGAAGTAAAGAAAAGAATTGACTTGAGTAAAAAATGCATCTTCACCATAGATCCAGAAACTGCCAGGGATCTGGATGATGCCATTAACATCAGCCGAATAAGTAAAAAAAAAATCGTCCAGTGTAATTTTTACATTAAAGTTATTCACAACTTGATGGTCCACAATGGAGAAATCGAGGAGTCCATTTTGCAAAAAAATCTCTCTTTTTTTGTTAAAGAGGATGATGATTTTTTCCAGACACTGAAGGAGAATAAATACATCAAGGAGATGGAAGATATTAAGTACGAAAATTTTGTCAAAAATAAAATGGAAGGGGATAAAAAAAAAAAAAAAAAAAAAAAAAACTTAGGGGAAGAAGCTGTGAAAAAGTACACTGGGGGGGATTACCAGCATTATCACGTGGATAAACCCCGTGGTAACTCCTCTAGGAAAAGGAAGAACCGCCCCGATGAGACGTACACCCGTTACGCAGACGGGGCGAATCAACATATGGAAAGCAGCAGCCTCGCGGAGGGAAGCTCCCTGCATAAAGGCAGCAGTAGCGAACAGGTCACAGCGAACTACCACCACGTGGTAGGGAATAAGAAGGGAAGGTCCAAGTATGATCCCCTCAGGGCGCACAAAAATTATGGTGAGTCGGAATCGGACACGGGGATCCGCAGCACCGCGAGGGGAGCACATAGAGGTGTAAGGAAGGGCGAAATGAAGGGCGGAAGGAGAAAAAGGGACAGTCACCTGGGGAGCTGCCAAAACCCGTTTGAGGATTCCTCTATGTGTAATTCTGGCGGGGGTAGGCAGAATGAGGAGGATAGCGGTGACGACGAGGGGGAAAGCGGTGACAGTGAGGTGGATAGCGGTAACCAGGATGGAGATGACGGTAACAGTAATGGAAACCGTAACGGTAACTACCATCGGCATGTCAACATGGATTATCGCGCCAGCCCTAGCAAGCTCGCCAAGTACCAGCATATCTTCAAAAAGTACCTGAACGAAGACATAGGGAGGGACGTCCTGAGCAACAACGACTTGTTCTGCGAAAAGTGCAAGAGAAACATAACCCTGAAGGAAATAATAAGAGACATGACGGAGAAGAAGTGGAAAAGGTACAACTTGTTCGAAGTGGGAGTGCACATCACAGACGTTTCCTATTTCATCAAAGAAAACTCTTCCCTCGACATCGATGCGCGGAATAGAGCTATGACGATTTATCTGACGCATACTTGCTTCCCCATGATTTCTCGCATTTTAAGTGAGTGTTTGTGTAGCCTGGACCCTATTAGCAGTCGCTTATCCTTGTCGATATTTTTTTACATGGATAGTGCAGGCAGAATGGATCATAATTCTTTCTTCATCAAGGAGAGCATAATAAACAGCAAGGTGAGATTTACTTATGAGGAGGTATACTTGCTTGTGAAACATTATAGCAAATTGAGAAAGGTAATTAACCGTTTGATGAAGGAGGAACGCAACAGGGGGGGTACGCCCTTTTTGGGAGTCCCCGCTGGGGGGGATAGTGCTGCGTGGGGGAAGCAGCAGGAGGGAGATGATTCCCTGATGGGAGCAACTGTTGGAGAAGCTCTCCATTTGGGAGAACACGCCAAACAGGGTATACACGATATACACACCGCGGAAAATGGTCAAAGTTGTCAAACTGCCCAAACCGCCCAAACTGCACCAAAAAGGCCCGTCTCGCTGGTCGAAGCTGAGAAGGAGCAAGTCAGCCAGAAGAGCAGCCTGTACAGGAAATTCCTCAACCTGCATTTTTACTCGAAGAAGAAGAAGAGCGCAAGCGGCGAGTGCGAGAATGGCTTGTCTGGGGAGGCTACCAATGGGCGAAGCGAACCGAGTGGCGCGCACCACAAGGGCGGAAGTAACAACGGCGGAAGTAACAAAGTGCTGCTCAACGGAAGCAACACCGAGGAGGTGAAGAAGACGAACACACTGATGAAACAAAACATTCTCCAAAACGAAGAAGTAAAAAAAGGAGTAAAGGATATCCTAAAAACGTTCAAAAGTCTGAACAATAGAAATTACAAGCTATCCTACAGGAAAATCTTCCACATCGTAAAAAATCTGTATTACCTGCACAAAGTTACCAAACGGGCAAGAGTCATACGAAGGAATAATGGCTCCCTCCTTTTCAATAACGACAAAATGAATATCATCCTGTCGAGCACATGTACCCCCATAGCAATTGTGAAGAAGAAATTTACCTTTGCTAACTACTTAGTGGAGGAACTCATGTTAAGTGCAAACAAGTTAGTTGCCATTCGTCAGTATTTTAGTAAATATAGAGACGTATCCGTTTTTAGATGCCACAGTATGGATAACATAATCGAAACAAGTGACATCATTGAAGTTTTAGAGAAGCATGGGATTTATTTGCAAGTCTCCGATTTGAGACATATTTTGAAATTTTTGGATGAGGCCAGAAGTGTGATTAAACAGAAGAGCAGAAACATCTCCGACATCGTGTGTGCTTATGCTAAGAAGAAAATGATGAGGGCAGAATATCACACGTTTAAACATATTAAGGACAACCACATGAGCACTTACCACTACGCGCTGTCGTTTCTTTTGTACACGCATTTTACTTCTCCGATAAGGCGATATCCAGATATTTTGGTTCACCGCGTCATAAAGAAAATCATCAGTGACGAGAACAAGCTGAGCGGCCAGCTGTGCACCAGGCAGGAAATCCTGGCCGCACCGGACACCTCCGACGTGGTACGTAGGGGAGGAGCAGCGCACCAGAGTTAGAAGCGTTAGAAGCGTTTTCGGCTGTTAGAAGCGTTTTCGTGTGTTAGCGCGTCTGCCTCTTCTAGCCCGTTCACTTCATTCCGTGCAGACATTTCTACCCCATTTGCACATTATCGTGCTCACCTATGTGTGCGCCCCTTCCCCCCCCCTTTAGGGCATCATTGAGAAAATTTGCGAAAACTGTAACAACTGCAAGACAAAATCCAAATGGGCCCAGATAGACTGCGAAATTGTAAGGAGCTTCTTCTGCGCGGAGAAGTGCAGATGGGAGGGAAAAACCAGTCCTCTCACCAATTTTGTGTGTCACTTTTGGCATGTCGAAGCGGATGGTCTCTTCGCCATTCGATCCAGGTGTACTACACCATTTGAGGAACACCTCCCTTCCGTGTATGTCCCCACTGGCATGAATAATTTCTCCTTTTTTTTGTCAGGCCTTTTTCTGCCTGTATTTGCAGAAAAGAGACTGTCCGGGTTACAACAGGGGTGGGTCATTCGTCTGCTCCGTTTGTTCATTTGTTCATCTGTGTTTTCCTCACACGATCACATGTTTTTTTTTCACATGTTTTTTTTTCACATGTTTTCTTTTCACCCGCGCGCATGTTATTTCTGTATACACCCCCCCCCTACAGGCATCATCATGGATATTTACCGGGAGAAGTCCTCCATATTCTTCAAGTCCTTCTCATTTGAAAATGTAAAAACTGAGAGACATGATTTTCCGGGCGGAGGATTTAGCAGATCGGCATGCTGCGGCGCGGTCACATGTGAAACCAGCTTTCCCGCACTGTACAATTCGTTACTCATCATTTCTTTTTTCCCCACCCCTCCAGAGCCTCTACTACAGCGGTTACGAAAAACATATCAGCAAAATGAATAAGAGTCATCAGGTATAATCTGCCCAGCGCCGCTTTTTCCCCATTCCCCGAGAGGAGATTCCCTCCCCCCTGTGCATATTCATATGACCACTCGGTGAAACACCCAAACAGGCAAACAAGCAGACACTCAAACACGCCAACACATTTGCATGCATCTCTGCACTTCCTCATTTTAGGAATATCTGAGCAACTACGTTATACAGCCAAATATGGTCAAGCAGGAGGTAAGGTGGAAAAATGGAAATGCAACTAGCATGGCATGGAGTTAGCAAGCTGGCCCAAGGCCGCAAAGGTGTATGACGTGCATATGCTTCACACCGTTTTTGTGGTCCCCCATTTTTTTTTTTTCGCGTTGCAGCTTACACTTCATGTTTACAATGCCAACAAGAGAAAGGTCCTCATGCGAAGGGTGTACAAGGTATGAAGAGGGACACATAGTTATGAGCAATCCTAGGGAGGAGGAAGATAGAAAAAGAAAAAAAAAAAAAAAAAGTCACCATTGCTTTGTTCAATTGAACCGAGCACCCCTGGTTGATGGTCCGCACCTCCGCAACGCTTATGCACATGTGGAGTAAAAAAAAAAAAAAAAATACCACCAACTCAAATTTACAATCCTTTTTTTTTCCCCCTTTCCAGCGATTCGATTATATTCCCCTGTATTTTTTCCCCTTGAACACGATGCCGCCATCGTATTTCCTGGCCGTCGCCATTGACAAGTGAAGAGGAAGCTCCAGTTGCAATGACAAAGCAGCGGAAAGGTCGACACCGTGAAATCACACAAGGACAGAGGGACACGTCCCCAAGAGAGTGAGCCATCGGTTGACCACCTTCCCACGGGGACGCCAAGCTGCAGGAATCGTAGGGATTAAGGCAACGGAAGGGGAAAGTGCCACACCCCACCCTCCCGTTCGTAACGTCTCCCGTGTGTTTCATTTCGCACTGTCACCTTTTTGTAGCATATGTGCTCCGATTTGCCATCTTTCGGCCCTTTCGTTCCGCGCGCTGCTCTGTAACTTTGGTCGAGTAGCATGCGTCATTTAAGGCTGCGGAAGCAGCCCTTTTTTTGGTGTCATCCCAAAGTGCGCCCCTTCAGCACGAGGAGCGGCTAGCGGGAGAGGCAGCTAACCGGATAGGCGCCTTGCCTATCAGTTTGTTAACCCCCAATTTGTAAATAACTCATTTGTAGATATCTCATTTGTAGATAACCCATTTGTAGATAACCCATTTGTAAATAACTCATTTGTAGATAACCCACTTGTAAATAACTCATTTGTAAGAACTGCTTTGTAAGAGACCCATTTGCGGGTCCTTCCCTCTTGAAGGGTGCAACTTGCCCTTCTGTCATTTCCCCCACCCTCGCTGTCTGCACCATGTGAAAGAGGCACCTCTCGACCGAGTGTGCTTCTGTTTTCTCCGCTGAGGAGAACCACTCCGTGCGTGTGTCCCTCGCGCCTACCGCGGCCCACGACGTAACAATGGCACACGTGAATCTCCTCGTGTATCTGATTATGTGCCCCTTCAATGTGAGGCACATACTCGATGCGCCCAGCTTCCCATTCCGGTTAAGAAGCAAAACAGCAAAGGGTGAAACATTTATGTATGGAGCGACTGGAAGAGAAAACCGGGGGAATTCCTTTTCCCGACATGATGAAATGTACATGTTGGACCTAGCGAAAATATATTATCAAATTGTGTTAAAATATAAGAGGGATGTTAGACAAGGACAGGAAGAGAATTACGATTTGGTGGTAAGCTCCTTTGGGAAGGAAGCCAACATGATGGGGATCTCCCTCCAAAGAGTCCGCGTCACAAATGATGCCGTATACCTGTCCTACCAGAAGGTGCAAAACGGACGAAATGAACGAAACGGACGAGACGAATCAAACGAACCAAACGAACGAAACGAACATCCCATCCAAGTTAAGATAAACAGGGGTGAAGAAATATCTACCTATTTGGACCTCCTAAGGTTGAATTCCTGTTTGTACAAGCTCAACTCAGACGATTACAATTTCATGAAAAGAGCATCGGATCATAGCAAGCCAATAATGATCAGCACATACCACATATATATACTGCTGATTGTCTTTTCCCTTTGCACTTACGTGGAGAAGAGTCTTCTGCTTCACATCCCAGCGTTGAAGAAGTGTCAAGTATTTCTAACCCTATGTTTGGTGTTTTTCCCAATAATTAGTTACCTGTTCTTTTTTTATACTTATGCGAGCCTATTTGGAGTGCTCCTCCTGTATGTGCTTTTTTACTTCCTATTTTGGAACCTGTCTTGTAGAAGGAGAGGGGAGGGATTGGGCCAGCATACCGGTCATTGGAAAATGGACCGCGATAACCTAGAAGAACTCGACACACAACAGGAAAGACGCCAGAAGTGTTTGGTCCATATGAGAATAGCTAACCTATGCATTACCTACATATGCATATTCGCTGTCGATTTCTATTTTTTCCCAAGACAATTTTCCAAATCGTTTTTTTTTGGGAACACTTTGATGGATTTAGGGGTCGGGGGATGCATCACGTCCAGTGCGTATTCTCTAAACAGGAGGAAGCTCATTCACTCTGCTAACCTCAGGGGACGTATAATCGATTGGAAGCATTTCATTTTGTTTTCCCTGGGAATAGCTAGATACATTGCAGTCAAATTATTCAATTATAGTTACAGCTTAACTGAGTATGGGATGCACTGGAATTTTTTTCTCACTCTCTTTTTTACATTCCTAATTTGTAACGCCGTACTCACCTTGATAAAAGGGGTTAGACGTATCTTTCTCCTTAGCTGTGTTCTTATCTGTGTGTATGAATTTGTTATTTGGCATCTAGACCTTACGAATTACTTACTGGCAGACGATACAGAACGGACCCACTTTTTTTCCTTGAACAGAGAGGGCCTTATGAACGTCATTGGGTCTGTTAATCTGTACCTCTTTTCCTTTTCCCTTTGGAATGGATATGTGCTGCAGGATGAGGTGCATCAGGATGAGGTACCCCAGGGGAAGCGAGCACAGTGGCAGCGATATGCGCATCTCTCCCCAGTTTGCCTCACCCTGAAGTTGTTTACGATGTCCCTCCTGTTCCACCTGCTGCACCTCCTTCTGAATTACTACCGAAACTACAGTGTGCGCATTTTGTGCAACGCCAACTATATATGCGTTATCTCCTCCGTGAGTCTCTTCGCGGCTTCCCTCAGCTACTTCGTAGAGGCAATACTCCTACGCGAGAAGACCACCACCATCCCAGTTTTGCAAAAAATGAATAGGCACTCCCTCGCAGTGTTCCTCTTTTGCAACATAACCATGGGAGCTTTCAACCTGCTGTTTCAGTCCCTCTTGTTTCCTCTATTTTTTGCATGCATCGTTTTGGCGGCGTACTCATATGGTATGTTGCGCTTCGCATCCATGTTGCCTGGACCCGCGGAGAGGGAGAGGGCGAAGCAGAAGGAGAAGCATTATTAATATTGAGGGGTCTTTCGTTGGAGGAGAGGGAAGTCATACCGCGTGTCCAATTTCGCTGTTGGCCCCACCCACTGGGTCTATTTTTTATCCTGTGTGTGTGTGTCTCTGTCTGGTTCTGTACATTCTCAGGAAGGTGACCGAACTGGGACAACGCCCGTTACAACTTTTTGCCATTTTTTCAAACTGCTCAGTTTTGGTTAGTGCGAGCATCGCGCGAGTTCCCGCGGCACTCCACATGGAAAAACAAAAAAGGGGAACCTCTACACGGGCATACAACATATACATATGTGCATACATGCATATAAGTATACACATATACATATGTGCACATAGTTATATATCTGTATCTGTTTCTATTTGGACTCTTATTCGGGTGCGCGCGGTGAGGCGCAATTTGCTTCCACCCGCTGATCAGCGCATATCACTCCGCGGGGTGGTGTCCTGTCCATAGTGCTTGTCCATCGTCACTTGAATGCAGCGAGACAACTCCTCCACGCTCATTTCGATTTTGTTCCTCAGAAGGATGTCGTGGAATACCTTCACGATGTTTTCCTCGTAAGTTTTTATTTGCAAATCGACCTACACAAAGAAGGGAAAAAAAAAAAAAAAATAAAATAACTTTTCCGCGTATGCTATGTGACACGTGGAGGCATCATCCTCCCTCAGCTTTTCCCTTCCTCCTGTTGAATAAGCTTCAATTGGGACAACAGAACGGATTTACCTTCGAATAGAGGTCCATAAGATTCATCTCGTGTTGTTTCCTTTCTTGCGAAATGGCGCTTCTCAGATCATCATTCACCCTGCACTGTTCCTTTATTCGATTCTGCAGTGCCTTCACTTCCATTCCCTCTGACTCACGCTTGTCCTCTTCCATTTTGTTCTTCAGCTCTGATCTAAAAAGGGGGAGAACAATCATTTGGCACAATGCGCACGTGATTGTGTGTTTGTGGAAACGGCAGAGGGATAAGCACGTGGGAGGAAAACATCCTCCTGGGTATGCTCCACTGCGCTTAAAGGAGTACATTTTTTTCTTTAAGGTTGCGTTCTCTTTCTTGAGGTCACCAATCGTTTTGGTTGCTTGGGTTTGGTGCGCCTGCATGGCGGTCTGCACGGGAGGAGAGTGGACGGGCGGTTTGCCAACAGGATGACAGCTCTAAAGAGGTTATCATCATAAATGCACGAAGACACTCGAAATAGCCACACGGATGTGGAGTACGTACAACTATTCAGGCCCAACAAGTATATAAAGCAGCCCCTACCTTCGCACTCTCCTTCACATCGGCTTCAAACTTCCTGCAGGCGGCTATGCACATTTCGGTCATCTTCCTGTTGTCGTCCCTTTTCTCCTTCTCCTTCTTCCGACCAATTTGCAGTAGTTCAAGAGACACATTTCTGTATTTCCTAGAAGGGGAAAAAACATCCTAGTTGTGTGTGCAGTGGGATTTTTTTTTTTTTTTCTCTCAAATGGCTAGTCGTATTCCTCTCCGGCGTACTGAATTAAAAAATCAACATCGAGGAGGACGTTATTTTTAATTTGTCCAATTTGGTGGATGTGCCTTTTTCTGATTTTCCTGAGGACACGTTCGTATTTCTCAATCAAGTGGACTTTTTCGCGTTGCTCTTCTGCATTTCTGTGTTTGTAAATTTCGATGGTCTCGATTAGCTGCAACAGGGTTCGATGAATTCCATGTACAGTGACCAGGTATCAATTAGAAATGGGAAGAAGCTGGTATAAGCGGTTGCGTGCATGTGTAACACCTCCCTGATATGTATGTATTCATTTCTTACCTGCGGAATAGGGCACGAACTTTCCCCTTCTGGGTCATCTGCGCCAAGGTCATCGTCCCTACAAGGGGGTAAAAAAAAAAAACACACATAATAAAAGGAGAACCATTGTCTATGATCCCCCATGTAACTTCATTTTTTTTTTTTTTTTTTTTTTTGCAAACATATGATGATCTCCCATTTTGTGTCATTCACAATTTTGGGACAACCTCCTCATTAATGTCCTATTGGTTGGTTCCCCCTTCTTCTGCGGATTTCCACTTTCTATCTGGATCCTATCCTGTTCGTCTTCCGCGTTTGTTTTACCTTCCAGGTGCACCCCCTTCTCCCTTGGTAAATCTTTCTTTTTTCGCTTGTGCATTTTTTTCTCCTTTTCCAGCCTTAACTTGAGCATGTAAAGGTGATCAATCAGTGTTTTAATCTGTGCAAGGCGAGGGGGGGGAAAGCACGCATATGGGTGATGGCGCGGAAAATGTGATAACACCTCGCGCGTCTAGCCGATATACCCTGGTTAACCATACCGATGAGTTCACTCCTTTTACCCGTTGTCGAAGGCATTACTCAGGTGAAGTTACTTCACCAGGATGAAAACTCACCTGAGAGTCTACTTTCATGCCATTCGTAGGAATTGGGCTGGCATTAACCCCCACGATGAGGGTGCTTTCCTCAGTGGCACCCTGCCGAAGGGCATGCTTTACGTAGTCCTTGAAATGGTTAGCAGTTGACATGCTGTCACATAGGTTGTTTTGTCGTGGGGTTTCCTTCGTCCTTTCTATATTTAAGATGAAGGAAGAAGACACAACAAAAGGGGGGGGGGGAGATTTTTTTTTTTTTTATATTCCACCTTTTAAGTTCAAATTGGCATAATAATTTGCGGAAAGAGGGGACAAAAAACGGGACAGCGGAAGAGAGGGGACAAAAAACAGGACAGCAAAAAAGGGGGAAAAAAAAAACGGGACAGCGGAAAAGAGGGGACAAAAAACAGGACAGCAAAAAAGGGGAAAAAAAAAACAATTCCTCGGAGGTTAACTCGGTAAGCATTTCCTTGCTGCGACAGGTAGTTGAAAGTCCCTTTCTCTGCTCAGGGCTCCACTGTGGAAATTACTCGCCCGAAAGTGTGCACGCTGCACTTGTAAGACACGGGAGGGAGAACTTCAGAAGGGTGTGTCCATGAACGGGAAGGGCAATGAAAACGAAAGTGGGAAAATCAGTGTGCAATTTGATGTGCAGTTTGATGTGTAGTCTGATGTGCAGCTTAATGTGGAATAAATGTTGCTAAAATTGTTGCCTCAAACGTTCCCGCAGACGCCCCCGCAAATGTGCGCGCTACTTGATGCACCAGGCGGGAGCTGCTGAACGCCGCGGCTACGGTGGACCCCACCTTTGCGTGAGCATACGACACGCCCTGAGGCAACCAGGAGGAGCCTCCGTGGAGAAAAAAAAGAAATAAATAAAATGAATAAATCAAATAAATAAAATGAATAAATCAAATAAATAAAATAAATAAATCAAATAGATAAAATGAATAAATAAAAAAAAGAAGAATAATAAAAGATTATTTGCCCATGACTGAGCCCTGCATGCACTGTGTAGAACAGCCCTGAGTTGAAACTCCGTTTTACAATTTTTTTTCTTTTAAGCTTGCTCTCCCCAGCAGTTTTCTTTCCTCCCTCCAGGAAAATACTTCCATCAACTGGCAATTCATCTTTATGCGAAAGGGACAAGTGGAGCAGAGGAGAAAATCGAGACATCACACCTGTCACTAAACCTTCTACAGAGCTGCAGTTGATCTGCTGAGGTGGTTAAGCGGCGTTCCTTGATAAGGTGGGGAAAAGCACACTTCGTACATTTCAAGCGTTACTGCGAACAGCTCGCAGGGGCAGCGTTCAAGCAGGGGAAACAATATATTCGCGAGCGCGAGACAGCCAGATGAGAATGCGCGCGAGAAGACTGGTCCAGCTGGCGGCCCTGCTGATGTGGGCCCTGCTGCTGTGCACCACCACAGTCGGCGCCATACTGAGGAATGGCGCGAAGGGGCGGGCACAACCCAAGTGGGAAATCCCAAGGGGAGGGAACTCCAGGGAAATGCAGTTTATGGCCAGCAAAATAATAAAGGGGGTAGCTCATAACAGGAAAATCTTGCAACACTCATCACATTCAGAACACATGGTGAGTGAGCAAAATGGGGAAGGAGAAGAGACAACCAAAAAAGGGGAATCCCTTGGAGACATCTGCTTCATCGCAGGAGTAGGCGACACCAATGGATACGGGTGGGGAATCGCAAAAGAACTGAGCAAAAAAAACGTAAAAATAATTCTAGGGGTATGGCCCCCAGTGTATAACATTTTCATGAAGAACCTCCAAAATGGAAAATTTGATAACGACATGGTGATTGAAGAAGGTAGAAAAATGGACATTCTCGATATCCTTCCCTTCGACGCCGCATTCGATTCGTCTAACGACATAGACGAGGAAACGAGAAAGAACAAAAGGTATGCCAATTTAGAAGGTTATTCCATCGAAGAGGTTTCCAAATTGGTCTATAAAAAATATGGGAAGATAAACATGTTAGTTCATTCATTGGCTAATGGAAGAGAAGTGGAGAAGAGCCTTCTTGACACAAGTCGAGGTGGTTATCTGGATGCACTGAGCAAAAGTTCCTATTCTCTTATAGCTCTATGCAAGTATTTCTGCCCAATCATGCATCCCGAATCGAGTGTAATCTCCTTGACATACTATGCGAGTCAGAAGGTGGTGCCTGGGTATGGGGGAGGCATGTCAAGTGCTAAGGCAGCGTTGGAATCTGACACGAGAACTTTAGCCTACCACCTGGGGCGAAAGCACAAAATTAGAGTTAATACCATCAGTGCGGGGCCTCTTAAATCAAGGGCGGCAACTGCCATCAATAAGGGCCGTCCCCAACCGGGTGCAGACGAAACGGAAAAGAAAAATTTGGCATTTATAGATTACGCCATTGAGTACTCAGAAAAGTATGCGCCTCTTCAGCAGAAGTTGTATTCCACGGACGTCGGGGCCGTGGCCGCCTTTTTGCTCTCCAAGGAGAGTAGAGCCGTCACTGGCCAGACCATCTACGTGGACAACGGGCTCAACATTATGTTCGGCCCCGATGATTTGTTTCAGGGAAGGAGGGACTAACGGGTAAGTTTTCCTCGTAGGAGACGCACACCATTTGGCAACTTCTTCACTAGGAAAACTACTTTTTAAAGGGAAAAAAAAAATACCTTTGCACGAAAAAAAAATTTAAAAAAAAAAAGTTAATTAAATATTAAAAGGGGCGAGGGAAAATGTTTATATATTCACTGCGCCGGGGGGAGGACACCCCTCGAGATGAATTCTCCCACAGGTGATGTGTCCCCTATTCCGCAGACACAGCGACAGAAGGTGGAAGAGAGAAAACCCGAAGCTCCTCGTCTATAGGTATGGCTAAAGCGGAAATGACTGACGCCCCATGGATTCAAGACTTATTTTTTACAATTTTCTTCAGCTGCTTCTTGTACTTCAAATAATTCGGGTCCTCCTCCGTTTTAAAAAAGGGGTAAATATTCTTAAAAATCGCATCGGCATTTATAACAATTTCGTCTTCCTCGTCATCCTCCGTGCGGTCTTCTTCTTCTTCCTCCTCGGAGTGGAGTTTTGCTCCGGAGTATGGCGTAGATCTGCCCTGCTTGCGTCCCACTCCGGTGTGTTCCTCCCCCTCTTTCCGCAACAAATTGGTGAACCATACCTTTTCAGTTGCTTCTAAGTCAAGGTCGGAGTATAGGTCAACGTCCGAGTCGACGCTCACTTCCATGTGATGAGTGGATTTTTCTTCTCCTCCCTGGGCATGATCACCAAGGCGTGGGATCCCTGTTTGGTCACCTCCAATCAGGCCATCCTTCCTTGTCAGTATATCATCTTTCCCCTTGGCGTAGAATTCGCCTCCATCTGCGTCGTCCTGGGGGATGTAACGGGGGACTTTAAAAATGGTGGCGCTGGTCTCCTCGCGCTTGTTGTTGTTCAGGTTGTTGCTCTTCTTCTTGTTCTTCTTCTGTTTCTCCATGCTGCTCATTCAAAAAAACAACAGGCACTGCTTCACCAGCAGGCGTTTTTGTTAACGCGCTTCGATCGTTGCGTCCCTGTTTTGCTGCTCGCTGTTTTGCTGTTCTGATATTTCCCATCTGATAATCTCCTATCTAATACTTCCTTTCTGATATTTCCCATCTAATATATATCTCCCATGTGATAATCTCCTATCTGCTATGTTTTTTCCGCTTCCCTGCTGACTCTTGGGAACAGCCAAAACACGATAGCTCACTGGGAAAAAAAAAAAAAAAAATACGGAGCGCGATAGCTAAGGAGTCATTTTTACCGAAATGAAGAAATGGAAAATTGCAACTTTTTGAAAAGAAATTTATCCAACATGAAGGAGATGCATATTAGGTCATCATTTAAACGGGCTGTCGCGCTGCCGTGCTGCCATCATCATTGTGTTGCTCGCAAAAAGTGCAGGCCAGTTTTCTTCTTTTTTTTAAGCACAGCGATGTTAGGTGGCCCTGTTTGGGCGACTTGTCGGACGAGGGGGGGCACGCAGAAGGAAACCAAATTGGGACAAAGCTGTGAGGAAGTTGCAACGGAATGGGAACCGCTTCGAAGCCAAGCAGTATAGCCACGTTGTCACCATCGCCGCACATCAATTCGACGTTTCCAAGTGGCAATTTCTTGGGATCGCCAAAGGTGCTATATGTCCCACACCTCCGCGATCCCCAAAGGAACTCAACCTTTGCTACTCCCTCATGGGTGCATATATGACACATAAATAAAAAAGGATGTGCCCCCCTAGGGGGATCCTTTACCAAACGGATGATCCAATTAACGGATGATCCAATTAACGGATGATCCAATTAACGGGGCCCACACCATGCAGATGATCAGTGCAAAGTGCTCTGCCCTGCGCATGGTCAACCTATAGAACGCCGCATTGACTCACCCACGGGTGAAACGACAAAATCAGGAATCACTCGTTATGGACTGGAATAAAGAACTTAAGTTGTTCTGGATGTTATCACACAGAGTTCCTAGTCGTCTAAATCTTTTGCAACCAACGTGATGCTTAAAGCGACCCTTGGTTTCCCTTTTGGAAAAATGAGTGTGGTTGGTTTTTCTTTCCCATTTGTTATCTCTATCGCGCTTGTAAATGTAGAGGGCTAATTTGTTCTCCTCTGTGTGTAGGGGATCCAGGTAGGATCCATGCTGCTCCTCATTTAGGGTTCCATCTTGAATGAAATTTTGCATGCACTCGCTGCAGCTGCTTTTGCGCTTATATCTTTCATACGAATCGATGTAACTTTTATTTATTTCGATTATCTGGTAGAGATTGTTCAGTTTGTTTTTCCATAAGAGGGTTTTCTTTCGTTCCGCTTGGGGGACTCCATTTGGGGTGATTCCCTTTTGGGGAACTTGGTGGCCCATTTTGTGAGGCATCTTTCCACCTCCGGTTGGTTCTTCCCCGGTATTCTTCACATGGCGGCACGCCATTCTGGGGGTATACTTCTGCGACACAGTTAGGGTGGATAGGCGCCCGCCTGGTCCTGTTGCGTCAAGCTCTCCGTGGGCATACTGCGCCCCTTTCGCATCTTGCAAGTTGCTCGATTTGCGTCCGCTCCGCGTGCACGGTGAACTTTTCTCCGACTTGCCCCTCCGCTTGCGCTTCTTTCCCTGTGCGAATCTATTCTTGTTAATGGCAATCTGGTGCAGAATGAGGGGAATGGAGCCGATGAGTGGACCCAAAATGAGGCCCTTGGATCCAAACGTGCTGATAGACAGGAAGAGCGACAGAGAGACCAACCATGCATGCGTGTGAGGAATCTCTGTGTATATGCTTGTGGTGAAGTAAAGATAAACAAAAAAATTAACTGCAAATAGGATTGAGGATACGATCTTCCTCTTCTGGATAATCCAAAGATGGACAATAATCACAAGAATTACGATTTCGGGAGATATGATCGGAATCAACGATAGGATAATGCATCCTAATGTTGGCACATATATTATTGGAAACTGAAAAAAGGAAAAGACTAACCAAATGTATAGTGTGTAAAAGTAGACCCTCTTTAAGGTGCATTTGATGATGGCCTTCAAATTCATCGTGATGTTGTAGAAGAATATGCTGGAGGGATCCACCACCAGTAAAATGTCATTCACATAACTCAGGGCGGACTTCCTCGAAGAAATTAGATAATACAGAGCTGTGAAGAAGATAATTCCTTGGACAATCGCATCAAATGTGTACATAAAGAAATTAAAGAAAATGAAGAGGAAAAAAAACATGATTTTTATGAGCCCGTAGCTGTTGTTAAATATTAAATGCTTTGTCAGTTTTCCCACGTCTTCGATTTTTTTCATGGACGAGAACAGGCTGTTTAGGTAGCCAATGAATTCTTTGAATTTGAAGTTTTTTTCCTTCTGAGGGTCGTACAATTCGGTTGCGTGTTGGACTGGGTCAGGGTTCCATCCATCCGATTGCTCGTTCGGTTTATCTGCTGAGTTGGTCAATCCATCCGACTGCCCCTTGTTCTGTTTATCTTGTGCGCTGCTCCATCGACCCGCTTTAGGATCGCCCCGCTCGGTCTTTCCCCCCCTGCAGTATTCCCCCCATTGCGCGCTGCACCGCTGATCGGATTCGGAACTCGCCCCCGGGGAGCTCCCAAATATGGTCTTAAAAACGACGTGTCTGGAAGCACCATGGCGTCTGCCATTCCCCGCGTAGTAAACGGACGTGGAGCCCACCTGATCCGTACGATTCTGCGACCGACTGGAAAATAAAAAAATGTACTGTGACAGAGAGCGCAGCAACCTTTTGAAACTGAAAGACGTGCGAGAATCGTCAACCTCATTTAGGCAGGCCTCCACAGAGCACTCTTCCCCAGTTCGAGGCAAATAAAATTTTTTGTCCTTTTTCTGTTCCGACAAATGGAGGGTATGCCTCTTAATGCTAGCCAAGTCGGGCCCTGCCACAAAGAGGGCAAGTCTGCTCAGGAGTATCGGCAAACAGCAGGCGCTTATATGTCTCGTCCCGTTCTTCAGAAACGTTTGTGCGTACACATGCTGATATATATCGTAGGCTCTCTTCAGGTTCCCAGAAATGGACGCCAGAGTTTTGTTGCTGAGGAAGGGCACCTTGTTCAGGTTCACGAGCTGGTACAAATCTTGGATGTCTCCTTTTCCGGGCTTGCGGTAGAATTTTCGAAAATTCTTGAAGATGGCGGCCTGCAGGGGGGGTCAAGCGGTAAAGCGACAAAGGGGCAAAGCGGTGAATTGGCAAGGCGCTGAATTGGCGAGGCGGAAAAGCAGAGAAACGGCGAAGCGGATAATTAGTGTGCAAAGATGGGGCGAGCTGCACGCATCTCCGCAATCAGCCCACTTACATTGCGGAAGTTGGCGGAGAGGTACGCGTTAATCGAGTTTATAATGTAGAGCGACTCGCCGTAAATATTAACGATGAACAAAATCGAGATGGCGGAGAAAATAATTATGGCAAAGATAATGATGAGGACAGTCAAGAGATCATTCATGTAGTGCTTGTAGAAGTGGATGTAATCGAAAGAAAGTTGGTGACACCATTTGGTGTAGTACTTTCTACTGAGGGAATAAAAATAGGCAATCCATATAGCCTTGACAATTTTATAAAAGAAAAAAAAAAATAAAATAAAAGCCCCAATGTTTAGTAAAAACTCCTTGTATTTGAAAAAAAATTCTCGTAAAATGTAAAATAGGATCAATCTGTGTAGGACGAGGAAGTATATTTCACTGGCATTCCTTTGTTCATAATGCTCCAAGTTGTTAGTTAGGTTTTCCTTCTTCTCTCCCTTTTCGCCTATTTTGTATATGGGCTTAATTAGGAGAAGGAACATGTACAGATAAATGTCTAATTCCTTTTTCACGTTTTTCACAAATCTGTGTAACTTCTTTCTGTACTTATTGGATGAGTTTCCTTGGGTGATGAAGTCAGACCGCGTTCTTGTTTTATCACACTTTTCGACCTGATTGAAGTTTGGGTATTTCCTCACGGTACCTTCTTGTGTGCACGGATCGAACTGACTGCCTGGTTGCAGCGGTTGCTCCAGCTGATGCAGCTTCTGCTGCGCCTCCCTACCGCCAACCTCGTCGCTCTCCCTCCTCCGGGAGCTCCCCCCCTTTGCCTTCCTTCTTATCCGCAGAAAGTGCTTCCGGAGCAGCTCCGATAGTTTCACCTTCACATGGTGCAGGGGGATGGACACAATGAAAGCCCAAAACAGGGAGTAAAAGTAGTACTTAAGAATTATGTAGTTGTAGTACACGCATAGTACGAGGAGAATGCCTGCGGGGGGGAGAGATTATAAGAATTACACGGTGGTGTGAAGTCGTAAGGGATGATAAGAAGTAGGCGGTCGTGCGCCACCATGTCCCGCCATGCGCCTGTACACGCAACGCCTTTGGCACCTTTAGCGCCTCTTGGGGAAGGGGGCTGTCGCGGCCGACGCTCACCTATGAGGTACACGATGAAGTGGACGATGGCTTTCTCCGTCTCGTCCTTGAACAAATTTCCCTTATTCATTTTCCTAATTCATCCTGTTAGCGGTGGTGGAGGGGAAGTCGCTTGGGGCGACACGGAAGGGACAAAAAAAAAGGAAGGAAAAACGGCAGGAAAAGGAAGAAGAGAAAAAAGGAAGGAAAAGAAAGAGGAGAAAAAATAGCCATCCAGGGGACACACGGACGCTTGGGCGGCAACCACGTTCGACGACGCTTCGCACACATTGGAGGCAGCGCCCGCGCGTCCACCAAGGGTCATAAAGTCTGCATCATATCATCGTACTTTGTCGAACGGAGTGCAAGCGAAGATAAAGTGGGAAGGGAACAACTTATCAAAAAAGGGCTACTTAAAAAAAAAATGAGAACTTCTCTGCACGCTGCTTAACATTAGAAGGAAAAAAAAACCCTCAAATGGTGCTGCATTTTTGAACAAGAAAAAAATTATTTCTTTGGAGAACAAAAAACTGCTACGTTTTTCCCTGGAGAAATAAAAAAGGCGGCACTAACTTTTTTCCCTTTCCCCCCCCAGCATTTTTGTCCTTTTTCTTCTCCTTTATACAGAAGGTGCAAAACGAAAATGTGCGCGTGGGAGATATACACCTCCCTCAGGGTGGTCGGCGATAACCCCTATAGGCTCTCCCTGGGGGGAAGGGCAGAGGGGGAAGGGTAACGCCCCGCCTGCATTTTTTTTTCTGGACCGCCCCTAATTTGTGAATATCAACAGGGGTGACAGTCGGCTAAGGCAGAAATTGTGACAGGCCGTGGGAGGTAGGCAATACAATGCAGGCGGCTGAGGACTTGCGAACAAGTTGTATGCAAAGGGGGGGACTTACCAGGAACGGGCCGCACAAGCGGAACGAACAGAACGGTGCAAACGTTGAGGCCAACTGCGGGGAGGTGAAGTAGAAGAAGAAGTAGAAGAAGAAGAGGAAGAAGAAGTAGAAGAAGAAGTAGAAGAAGAGGAAGAAGAAGTAGAAGAAGAAGTAGAAGAAGAGGAAGAAGAAGTAGAAAGGGGAAACTCATTCAGGTCAGTCGGGACGACCCTTCTGCATCCCCACCCTCTCATCTTCACCCACATCGCGGCTTCGACGGGGTTCTCCATGCACTGAAGAAGAAGTAGCTGCTAGGAAGCAGCCATCTGATAGGAAGCAGCCATCTGATAGGAAGCAACCACCTGTCACGGAGCGACCACCTCTCCCAGAGCAACCACCTGTTAAGTAACTCTCCCATGTCAGGCCCCTGTGCGCCACTCAGCCCAACTGAACCTGCCAAAACCCCACCAGGCTGAAAAGGAAAAAAATCTACACACAAGAATACGCGCTGCTCCAGAAGAGAAACCCGATCACTGATTGATGAAGCTTGTCGGCAATACAAAGAAAGCCCTCGTGGTAAACCTCTGCTTCCTAAGTATGGATCGAACGTCTAAGTACTTCTCCAAGGAGAGGGGGAAGAAGATATCGATAACGTACGAAGATGTGCCGAATGGAAGTAGCATCAGGCGAGTGGGCGGAGTAGTGCATCCCTTGACGTCAAAGCGGGAGGCGACTAACGGGGAGACAAGTCAACGTTTTGTGAAGGGAGAATATTCCAACGTGGAAGGGAAGCTCCTCCCTCTAGAGGGACACATCCGAAGTGGTCGAAAGGGAGGACAGAGTAGGCAGGCCAGGCGGGATGGCAAAGCCGCCACCAAGCGGGTGCCCGTAAAAAAGCATGAATTGAGGAAGGTTGACAGTGAGCTTAGGAGGAAGCTTGTTAAGGTGATGGGGGGGTCAGCTGTTGGCGAGAGTGCTGTGAGGTTAGACGGGGGAGGTGCTGATGGGCGTTGTTCTAATCAGTGTGATGATCACCCCCCTAATGAAGCTTCTAATGAAGCTGCTAATCAAACCGATAATGACACCGCTAACCACCCCGCTAACCACGCCGCTAATGAAGCTTCTAATCACGCTCCCCCCCAGGGGGAGGAGAAGCTGGCGCACTTCCTCCGGACGTACGAGAAGATTAGCAAAATGCGGCAGCATATCGTGGCACCTGTGGACAGGTACGGTTGCCACATGCTGAGCGACAAAACGGAGAGTCCAAAGGTCTATCGATTCCAAACGTTGGTCTCGTGCATGCTGTCCACAAGGACCAGGGACGAGAACACCGCCATGGCAATGAAGAAATTAAAAGCACACGGACTCACCATACACAACATGCTAAAGACGTCCGAAGAGGAATTAGAAAAATTAATACAAACGGTAGGCTTCTACAAGATTAAAGCTAGGCAGATCATTCAGATTAGCCAAATATTGAGAGACAAATATGATTATGACATTCCACAGACAATGGAGGAGTTACTAAAGTTGCCAGGCATAGGGCAGAAGGTGGGTCACCTGATTTTACAGACTGCACTGAACACACATGAGGGGATAGCTGTGGACATACACGTACATAGGATTTCTAACCGGTTGAATTGGGTGTGTACGAAAAATGAGTCAGTTACGCAATCCAAGTTGCAGAGTTATGTGCCCAGAGCTCTGTGGTCTGAGTTAAATCCTACCCTGGTTGGGTTTGGGCAGGTTGTGTGCAAGGCGAAAAGTCCGCATTGCTCTATGTGCGCAGTGGCGGACTGTTGTAAGTACTACCAGGACACTCGAGGGGGGAAAGCGGCCCTCGGCGCGAAGTGAAACACAGCCAGGCATCGCACAGTATTGTCATAAGTTTTAAGTTCTATTCCGTTTTGTCTGATGCAGCGCTTGATTATTTTGTTTTTTTTTTTTCTTTTTTTTACAAACTCTTCCGAAGAATTCACCCCCCTTTTTAACCGATTAGCTCATGCCTCAGCAGGGGCATCCCTCCCCCTTGACGATACAACAGGAAGGAAACCCCCCTCGCCCCCCGTTGGCACAAATTTCGTTATTGCATCACGCAGATGACCGCTTATCATTTTTGTTGTTTCTAACGCGTATAGGGGAAACATTCAGCGGAGTTGATGAAAGCTTCATCTTAAAAATTAAAAAAAAAAAAAACAGATGGGCGGCGAAAGTATGACGGGAAACTCGCACCTTTGCGTAAGTCAACTTACGCCCGTGTTGTGTTAATTAAAAAAGGGAACTATTCAGAATCGACCAAATGGGACACAAACACATACGGAAAAAAATATATATATAAAAAAATGCAGGACGGTTATTAATAAATGCGATTGCACCAAAATGTGCAGTGGGACAAAGAGAAGGCGGATAGAGGGAAGGAACGTGACAGACAAACGCGAAGACAGAAATGTAGACAAGGAAGACAAATGAGAATCACCACTTAGGCGTGGAGTTGCGCTACGTGGTGTAATGGTACGTGGCGTCGCGTCTTGTGCTCACTGCTTCACGAGGGAGAGCGCGCGCCAGCCGGGCAGGATCCATATCTTCAGGTTGCTAAAGAGGGGGAGAAGTAGGGGTGCGATGAGAAAGCGGTGTGGAAGCGGTTAATCCGCAGCGAGTATGCCGCTACTACACCGATGCTACTCCGTTGCCGGGGCGCCCCACCTGAAGGTCCGAATCCGCTCGTACATGTCGAACGAGATGAAGAGGTCGTTGCTCCAGAGGCAGTACAGCGAGTGTAAGTGGTTCCTGTGAAGGACGTATATAAGCTCGTCCCCCTCCTCCTTATCTGGATGAGAAGTGAGTTCCGTCCTGTCTTTTACAATTTTTCGAAATAGCTCATTGTCCATATAGTCAGTCGGTTTGTACTCGCGAGTGAAGAACAGCCCAAGTTGCAGCACTCGGATCTTATTTTTTTTTATCTTCTCAATGAAGCATGTAAATATGGTTATGCACTGAGCTCTGTTTAGCTTGTCGGTGTATAGGAGTTTGCTCAGGATTATGTCCTTTAGGTTTGTCATTTTTCCGACGAAGGGGAGAAGTTCATCTCCTCTAAGTTTCACGTCCAAAACGAGCCGTTCGAGGTGCTCAAATTGGTTCGGCAAATGGATCCTTTGCGCGTTCCATATGTGCGTGCGAGCCGCAATTGTGTGAAAGTTGTCCGGGGGATTGTCTGCCTCCTGGGCGCCCCCCTCACCATCGTCCTCCCCGTTACGCCTTTCCTCATCGCCGCCGTCATGCCTTCCATTTTGACCCTTTCCTTTCCCATGGCCGTAGTACCGACTGTACAAAAAAAGATCGCTGAGCTCCAAGTCCCAATCGGGGAGGTCCATCGGCGACTGGCTGCACCCTTTACCACGGCGCTCCCGCGGAGAAGTCATTCCGGGGGTAGTTCCATCCGCGTCCTCGTGTTTGTCGTTCGTGGCGTCTCCCTCCTTCGGGCATTTCTCCCCATTATGCACTTCCCTCTGCGGCATCGTCGCCTTCCCGCTTAGCAGACTGGAGACCATCGGGTGAACCCCCTCAAATATATAGTTGTTGTTTTTTTTCCGACAGTAAACACGGAGATCTCTCAAGCGGGGGAAATTCTGGACGACCATGTTGATGATGGCCTCTGCACATGTGTTCTCATTAATCGATAGGAACAAGGAGGAGGTATTCACAAAATGGTTGCTGAATGTTTTGAGAAAATTGACTTTAAAAATGTCGACATTTAGGAAGCGTACATCTATGTGATCCCATGCATATTTCGTGTGAAAGGCTTTGTAGAAAGACTTACTTAGCAATTTGCAACTCCACCTTTGGGAGAAGGGCATGAAGGACAGGATATTGCAGACGGTGTCGCTGCTTTGGAGTCGGCCTGCTGTGTGTGCCTTCTGTTGGGGGGTCACCAGCCGCTCGGCGAGTAGCGCAGCTGGCCCACTCCCAATTCCGGGAGGACTGTCAATCGGTGCTTCCATGGGACCTCCAATCACTTTTCCAATCTGACTTCCAACCTCTACACCCACCATGCTCGTGCTGACCCCGTCGGGGACCCCCCCTACCCGTGCGTGCTTATCAAACACGCCATCCCACTGCAAATTTCTTTTTCTCCCTTTAGCTGGAAATACCGCATCTTCACTGGGGGCCATTTTGGTGAGCTGCCCCCAGTGTTCTCCTAATGCGGTCTTCGTGGGGACTGTATATGCTCTCCGCACACCACTGCGTCTTTCTAACTGTGTGTATTTCTAACTGTGCGTCTTTCTGCCCGCGTCTACCTCTAGCGAGTCAGCCAATCGATGGGCGCGGACGGGCGAAGGACCCACGTGCAAATGAACGCGCAAATGTAAAAGACAAAGTTGGGGGCACAAAAACAAAGGCGGCTCCCCGCGAAGCAACCAACTGTGTATCACACCGCAGTGATGGTGCCAAGTTCCCACGGGGGTGGATCCGGGTGGGAATCCTCTTAACCGCTGGTGTCTGTTGGGGGGGTGCTGACTTCCCCCCGCTCCAAAAAGTGGGGTATACAAATCGGGGAAAATTAAAAAGTCAAGCGGGGAAGTTCACCTGCGCAGTTCAACCGGTTACTCTAACGGTTCATTCTACACGTTCACTTTAGCGCTGCATGAAAGATACTGCTTTTCGTATTGAACATTTTAATCTCGGAAGGGACTCCCCTGTCTGCAGCTTTCAGATGCACAATCGGGGTGGGGCGACGTCAGCCAAGGTTTGCGTAAAGCAGACCGTTACAGTGCTGTGTTCCTCGCAGTGGGTTTCTTCGTTCCCCTTTTTGTTTACTTTTTCTTGTTCACTTTTTTTGTTCCTTTTTTTTGTTTACTTCCTTTTTTTTGTTTACTTACTTTTTTTTGTTTACTTACTTTTTTTGTTTACTTTCTTTTCGTTTACTTTTTCTTTTTTTCTTCTTTTTTCTTCCAAAACTGCAAACCGTGTCCCACATGTTCGTCGCCTTCGGAAAGCGTCAGGACGCTCGCCGCACCTGCGATCCTGTGCGCGCGCACGCCGCTGTGTATGCATATGCAGGTGCATGTATCAACAGGGGTGCGCGCGCGTACACTCTCTCGTCCGTAATTTTTCCATGCACATATGGCTGCGCGGATGCCTGTGCGGATACCTGCACGAATACCTGCGAGGATGCCCACTCGTCCACCTCCACGCTGTGCATCATGTGGACACGTACCAGCTGTAAGGGGACAAAACGTAACATTGTGCTACGTGGCGCGTCGTCAAAAGGATGTAGAGAAGGGCCCTCCCCATATGCAGACACGCGCGGGAAGTTGCCGCGCTGTGAGGGGGCAAATCTCCACGAGATGTGCAAGGTGTGAGGGAATTTTTTTTTTTTTTCCCCACAGGGTATATTTCTACGCCAGTATGCTGCACAGAGACATCGCCCAGGGGGCAACAAGGTGGACATTCAAAAGGGGAAGAACCGAAATGTGCGCGGAGTAGAAAAGGTGCGCCGAGTACTAAATGTTGCGCGGCATACAAAATGTTCGCGGCATAGAAAATGTTCGCGGCATAGAAAATGTTCGCGGCATAGAAAATGTTCGCGGCATACAAAATGTGCACGTCGTCCAAATGCGCAGAAACGCACACGTGAACAGTCGAAGAAGGGAGCAATTCTACCATCAAGGGGGAACCAAATTGCCGAAAATGAGAATCCGTAGCAATCGCTAAACGCACACAAATTTTCGCGCTCAGGGGAACGTCGCTCCAATAGCAGCCATCGGAGGGGGGGAGAACGCCTTGTAGAGGAAACGCCCAGGCGCGCAAGTGGAGTTAAGCTGTACGCAAACGGAAACGTAAACACAAACGCAAACACACATACACACGTATGCATTGCACACGTGCAGTTACCCCCCTCACAGCTTAACCTCCCTCGCGCTGATGATGAAGAGGGGCAGTGCAACTCTTGCAGACAGCCCCACGTGCACTAGAAGGAAAAAAAACAAATGTACAGTTCCCGCCTCCCCCTTTGAATGCAAAAAAAGCAGCTACCTATGCTGCAGGAGGAACAACTTTAACAACTTGGGGGGACTGCTCCTGGAAAAGAATTTTTTCTTTTTTAATTTCCTCCTAAGTGTGAAATGTAACGAAGAGAGAAAAAAAAAAACAAAAAAAAAAGCAAAAGACACTTCGGAATGTGCCACATCAGATTCCGATGAAGAATCGCGGCTGTATTACCTCAGCCAGGGAGAGCAGGTATTCCTCCAGCAGGACGATCAAATTGAGCGGGGAGAGGAGGTACCACTGCACATGCGGAGTGGAGACAGCTGCGAGCCAACTGGGGAGGCCCCAGAAGAGCACAAAGAGGCAAATGAAACAAGGGGAGAATGCCCCAAAGGGAATTTAATCGAAAAACATATGAACACTCTGCTGAAAGGAAATTTTTTCTTTTACATAAAGAATTACATTCATCACATCTTGAGGAACGTGGACATTTGCAGAGAGGAGAAACCGAGCGAAACATTTTTCGAATTTTACAGTCATTTCAAGAATAAAAAAAAAAAAATTTACTTTTACAACTCCGAGGAGCTGCTAAGTGACGTGTACTGCGACGTCTCGGAGGCGTCCGATGATAGTGACTACAACTACTTCTTTGAGAAATGCAACCAGCTTCATGACTACGAGGCTGAGGACGGGTCGGAGGAGGGGGGAGAGGAAAATGACATGGTGGCGCAGGTGACTGGCGGGGGGGAGGCAGATGCGGCTGACGGCGTGGAAAAGCCAAACGAGAACATGTGCCTCATCTCGAACCTGAGTAAAAAGCTGAACAGTCTTCACTTCCAGAAACGCCACTCAACGGTGTCCCTCGACGATGATAAGAGTAAGCCTGAGGAGAAGGAGCGCAAGTTTGCAAAGTATTCCTGCTGCCGCTGCCAAGGGGGGAGGTCTGCCGATAAGGGAGACCTTTCTGATGCGTCCAACGCACCTGACCTCTCTGCCGAATGTGGCAACGTTTGCCTACTGCAGATCCTCATTTCGAACTTAACCAAGGGGGAGCTACTCTTCTGGGCGAACATCAAGGATTGCATAGAGCAATTCCTGGGGTCGATAAAAGCGGCCGTCCTTTTCAAGGGCCCGACCAACTATATCGAAACACCGTACATAGAAATTATGGACGAAATAGAGAAGCGACAAAGGGAAGAAGGGCACATAAAATATATAAAAAAAAAAAAAAAATTAGTAACTCTGAAGAAAGAACAAAAATGCATCAAATGCTTGTTCGAAAAAACGATAAACTCTGTTCGAATTTCCTTCAAATATGACTTAACCTTAGCAAGTGAAAATTTCAATTATCTCTTCAAAGATCGGATATATAAATATAGAAAATTTATTGAGAAAATGCTGACGCGAAATTTGGGAGGAGGGAGTCCCAATTTGGACCACAAAGACGAGACGTCCGCTTTTTTCCCCAGTCAATTAAATCCCATTGTTTTTAAAAATTATACAAAGAAAAATTACGATTTTTCACTTCTCATTCACAGTGTGCATTTGGAACTGTATGGATATATCTACATGCGCGATTATTTATTCTTCCTACTCATCATGGTGGAGGCTTACGTGTTTGTTCACTTTAATGATATCCACTACACGTATGCGCACAACACAGATTTGTTTCTCGACCAAATTTTAAAAAATCTGTTCACTTAACGGGCGCGAGGTCCATATGTCTATGTGTTAGGTGGGGGGGCGCTACTTCTTGTTAATCCCTCAAATGAACCAATCCGTATGCAAAGGTTACTCACACCAAGTCATCATTAACCGATAAGAGCGATGCAATGGGGAATTTTCAGCATGTGGTTCACCTCCCCATTGCTGTTGCCATCTTTGTACTGTTGGCGTAGCGTCTGTTCATTTGTTATAGTAAGTGGGGAAAGAAGAAAAAAAAAAAAAAACAGTAAATTTCACACGACACTCACGCAGTGGAGAATTTTCCTTCCCCACAGTGCGCATACGAATAGGCAGCCCCCAATCCGAATGGGCACATGAGAGGAAAAAAAAGGCCTTATAAGCATTAACTTGGGGTGTGGGCAGAACACTAGCGGTTCTTTTAAAAACCTGTTTGGAAACAACATTGGAATGATCCACATGGGTATATATAAGTATGTATACGTATAATACGCCGAAGGATCCTCGCTCCATATAAGCCTCGTTTTTTTTTTTTTTTTCCTTTCCGAGCGAGTGAGGTGTGGGGGGTACAGCAGCACGTGAGCGTGTAGGCTAAACGGAGGAGGTACCCTTTTGGAGCAGAAAATAAACTGGAATCCCAAAAAAAGGGAATCAAATGTCATTTCGGCATGTTGAGAAAAAATTTTAAATTGTGCTGTTGATGCGAAGGGGGCTGATTTACCAGCTATGAAACCATCCATTGTACTGAGGCATCTGTTTGCTTGCCCTTCCGTTGCTGGTACCCTACTGCCGCCACCACTGCTGCCACTACTACGGCTACGACTACCTCCGTATGAATATTTATTGCCCGCTTCACCCATCAACGGGGCGGGAAACGGTAACAGCGCGCATGGGGAGTTGGCTCACTCACATTTTGAGTACATGTACAATTAAGCACCCCCATGGCCCAGCACAACATGCGGTAGCGTATATTTTTCTAGCAGCGCAGCGTTTCTTTCGCTTCTTCATTTTTATTTCCCCTCCGTAAGCCGCTACAGTAGTATGTATGCAGCAAAAAGGGGTCGAGAACTGTGCACATACACGTATTTTTTGCTCCCAATGCAGTATTAGCAAATAAAAGGAAGCTGAAGCCACTTTAAAGGAGGGTTTAATAGGAAAAAAAAGGAGATCGATTTTCGCAGCGGCCCCATTTTGCACTGTTACTATTGTGTATATTTCATTTGTGCGAAGGTATTTCACAAGCTGCTTTTTGCTTTCTTACTTTTTCCTCGGCTTAGCGGCACATAATTGCACCCAGCCACCCCCCCCGTTTGCTTCGCCATTTGTTCTATATGCATATGTAGATACATCTCAATGTCATGATATATACATATCTGTATGACGCATACCTCTTAACGCTGCACTGCTTCGTATGCGCAAGAGGTGTTTACGTTGTACGTTACATGTGAAAGAAGCACGTATAATCCTCGCACAGGTGGTTAGTTTTCTTTTTCTCCTTTTGTTTTTTTTTCCCCTTTTTTTTATTTTATTTTACCTTATTTTACTTTTTTTATTTTTTTTCTGCCTGAACGTTTGTTCATAATATTTTAAATTTTTACATGACCAAAAAAAAAAAAAAAAATTGCAAATTTGGGAAATGTGAGCTAGGGAATTATACTTCGGCTAAACTGTACGTAAGTAGTATTAATGTACCATAGGACCACCATTTTTGAAGCAAATATAAAGGGAATATATAGAAAAAAGCCTTTGTGAAAAGCTCCCCATCGCAAGAATGGTAAGGCGGAAAGAGGGCAAGTGAGGCAACTCCATTGTATCATCTCCTATGCGGCTTCTCGCATCTCCTCTTATTCTCGCGCAATGCTAGATGCTCGGTTTTGCCACACCAGCTGTTACTGCCTTCCCGATAGCTCTTGCTGGCAAGGGGCGTGTAAACCACAGACGTGTTACTTTTTATGCCGTTTCCACCGTCCGGGAACGTGAAGCATCCCCTGCTTTGCGACGACAATACTTTGCGAAAAGGACGAAGTAGTCACAACAGGATTGTTGTGAACGTATCCTTTTCGGTTATATAACCTCCTCCTTTCTTTGATGCCCTCCCCCCCCGCAGTCGCTCAAATTGCAGAAGAGATTAGCAGCGTCCGTGTTGAAGTGTGGAAAGAATAAAATATGGATGGACCCAAATGAAATTAGCGAAATTTCGCTAGCCAATTCGAGTAACAAAAAAAAGAAAAAAAAAAAAAAAACATAAATAAATAAAATACATTTTACCTAAACGAGTCATATTTCTTCAACCAGATGGGGAAAGAGCTCGGCAAGCTGCTTTTTTTTTTTTGCATTACCTAGAATGACCGTGCGAATACTCACCCGTTGCACCATTCCTTTTCTTCTTTCCCCCCTGCAGGATTCAGCATAAGGAAGCTGTACAAGGAGGGCCTCATTTTAAAGAAACCACAGAAGGTCCACAGCAGAGCAAGGGTCAGACTGTACAAATTAGCAAAAAGGAAGGGAAGACATATGGGCATAGGTAAAAGAAGGGGTACGAAGAATGCCAGAACGAATCAGAAAACCTTGTGGATTAAACGACAGCGTGTGTTGAGGAGACTGCTAAAAAGATTAAGGGATGCAAAGAAAATAGATAGACATTTGTACCACTCCTTTTATTTGAAGTGCAAAGGTAACCAATTTAAAAATAAGAGGACGTTAATTGAGGCCATACAAAGAGAAAAAACTGAGACCTTGAAGAAGAAATCAATAGCCGATCAGCTCGAGGCCAAGCGATTAAAGGCACAAGTGTTACGAAACAAGAGAAAGTTAAAGAAGGACAAGGAGGCTTTATCCTAAATGGTCTGTGCAGCATCCCTTGCAATGCGCATGTCCAAATGTACAGGTCGATCGATCACCCGTTGTAAAGCGACACGTGTGTAAGTATCTTTTTAGTTAAAGGGAAGAAAGAACAATATGGATGGGATGAGATAGCTCTTTGAAGTGCGCAGTGATCGCGTAGTCGAGGAGAAGGACAGAAAGAGAGAAGGAAAGAAAGAAGGACATCCGAACATGGAAGACGCTGCGAACGCGCAGATGATGCATTATGCTCGTGTGTGCGAAGGCACGCATATATGTCCAAACTGACCTCCCCTACGTACACAACACATGCGCGTGGGGCTTCTCGCCTGTGTCGATGTTGCTGGAAGAGGCGCCGCTCCTCCCCATACGTACGTAACGTATCTAGGGTGCGCAGTGGGCAGCATATTGGAAGGCGCAAGTCGTAAAAACTGAAAAAATTGCAAAAATTGTAAAAATTGAAAAAATTGCAAAAATTGAAAAAATTGAAAAAATTGCAAAAATTGTAAAAATTGCAAAAATTGTAAAAATGGTAAAAATTGCAAATGTGGTGAAAGCGATGCATCGCACGTGCCTCTCTAAAACTTGAACAAATTAAATCTAAAAAAACATTTTTTTTCCAAATTTTGCTTCTTCCAAATGAATCGAATTTGCTGATAAGAAGCAAACATGTTTCGTCGTAAGTTTGAAAAGAGGGAGAACGGTGCAGATTGAGCAACCCCATATCGTCGGTCCCACTTGGTGGCACAAAAAAAAGGAAAAAAGAGGGCAGCTGAATATGTCTAAGCAGCGGGGGGGGCTATGTTTATAATGACTACAAAACCGTGCATGGTTCAACCCGCCACTCTCCCCTCTCCTTTGTCACGCAACATTCCGCCGATAACGCAGGCGCAGGTTCTCCGAGAGAAGCTTCTTAATCTCCTCCAGAACGATGTCGTTCTTGCGTTTGTACTCGGTCCTCTCATTCTGCAGTGCGGACAAGTCGTTCACGTAACTGAGCTGGTGCAGTTTCCTCTGCTTGTTTATGTTATCGATTTCATCCTTTAGCAATTTTATGCTATTCTGTAGGTTGATATCAATGTGTGTGAACACCTTCATGTGCTCGCTCCACATGACTTCTTTGTATTTATTCATTAGCTCCACGTTGATAAGTGCATTGTGCAGATTTTCCAAAACGATTTGATGTTTCTTCAATGTGCTGGCCCACTGCTCCATATTTTTGTCTTGGTCCAACTTCTCGCTTTCGATGTTGTAACTGTCTAAGTTTAGCTTTTCCATGCTGATCTGCTGTTCACAGCGTTTTATCTCATTTGGGATGACTGAATTTTCTATTTTTATGTACACTGATGGGGGTATGTCAAAGTTTTGCAGATAATTTTTCACTTCATTTTGTTTTTGCATTAACATCATTTCTTCTTCCACCAACTGTTTGGCATTTTTCTCCAATTCACTATCGTGCGAGTCGATATATGGCAATGCGTTCACCAAGTGATGTAGCTCGTTCAGCTCGTACAGCTTTTTTTGTTTTTTTTTTTTTCCTTCTTCCTTCTCTGGTTGGTCTTCTTCTTTGTTTACTTCGCTCAGGAGGTTCTGCTCTTCCGTTTCCCCCTGCGTAATTTGTGTCTCCATTATTTTGCCTGGACCCTCCCAGGAATGGAAAAAAAAGGAAGAAGATGCCGAATATGCCGAGGATGCAGAAGACGCGGAGGAAGCCCCTTTCTCTCTTTGCCGCTAAAGAAGGCAGTTCGCAAAAGGGAGCACATAACGTGAAGCATAATACGAGGGGGGGCAACGGTTCTTCGCTTCTTCCTATGCGGCGCGCACTTGTGGAGGCATTTAGCTGAGGGGGGAGGCCCACCTTTTCTAGCCGATCAAGGAGTGCCACCACGGGGTGGGAAAAGGGTCGGCAGCTCACAACTGCGCGAGCGCAACTTTAAGTCTCCCAATTGCGCGGTATTAAAACGCAGTGCGCGTGTTTCCAGCGAATTTGAAAAAAAAAAAAAAATTATTTTCCTTTCTGCTCGATCGCCTTTGCCCCATCTGTTTATGCTCAGCGTGGAAAAGAAGTTTCCCTTATAGAGTGGAACCTTTCAAAAAAATCTTCTCGCGCGATTCCTCTATCGTATTGGATTATCCACGGAGGTGCGACGAGAAGTGGGGGGATTCCCCCGTGCAGAACGACAGAGAAAGTCGTGGCAGGGTGGGAAAAAAAAAAAAATGAAACGCCATCATCTCATTTTGCTAACCCTCCCCCGCCCCCCTCCAAGGTGCATATATAATTACGTACATGCGGCAAAACAGGCACGAAGCTCCGACTGGCGGTAGGAGAATTATATTGTTGGGCAATTTTCAGGAAAGCACGCTTTCTTCCTTTCCAAAGGTAAGCCAAACTTCTTGTGTGGAATGAGGAACCACGCCAAAATTAAAGTGCCCCATGAGGACGACGGTGAGAGAGGTCCCCTTTCCGAGGTCACCCCTTCCCGGGCTGCATAGCAAAACTTCCATCTTGTGCGACACATACAAAATACATAGTGATTATTTCTACCTATACATGTATGTAATTTCCTTCTTTTTTTTTTAATCTGTGTAGGTAGCAACACCGACGAGGTGCCTCCACTACGGGGTGAAATTATTTCCTTTATACACTTTCTAGTAATCTTACCCTCCCTTTGGGGTGCAGGCAATTGAGGGAGGGGCAATTTGAAGGGGAAAACAAGCACCTGCACGGTTACATTTACATTTTATTATATATATATATTTTTTTTTTTTTTTCCTCTTCACCCGTCATGTGGAACACGTTTAGACGAACTGGAAATTCCTGCATGGAGGAACTCCACTCGGGGGACAAATAAATACAAAGACCCATGAGCCCGAGGGAAGTTGGGTTTTCTCGGATCGTTTGGGCGATCCCCCTTGGGGCGTCATCTTTTGCGTAAAATTGGGGAAACGCAGAAAAGTTGTTTTATTTCGTTTTGTTCTGTTTCATTTTAATTTATTTTTCAAACTGTAAGCTAACTTCCGGGGATGTGCTTCCCACATGTGCTGTGCACGGGACAGAAAAGAAGAAAAAAAAAAGGCATAATTCCGAGGGTTTTAAAAAAAAGGAGGAAAAAAGATGCCTCATGTATACTATACTCTGTCGGGCGAGGATATTTAAGACCCCCCAATGGGGCGAACAACTAATGATTGGAAATAGAAACATTCGCAGCGACAACGGAGTGGGAAAGCGGTAATTTTGTTGCCAACAACATGGCACCTCCGAAAGGGGGAAAGGAAAGGAATCCTCCCCCCCTCCAGCGCTTTGGTTGTTTTACGCCAATAGAAGGAAACCAATTGGGGGAGGAAACTACGCAAAGAATGCGTCCCCTGAAGGGGACCAACAAGATGAAGAAAACTGCCCGGAGAGGAGCTATCCAAATCTAACTTACCTTATCTTCGTATCACATTACCTCAATCTTATCCTCTTTTCCGAAACTTACCACTTTATTAGAAAAAAAAAAAAGTTCACAAAATAGAAAGTGCGGCTGCGCGAAGTGGAAGGAAGTGTTTTAGGTTAAACGCGGGGTGCGGTGAAGAGTAGTTTAGTTGGGGTCGTAACCCGCTCAGTGGCAAAATTTCCGCCGCAAACCCCTGCCCCATCTGCCGCGCAGCAGGACTCTCGTCGAAACGGCGCGGGGCGAAAATTTCAAAGGGGAAGAAGAAAGTTGGCGACAACAAATTGCACGGTGAACTCTCCGTCGGTTCATTTTTCAAAGATTACGGGGACACCAGCAAGGTTTTTTACCGTCCCTTTTTTTATAGCAACATCGCGCCAATCAACAGGGTAGTTAGGTAGAATTGCATTTACAGAGCGAAAAGGAAAATCCTCCTCATTGCTACCGTTCCTTTTAACCAAAGCGGGGGAGAGGACGTTAAAATCTCGAAGGAACGCATTTGTGAAGTAAAAAAAAAAAAAACGGAAAAGGAAAAAAATAAAACGGAAAAAAAAATAAAATAGAATAAAATAGAAAAAATAAGATAAAAACGCCTGTCATATTAGAATCGTATAGATATAATATTTCTTTTTTCTTTTTTTTTTTTTCTTTTAAAGGGCAACATTCCGATGTTACTTTTTTTGCGTTTGTGCGGAGAGTCAAAAACAAGTTTTTTCAACAAGTTTTATTAGAAAGCGTCATGCGCGCAGATAAGCGCTGATCATTCCATATGTATTAATACAAAAGCGATTTATCTTCTTTCTTTTTTTCCTCACATGCTTGCGTGTTTTCCCGCACGGATATATATTCGTTTCATTTTGACTTTGCAGGCGATGTTCATATCTTCTGTACCTATGCGTGTTTGTATAAAGTGATATATTTTACGACGCTCTCTTCTGTTAGCCGAGTTTGCTCATTTGTCGACGCGCGGCTAGTTTTCGGCTCCGAGTTAGTCGCTGCCTATCCGCTAAAAAATAAATTCACATATGGTGTATCCCTGTACATACGTACGGACATATATCTGCCTCTGTATATTTGATCCCCCCCCCCTTCGCGAGCATTCACACGTGTGCGTGAGCAACGGCCCGGAAAACACGGGAAACCTAACCCGCTTCTCCCGAACAGTCGCTGCTAACTTATTAGTTCGCGCGTCGGACGCGCACGGAGAGAGAAAGAAAAAGGGAGGGAGGTGATAATTTTCCCATTTTTTCGGGTTCACCTTTCTATGGGGAAAAAACATATTTTCCTGAGTTGAACTAAAAGTCATGTGTGTAGTATTAGTCGCCTAGCTTGCCCTCCGCCTCACCCCCTTCCTTTGGGTGACCGTCGGCAGACTCAGAGAAACTGCCTGCACGCCGTAGTTGCGGCAGAACCTATTTGAACGCATATCAAATGTGATCTTGGAAGAGCGCCCCTTGGCTACGCCTTTCTGTTGCCACCGCTGTTTTTTCCTTTCCTTCTTTCGTTCATTCTTTGATTCGTTCATTCTTTGATTCGTCTTTTCTCTCATTCGTTCATTGTTTGATTCGTTCATTCTTTGATTCCTTCTTTCTTTCATTCGCTTTTTCTTTCCTTTTTTATCCTGACCCGGGGCATCCCCTTCTCTGTTCTTCCGCCACGTCTGTGTAGACCTGATCGCAACTCTGCGCAGGCGTGAATTCGTCTGGATCGTGCTTCGTGCACTCTCCGTGGCTACCAATCGCCCCCCTGTCGCTACCATACAGACGAACAGGCACAGAGACAAACACGTGCACAAACAAACACGTGCACAGACACACATTCAAGGCGTTGCCCCACGTGCTCTGATCTCACCGATGCCCCAACAGTAAAATGAAAAATGAAAGCGACGGACAAAGATGAAGCGGTTGCCTACTATCCCAAAAGCGCCAAAGGCGCAGAGCCCAGCGGTAAAAATATCGAAACTGTTAAGATAAACGGACAAAATGAAGATGAAGAAGCAGCCAAGGAGTATCTTTCCAGCATTGACCAAGAAGTGCTAACCAAATTGAGCTGCATCTCAGGCCTTGGGACTTATCTAGCAAAACTGAAGTTAAAAGTGAACAAATTTTACTTCATTTACACTGTATTGACGATAATTCATTTTTCTATTTACCTAAACAGAGGAATCATTCCTGGGTCCTATGATTTTTTGTCCTCATATCTGAAGGAGAAGTATGCACCGACAAATGTCGATGTCCACATAGGATTCCTAACGTCTGTCTTTGTTTTCGGATTAAGTATAAACTCCATCCTTAGTGGATCCCTTGCGTCCAAGTATAGTGTCTTTCGGATAACGGATATCTTCCTCTTTCAGAATTCGTTGGCCTTACTAATGACTGGTTTCTCATTTATTATCGGATCGTACTATTCCCTAATGTTTAGCAGATTCTTTTGTGGGTTCAGTGAAGCTGCCTTCATTACAATTATCCCTCCTCTGATTTATTCATACTCGAAAGATCGAGCTGGCTCCTGGATTAGCATTTTTCTAACTATGTTTCCTTTGGGGGGTTGTATTGGGTACCTGCTCGCCGTTTTACTACCCATCATGAAAATCACCGTAGCACAATACTTCACCGGTTCGGGGGTCGCCTTCATGCTTTTTTCCCTTTGCTTCTACCTGTTTGATGAAAATTTATTAAAAAAGTATGAGGACGAGAAGAGCAGAAGGGAGCAGCAGTCCTCGGGGCAGAAGCAACAGGGGGATGGCGCCACCGATTTGGAGGACGGGAAGAACCAGAGGAAATCCGTCAAGGGGGGTCCTCCATCGGGTGCCGGAAACAACGGGACGGCTAAAAACGGGGCCGCCAACCAAGGGGTCACTCAGAAAAGCACAAGCGCCATCACATCCGGGGAGCCAAACTCGGACAACTCCGCCAACTCTGCGACCACCTCAGCGACCACCTCTGGGACCACCTCTGCCACCACCTCCGCGACGAGTTCCCCCGCCGGAGCGGCGCCCGGAAACAGAACACCAAACAGAAACGCGAGTAACGTCAGCTCGGGGAGAAACCCCCTCGCCGGGCAGCCAGGACCCGCGAATGGTAGAAGGCAGAGTAGCATCACGCGAAATGTGGGCGGACAGAATAGCTCCGACTTTGCAAATCAGACAGACGGAGGACTCGGCTTCGAGCGAAAGTCTCTCGACGAGGGGATGGAGATCATGAAAAAGGGAACAAACAGCAGCTCAGGAATCTACGAAGAAATGATGCACGAAGCATCCGAGGGAACGAGCTTTGATAAGACCAGATCCTTTAATTATATGAAGGAAAATTACAGCCACCTAGACTGCGCTGCCATTATAAGAGAAATGGACTTAGAAGCAAACGAAGACGAGGAACAGCAAAATATTAGCAACAACAGCTACATCAACAACAATCTAGACAAAATGTATCTTCTGAAATCGTTTGGGCCGGATGAAGAATATATGAATACAACTCAGGAGACTGATGGGAAGACAAAGAAGGACAAGAAGTATTTAGAGATCGAGCTGGATAACTGTATCGAATCTATGGATGATGAGAAAAACAATGAATACCTTAATTTGGGTCTCCTTGCAAGCACTACCTTGACGAACGTCGGATTCCTCATATTAGTTATTGCACTAACGGCACACACCGATATGGTACAATCGTACTTAGTCTATGGTGCACCAATCCTGTATGCGTTGAAGCTCTTCCCATCGTACAAAGCTGCCACGGTATTCTGTAGTCTATGTGCTTGTCTCTCCTCCATTGTTGGCACCTGTTTTGGAGGCTTCCTCATGGATTTCTACAATCTGAACATACAGAATGTCGACAAGAATTATGAGCATATAAATAATAATGAGAAGAAAATTAAGATATACAGCAAGGACGTCCTGATGTATGAGTACCTTCGAATCATCGGCATTCAGACCTTCATCATTTTGGCCGTTGCCAGTTCGCTTGTCATGTTAATTCCATTTATTACCAACACGTATTTGTTTACCTTCGTGATGACCCTCGGGCTGACCTTTCTCTTCTCCGCCATGGTGAGTGTTGCGCCAGGGAGGCGATGCGGAGGGGTTATGCGTTCTGCTAAGCGGTTATGGCTTCCGCTGGGTGGTTATTCGTTCCGCTTACCATTTATGCGTCTGCATTTCGCAGATTTATTTGTCACCACTTCCCCGTCTGCCGTTTTCTCCCCCCTCGCAGCCTGGCCAAAACATCGGACTCATGGTGTGCGTGCCTCAGAACATCCGCGCCTTTTCCATAGGACTGTCCTCCTTCATTTCGCATCTGCTTGGGTAGGGGATATAACACCTGGCCTCATCGTCATCACGAGTGTAGCTTTGTTTTTTTTTTTTTTTTTCCCGCACCTCTTTTCATACCTTTTTTCCGCCGCCCCCCTCCACAGCGACATCCCCTGGACGATTATCATCGGCAAGATTAAGGGAACCCTATCTCCTGACTGCGTCGTGACGAGAAATGTAAGTAACGCTGCGTACGGAGCTGCGTGTGTATATATAATATGCCGGTTTGTGTTCCATGCGTTCTAGCCCCAACGGCACGTCCGCTCATGGCATATTCGCTCATGACATGTCCGCTTATGGCTGTCCCCTTATGGTTGTCCGCCCATACCGATTTTTTTTTTTTTTTTTTTTTTTATTTCGCCGCACCTACCCCACAGGGAGAACTGAGCGAGCGCTGCTTCGAACAAAGCAGGGGCCTTCGAGTGACTCTTTTTATCATCTGCTCCAAGTCGCTCATCATGATGATGGCCAGCTTCCTCCTCAACGTATACGCCAAGAAGAAAATTAGGAAATACAAGAATAAGCAGAGCGGTACGGCGTGATGCGGATGGTGATAACAACCCGGACTGAAGGAGGGGAGAGGAGCCCCAACGCGCGGAGGAAATAGGAAATATAAAATAGAAATTAGAAAATAGAAAATATAAAATAGAAATTAGAAAATAGAAAGTATGAAATAGAAAGTAGCAAAATTGTAACGGATGAGCGGACGCAAAAAATGATTGATGGCATCGCCAGACAGATGGCAAGACGAACGGATTGATCTCCCTTTTTTCCTCCCTCCCCCGGCTCTTTCGTCCCGCCCTTGCGTGTCCCCTCTTTAAATTTTTAATTTTAATAATCATTTTGTATTTTTATCCGATGATCCTTTTTATTGCTTTTTCAATTTATACCAGATGGCGGTTGCTGCGCGGGTGCTCATCCCCTACACCTACATCACCGCTACTACACCGTTGCTACATCTCCGTCACTGCTTTTCCGTTACTGCATCATCGCGTCCTCCCCCTTAAATTGTGCCTGTTTTTCACTCTCCTGAATTCAGTATTCTCATGTTCCCTTTTTTCCCCTCTCCGCTGTCCATGTGACGTGGTTATGCTGTGCGCCTGTGTCCCCTGTGTGCGTCTGTATCTGTATATGCGTTTACCGGCGTTGATGCTCACGTCGGCCACGCTTCCACCCCCTCCGAGTGTGTGTTTGCCCGCATATGCATGTGCGCGTACGTAGGCCATGTCGCATACATTACTTCAGATTTATGTTCGCATGTACCTGCACACATTTTTACAACCATCTTTGGCCTCGTTTTTTTTCCCCCCCCCTCCGTTGTGTGTGATTTAAAAATTTTTTTAGTTTTTTAAAAGATTAATTTAGGTCATTTTTAAAGCCAAATTTAAATTTTTTGATGGCATATTCGGCCAATCTTAAGTTAGCACTTCGCCGAGTTCGTTTTATTTTATTTTATTTTTTCTCCAAGGTGGGTGACCCCAATTGTTGTTGCGAGAAAATAAGAAGCTTCCGCTTCAGGGGAAGTTCAGAACTTCAGAACTCCTATCGTATTGCTCCTCCGTCGTCGCTTTTTTTTTTGTTCCATTTTGGCTTATTTTGGATGCCTTTCATTTCTGCTGCTTCTTCCCTTTTGCTGCTTCTTCCCTTTTGCTACTTCTTCCCTTTTGCTGCCTCCTCCCTTTTGCTGCTTCTTCCCTTTTTTGCGTGCCCACCTCGCGAGGCGGAAACTTGAAGTGGATTCGTTACGGAGGGTCCCCCCCCATGCCGACGCTGCTTTTAATTTTATATAGAGGACAGGAGAGAGACCCACGCTGTGGAGTTTTCTTTCGAGCGTGACTTGGCCAAACGGAGAAGAAAGCCCACCCCCTGTTGCCGCAGGTATATGAATTATATTTACCACCTGTTTACGCGCATGCGGCGTGGCGAAGCAGCAATGAAGAGCAAAAAGGCACGCATGGGAGGGGAAGTAGTGGAAGCAGTGACAGCAAAGCGGTGAAAACGAAGTGGTGACGCAGTGCCCTCAACCTAATGGGGGAGACACCACAGTGACAATCTACCCCCCCCGGCGTAACACCAATACGAACCTGCACAACAATATACCCGCTGAAAAGAAAAAAAAAAGAAAATGTTTTCCAACGCGATCAAGCTAGAAAATCTGAACGATTACTACAACGAGGGGGAGCAATGCATAAAGCCCTTTCTGTACAAGTCGCAAATTGTGAATGAGGACGACCTGAGCAAGCCAAATTTAATCAACATAAATAGGAAGAATAAAGAAAAGAAAAAAAAGGAGAGGGGAGAAATATCGCTGACTGACTGCTTAGCCTGTAGTGGCTGCGTTACAAATGAAGAGACCAATTTTCTCAAAAACCAAAATGCAGTCGAAATTTTAAACGAAATTAGGAAAAAAAAAATCAACATCATTTCCTTGTCTTTGCAAAGCATCACAGCCTTGTCCGTACATTACAACTTCTCCATTCAGAGGACACAGAAGAAGTTATGCTTTCTGTTCAAGTCGTTGGGCTTCGATTATGTGTATGAATCCTCCCTTAGCGAATTGATAGCTCTGAATGAGAGCAAGCGTGAGTTTATGCTCCACTTTGGGAAGGCCACGAGGACAGGGAAACAAGGCGAGGACTATGCAAACCATGCCGATGATACCTTGGGCAGTAAAAGGGACCACCGCCTGAAATCCAATCGGGGAAGTAAAACTGAGCTTACGGGGGGCAACCTGGAGAAGGCAGTTACAAATGGGAGTAACCTCACCAAAGGCAACAGCAACCATGCCAGTATCTACACACGTGAGGGAAACATCTCCCTTCCTGTGATTTGCTCTCATTGCAGTGGCACCGTTATATATGGAGAAAAAAATTTCGATGAAGAACAGCTAAACTTATTTAGTCAAGTAAAATCCAGTCAGGACATCCAGGGAATCATCTTAAAAATCCTGCACCTCCAGAAGAGCATAAATGTGACTCTGCCCCTGCTGGAAAGCCTCCCCCCGCTGAGGAACTTTTTCAATTTGTACTGCAAATACGAGTCGCAGTTTTGGGCCGTTTGCAGGAAGCACTATCGCAGGAACCACCGTTTTTTGCCATCGGGCCAAGCTGACAGCGGAGGCAATGGAAGGAGAGGCAGGAGCGGAAGCAACGGAAGCAGCCGAGGCATCCGAAGCAGCGGAAGAAGTCGTGTGAATGCCACCCCCCCAACGATCTACGACATCAACCATGTTTACCTGCTGTACTGCTTCGACAAAAAGTTGGAGGCGCACAGAAGTAACCTCCCCCAAGAGAATTCCCTAAATCAGAACATGCTTTCCTATCTGTCTTATGTCTCGCCACGGACGTTCCACCCGATGAGGGAGGCGGCCAACACAGACCAACAGGAGAAGAGAAACTTCCACTGCGTCGATGCTGTGCTAACCACGGTGGAGCTCGTCGAGCTGATAAACGACACGGGCATTGATCTTATGTCGCTGCCAGAGATTCCTGTTGACAGTGTGTACGACCTTTTGCGGGGCGCCATGAAGGGGTTGGAGACAAATAAGACAAAAAGGGGCCCCGACAAAGCTGCCGCGGATGACACCCCGCCCAGGACAGACGCCGAACGGATTGGCAGCCGCAACCTGCACGAAGTGCGCGAACTGCGCGAACTTTACGACCAGCTCGCCGAGTACACACTCCGGTGCGGAAATAGAAATAACATTTCGATGGGTTACGGAGAAGAGATATTCAAATGTGTGTGCAGAGACGTGTTCAATTTTGAGGTGGACGAGAAGGAGTTCCATCTCAAGTACCACGACATAGTGGTGTTGTCCCTGTTGGAAGGCGAACACTGCGTTTTCCGCGTGATCCTTTCCTACGGCTTTAAGAGCATGTATAGTGTTATCCGGAAGGTCAAGGAGAGCAGGGGGGGGAACGCCCCACAGAGAAATCCCCCAGGGAAGAATCCACCACGGAGAAATTCATCACGGAGAAATTCCCCATGGAGAAATTCCCCACGGAGTGGTACGCCACCGAACCCCCCCGGCGAGGAAAAAAAATACGACGTGGAAATTACCTACAATCTGCATTTCACCGGAAGAATCGACTACATAGAATTGATGGCCTGCGAAAAGGGGTGCCTCTTCGGATGCGCCCAGAACATTTTTTCAGAACGTGTCCATAGGCGCACCTGCTGCCTCTGCTACAACTCTCGCATTTTTAAAAAAATCGCTCAGCAGGAGGTTATTGAAAATTTTGACTTCCTCCGTTCAGATGAAAGGAGCGATGCGGAGGGAGGTGGAGGACAAGGGGAAGATAAAACGGAAGGCATTATTTGTGCCAGCGAAAAGCACAGACGGTGTGATCATCACATGCAGGATGTGGAAGCCTCATCGAGTAACGAAGGGGAGACACGATATTATTATCAATTGTCTAATCAGCAAAAAGTGGACACAGAAAAGCTGTTTCAAAAAATGTATGACAACATGCATAGTGAGAAACTGACGCGGTATGTCAATTCGAGCAAATGCGATAGGGATATAAGTGTCAACTCGTTTTTAAAAAACATCGGCAACTTTTTCAACACGGAGACTTTCCACATTCTTAAGACTTCCTTTTCTTCCAAGAAGAAGGCAGACATTATCAATTGGTGAATCCATCCCACAGGGGATAACTTCCCATTTTGCTACGCTATCGTTATGGACAGAGAGGAAGCGCACACAGAGCAACCCCCGAATAAGAAAAAAAAAACAAACAAGTATACATGTCCGACTTCCGGACAATTTTCTCCTCCTTGCATTCCTGCCCGACTGCGAACCGGAGGGTGCGTTTCTCCGGCCCATTGAGAATTTTCGTTTGTTTGAAAATAGACGGGATACTTTACATCCCAGGAGCGAAGCCGCTTGTTCATTAGTAGGTGTACATACGCCCATTTCGCCTGTATTCCCATATACACACATTTGCGTATGTCGCGGACGCCCACAAATGTATGTTAACATCCCAAAACTGTTAAGTCGCAAAGGGGAGGTTCATCCAAAACGAACGAGACTTAACGTTGTTTAAAAGGGGGGTGTTCATAGGGATATTTCTTTTTTTTCCCTTTTTTTTTTTTTGCTATTTTTTGCTATTTTTTTTTTTTCAGTTTTGTAACATTTTGCCTGACCCGTTGATACGGATTTGTTCAAATAGGCGCAGAAATGGAGCAATTTTTTCTTTTTTTTTTTTTTCTTTTTTCTTTTTTTTGTGCATGCGTCCAGTGCTGCTTCGCCTTTTAGCCGTTATAACTTGGCAATTTTTGAAAACTAACATGACAACCATGTTAAGGTAGCCCTCGAATGAGGTTTAAAAGCTTCCGCAAAGTGTGCGCCCGTCAGTCTCTTTTTCCCTGGGCGACTTGGTGCGCCTGTGTGGAGGTTCTCTACACTTTGAAGCAAAGGCTAGTGCGGAAGGGAGGTGCGGTTCCCCGTGTACACCAACCGAGATAGTAAACGCAACGGTTGCGGTAGCGGTAGAGACAACAGATTTGCGCAGCAGCGGTAGCCACTCCGCGTTGAAGGAATGCCCCTTTATGTGACAGGTCCCGTTTAGCCCTCTGTACGACGCTTTAAAACGTTCCGCTTTTTTTTTGTCTTACTCGAGTTGTTCTCAAGTGGTTCTCCCAGGTGGGAAATAGGAGAGTATCACCACCCACATCATGGGTGTTAACCATGTGAAAGATGCTAACCACAGGAAGGCTGCTAAGCACATGAAGTATGCTAACAATATGGAGAATCCTACCCCCCTGCGGAAGCTGAACGACATGCTCAAGTGCGACCCCGCGCAGAAACACAGGAGCAAAAACAAAGCACGCGAAAGGTACGCAGAGAGGGAAGTCAACAAGAAGTACCTGAACAGAACAAAACAGATTGGCCGAAAATACATCGAGCAGGTGATGACCGAGTGTGGCGCAGACGACATTACAGATGATGACTGGGAGAGCTTCCGAAGAGGAGGAATTCCAAATGAAATGAAACCATCTCCAACTATGAGAAAGGAAGAAAAAGATTTCGAATTCACCCCTGTGTCTAACGCAGAAATAGACCCTGTGGCGTGCAAGGTGAAGGGAGGAAATTTGTACGAAGGCATAGCAGGTGTACTGAACCAAGTGGTAATCGAAACGGTTAGCAAAACAGGGGAATGTATTTACGTGGAGAACTACACATTTGAAGCGTACGTGAAGGAAAGGGAAAAGGTAGACAAACTGAATTACCAAAGGGAGCAAACACAGGGGGAGGAGCAGCAGGACAACCGATACGACTTGTACATACGAAACAATTTGTATAACCAATTCCAAAGAGAAAAACATGAGACGTTAATCAATTTGGATCACAATAGGTATAATATTAATGCTAATTTTTCGAATTACAAACATGTGGGGTGTGAAGAGAGGGAATCATCTCTTTGGGGAGGCACAGAAAGGGATGGACCCTATATCGTTGCTGTTACTGAGGGGAAGAGGGGGAAAAGTGGCTCTCTTTGTCGTTCCCCTCTTACGCGTAGCGGTAGGGATGAAACAGGTGCAAACACGTTCATAGAAGGACCCTCTCCTCATGTAAACAACAACACTGAGAATCAAACAATGAGAGAAGGATACATGTTCGAGTCCGAAATGTACGATAGTGAAAATATGAAACTGACACAAAATAGTTTCAAGTGCAACATTAGCGATTTAAAAAATGGGACCTATGTTGTGACGTATAACTTGGGAAAGTGCGGCTACTACTATTTGTCTATATTTTGCAAAAAAAAGGCCGTTGCGAATTCCCCCTACCTCATTTGCATAAAGCCGAACGTGGCGTACGCCCCAAACTGTGTGGTGTACAAAAGGGTCAGCGGTGGGATGGTCTTCCCGGCGATCAGAAGGGGGGCAGGGAAAAGAAAGCGGAAATTACACACACGTGGAAGGTTCAGCCGCATCTATAACGATTCGCTACGCGCAAACGAGTTTGATTTGGCGGACTCCGATGGTTGTGAATCGGGCGGGGGTAGTAGTAGTGGCAGCGGGGGAGAAGAAGAAGAGGACGAAGAAGAGGACGAAGCAGAACAAGACGACGACGACGAAGACCCCCCCATGCACATTTTGAAATACGACGCAGGAGGGGACCCTGGCGACCCTGTCGCCTCTTGCAGCGACCATGACAGGCAGAAGCAGTATGATAATTTCTTCATCCAGAGCTACGACGCCTACGGGAATGCCATCTCCGAAGGAGGCGACTCCTTTGAGGCGCACGCCCTCGGAGGGGTTAAAATCGTTAGGGTGAATGACCTGCACAATGGCTCCTATGAAGTTATATACCGCTACGTAAGGCCAACCACTGCAGCAGATGAAGAGGAAGGGACCATCCCATACAGACAAATAAACGTGACGCTAAACGGATGGCACGTGAAGGGCTCTCCCTTTAGAATTGTCCACAAAAAGGACAAACAAGTGGGCTACTTACAAAGAATAAGAAACTTACTACCCATAGATGAAGTGAACCTGCTGGACCCTCTACAGAGTCTGCTACGCATAATGCAGTCTTACCAATACGTGAAGGAAAACTACCTCGATGAGAAGCAAGAAAGGTATTTTATGCAATTGAGTCCGTACTACGAGAAGGAAGAACTGAACAAATTACTTCGAAAGGTGGACCCAAATATGGTATCCCTCATGTCGATACCGTTGCGACAACAGATACTTAATCATGTGATGCATATAAATAACGACAGAAAACTGATCCAGTTGAAAGAGGTCCTCTTTAGAGAACTTTCCCTAACCCTGGGGACGATGGTGAAATGCGCAAATAGCTACTTTGATGAGCTGGAAAAAGACAAGGTGAGCCTTTTGCAAGACAGACGCAGACAAGATGTGAGCATCAGAGAAGCTAATACGATGTATGAATCTTTGAAGGACAAGAATATCCACTCGTTGCCTTTCGACTTTTCCATTAAAGATATGAAAATATACGAACAGGAGTTGGCTCTTAAGAAAAAGGAGCTACTAGAGAAACAGACTAAGCTGATAAACAGATACAACTCCATTAGAGGCAAGGAGAAGAAATTTTACCAGGACAGGGAGGAGGTCACGAACCAGCTAACCCAGAAGTATGAGCTGCATCAGGCCATATACGAGCATTCGCAGAGGGCTCTGATTCACACCAACGGAGCCTTGAAGAAAATCACCATCAGCAATATTAAGCGAAACTGCTCCGCGGAACGCGGTGTTCTCGGCGGCAAGGTCGGCCCCCCTGATGCGGACGCGGCAGGTTTGAAGCGGCAGCGATAGTAGACCATTTCGCTATATTCCTTTATCAGAGCGACGCTTTACCGACGGCCCCCTCCTCCCCAACAAGGAAGAAAAAAAAAGAAGGTAAGGCTGAACTTGACTGATTACACTTCCCCGCGGGGGGTAAAGCTACAATCGATGCAACTTCACCGCGTCGTGTCCCTCCGCAAGGTACTCACCACATTATGAGCGCCGACAAAATGGGCACCAGGCTTTACCGCATGCTTCCTTCCCTGCGCGCGGAAAGTGAGATAATGAGAGGATACCTCGCTGGAGAAAGCGGCGCACTGCTGCTCATCATGCTGCTCATGAGAGGCCGCTCTCCCACATAGCCGCTTGCTCCTGTTAGTGCAGCGGGGGGGACATACTCCCCCTTTTTGCAGTGACGGACAGGTGCGCACCCCGCCGCGAAAGAGCAACCCAAGGGGAGGGGCTTCTATACGAAGAAGGGATGGAAAAGATGAAGAAGAGTTCTAGTTTGCCTGGATTGCTCGGCTTGCCCGACTGGCCCAGCCAGAGCCGCCGGAGCCGCCTGCCCCGCTTCCACTGCTTTTCCACGCGGAGCAGCTCGTCGGGGAAACATGTCGACTACTCCCTGTACCTCGTGACGGACGACAAATTCTTCGCGGATAAGCAGAACGTGTGCCGCACGCTGATTGGAAAGGTCCTGGAAGGAGTTCTTGGCGGAGTGGGGTTGGTGCAGTTGCGCCTGAAGAAGGCAGATGACAGATATTTTTACAACGCAGCCGTAAGGATGAAGCAGCTGCTAGGTAAATACAAAGTACCACTAATAATAAACAACAGAATCGATATCTGTCTAGGTGTAGACGCTGATGGAGTGCATGTGGGGAGGACAGACGTCCCCATGAACGTCGCGAGGGACATCCTAGGAGAAGACAAAATCATCGGGGCAACCATAAACTTTAGCAATGACGAGGACATTCAGATGGCCCTGAATAGCCATGTTGATTACATAGTGCATGAACATACGTTATATGAATCCACGACGAAGCAAATTGCAGCTTCGCATCACGAGGGGTTGAAGCAACAAATACGAATGCTACATTGTAGGATAAAGCATCTTCAAGAGACAGGAAAAATTTACAAACCAACTTCAAACTCAGAGGCTCCACCTATTATCCTCATTGGAGGCATTAACACCAACAACATTGAGGAAACTATGACCCATTTTTGTCACTCCTGTGCAGGGGTGGCAGTTGTGTCCAATCTCATTGGAGAGAAGTGCAATTCCTTTTTCAACTCACTAAGGTTAAGGTTTGTAATAGATAAGAATAAAAAAGGTTACAACGACGCGTTTGTGAATCTGTGCGTGAGCTGTTTGCGTCATGTTTTTTGGACCAACTTAGAGGGCGACATGAAAGGGGCGCACACCACTTTGCTGGGGGGACCACCCATGGAGACACCAGCGAGCGAGGAAAAAGCCGGCAACTTTCGATTGGCTACAAATATGCACGTCAAAAGAAACGTTCTCCACTTTTTTGAAAATAATCTTGATTTGAAAATTGTGCAATTAAATCAGCCCATTGTGTGTAGTTCCGCTGGGGGGGGCAACATTTTCCTGTTTTGTTCGAGGCCCACGGGTGTAACGAGAGAAGCAGACGAAGCAGATGAAGCAGATGAAGCAACTGACGCAACCGAAGCAACCGAAACAGGGGAGGGTGGTTGCCTCCACGGTGAAGGCAAAAGAATGCCCATTTCGCACGACCCATGTGTAACCAAGTGGATTCAGCAAAATAAAAAAATTGCAAACGGGGTGTTCATTCTTATAGGCGCGGATTTCTTATCCCTATTCCGAAAATTTTTGGCGCCTGATTTTTTCCACTTGAACAATTTTGTTGTTATCACGACGAGGGAACAAAGCAGCTGGGAGACGCTGCGGTGTGACCTCCGCGGGGTTTCCATACAATTCAGTAACAATTTAATCAATGTCGCGTTGAAGAATATCCACGTGGACAGTGAGGCAGTGAACCGCTTTGCCATTTTGCTCGCCTATTTTTTAATGGTGCAGGAGAAGATGAAGCGGGTGTCTCCCCAGTTTTTAACCCAAATTGTGGGGACCGAGGGAGAAGCAACCGCGGACGCAGGGGAAGAAGGAAGAAAGCTTCTCAAATTAGCCTCTGCGGTGAACATGTCGTTCGAGGTGCTTTCAAATGAGCACACGGGCTTGGGGTTGGCGGCCTTCTCCACATAGGGAAGTTTTTTCTCTCTTTTTTTTTTTTTACGTGCGTGCGCGAAGCGCGTTTGTACTTGTTTGTGATCCGCGTTTTTGGTTTTTTTTTTTTTTCTTTTTCTAACTTCTTTCCTTGAGTGTTGGGAATTACCTGGTGGTGTTTTCATTTTGTGCACCATCGGCCCGTCCGTTCGTGTGTGCTTTACCCCTCCAGTTCTATGCCTCGAGGACCGGGCCGTGGCGTGAAGCGATAAGTTTGTGTGTTTCTCCCCCCTTAGTGGGGCCAGATTTATGCTTCGAAAAATCGGAAACCGCATTATACGATCTCCCCCTCGATGAAAAAAAATTATTCAGAAAGTAGCCATTCCTTTTTTATCACCTCTTTAGAGCAATTCTTTTTTTTTTCCGCGTAACTAGCCGTTATGCCGTTTTAGCTAGCTAGAAAAAAAAAAAAAAAAAAAAACAACTGCGGAGCAAACGAACGAACAAGCAACCCATTAACATGTTAACCTGTTAACCTACGACGGTCCCCTCGGCGAACTCGTTATTGTGGAAAAAGGCTCATCATGTTTTATATAGAAAAACGCCCTGCGAGAGCATTTACAAAGCAGTTGCTATATGATCGCTGTCGTGTACCCTCCCTGTATGTTCCTCACACATTCGCAAACAACAACATCAGTACATTAAATGGTTCCGTCCCTTCCCTCTCTACACACAATTTCTGCAGGGTCGGTCGCCTCTGTGTACCGGCGTGGGTCCGTTTTGCGTTTGCGACTCTCCAGTGTTCGGGGCGCCACCACTACAGTGCGCATGTGCACATACGCCATAAGTGTGTACAGAAGTGTGTACATTTATCTACATACAGTTGCGTGGAATTTCGCACAGGTTCATAGAATTGCGTACATTTTTTTTCTCCGGAAATTTTTTCCTTATGCCTTGCATGAAAAACAACCTGATGTCGTAACTTTATAGTCTATAAATTGACCGAGAAATGAAAAAAAAAAAACAAACAATGCGAAAAAGCGAAATGATGGGCAAAAAAGCAAAAGAATAGAACAAAAAAATAGAACAAAAAAATAGAACAAAAAAATAGAACAAAAAAATAAAACAAAAAAACAAAAAAATAAACCAAAAAAATAAAGCAGACTAAAGAAAAACTAAACGAAACACACCAAAACAGGGGAAACGAAGCAAGGCGAGGAGGCACCACTTCCACCATCAGTCGTGGATTTGTGGAATTTTTTTTTCCTTCTCCTACATTGTTAAAATTTAGTAAATCGCTTCACAACTGTTTTGCGCCTTGTGTCCGGTGTGGTTCGCCCCTGTTTGCGTTTTTTTTTTTTCTCTCTAAAAACTTTCCCCACGGTGGTTCCATAACCCCCCAATGTGCACGAACCAACACAGAACTCCATTTTGTACTACTTCGCACACGACAACAATGGGGGGCGCGGAAGACGCAAATTTCAAGGAGGGAGACATCGTGTGGTATGAAAACGAATCCTCCAGCCCGGAGGGGGATGCGGACAACACTCCGTTCATTCTGTGCCGCATAGTCCAGGTGAATGACGACGATGACGTCATGTTATGCAAGCACGACGACCCCAATGGACGCATATTTGTGAGCAGAGTGAAGAACATACACAGGGCCAACCATCTCTTTACCTTGGACCAAAATGACCTGATAAAACTGAAATATATTAACGATCCCGCGTTACTGCATCATCTCCACGGAAGATTTAAGAACAAAAAATTCTACACAAAGATGGGTCCGCTACTCATATTTGTAAACCCCAATATGAACTTGAGCCTAAACAATGAAGAAACCATTCGCAAGCGCAAGTTTTCGGACACAACTGCCGAGGGGAATCCGAATGAATACACCGTTGCTCATTCTGCGCTGCGAAATTTGAGCATGTTAAAACGGAATCAGTCCATTATCGTGACTGGTGAGTCTGGCTCGGGGAAGAGTGAGATCACGAAGAATATATTAAACTTTCTGGCCTATCAAGTGAAGACGCCTCGGGAGGAGACGTGTGAGCAGAAGGATGTCGCTGCCGCGGAGGAGAGGACAGCCAGCGCACAGGACGACGAGAACGAAGCGAATCAGTCGGCCGAGATGAACCAGCGGGATGAGGCAAGTCATCCAGAGGAAGCGGGGGAATCTACCGAGCCGAACCGAGTGAAGCTCACCGAAATGATAGCCCACATGAACGTCATCCTGGACGCCTTCGGGGGCGCCAAAACGGGAAAGAACAACAACTCCAGTAGGTTATCCAAGTTTTTTACTCTCCACATGGACGAGAGTGGGCGCGTGAAGTCAATGCACGTGAAGAAGTTCCTCTTCGAGAAGGAAAGGCTTATCGGAAAGAGCGGAACGGGTGACGAGATGGGCGAAGAGACTGGCGAAGAGAGTGGCGGAGAGAGTGGCGGCAAGACGGACGACGAAACGGGCGGCGAACACGAACGCGATCGCGAGAATTCCTTCAACATTTTTTACTATATCCTAAACGGGTCAAGCGACAAGTTCAAGGAAATGTACTATCTGAAGGATGTGAAGTATTATAGGATGTTGCGATTGAGGGGGTCCATGCGGAGTGGCAAGACGTTGCGGGTTAACGACAACGCGGTAGAGGGCCACCCAGCGAAGGAGAGACTCTCCTCAACAGTCGAATCGGCCAAATTTCTTGAATTACTAAAATCATTTAATTACATTTTTGATGACGACAAAGAAATCGATTTTGTCTTCTCTATCCTCTCGGCATTGTTACTCCTAGGGAATATAGAGACGGTGAAAAATCTGCGACAGAAATCTGTGCTTAGAAAGAACCTTCTCTGTGAAAGTTCCATCAACTACGCAGAGTTACTACAAATCTTGGAAGATTCAAATGAGGATTTAATTACGGATGACAACGTGAAGAGCTTCCTCCTAGCTAGTAAGCTCCTGGGTATCCGTCCAGAACAACTCGTAAAATATTTCACCACACATTACGTCTTCAACGATATTCTACTTATGAAGGTACATAACGAAACCAAGATCCAGAGGAGAATAGAAGCGTTCATTAAGACCACTTACGATGAGTTATTTAATTGGGTTCTGCATAAGGTGAACTGTAAATTGGTGGTTCTAATTGGAGGAGGGGTAGATCATGAGAATGGCAGTGATCAGTCAAACTACATAAATGTTCTAGATTTGGCCTACTTTGAAAAGGGAGAAAAGAATTCCCTCACCGAATTACTCGTAAACACTAGCAATGAAGCGGTGCGTAAGATGGTCGTGGATTTTATGTTCCGACAGAGGATACAACTGTGTAGGGAAGAAGGCATAGAGACCTCCTCCTGCCTTAACTTGGACGAAATAGACAACGAGGGTCTGTACAATGTGTTGGTTCAGAAAGAGGAAGAGTCGCTCTTTTCCTACTTGGAATATCTATCCATGAAGAAAGTCACCGAAAAGAAAAATTTGCACGCCTTAATAGTGAAGAAGTTTTCCAAGGAGGGTGGGTACATAAAGGAGGCCTTCTCCATTGACTCGGGGAAGAAGAGCAGCAAATCGCTTTCCTCCTTCGTCATCGTCCACTCATATGGTGAAGTTTGTTACTCATCCGAGGAGCTTATCAGCCAAAACATACAAATACTGACGAATAACTATATTGATATGATGAAGAAGTCGGGCAACCCCTACCTGGAACAACTCTGCTGCAGTTATGATTATGACCCCTCTGGGGACATCATGGAGGAGAAGAGACGATACAGCATTCAGTCTGCTCTGAAACTGTTCCGACGCAAGTACGAGTCGAAGAATCAAATGCCTGTTACCATGCTGAGGAATAGCTTGATCGAATTGATGAAGGTGAAGGAGAGTACTTTCTGCCACTTCATATTCTGCATGACGTCGAACCAGAACAGGTTGAGCGGCAGGGGGGAAATTATTAACCTGTTTGACGAGCGTGTCGTCCTCGATCAGGTTCAGAGGATGTGCCTTTCGCAGTTCAGACAGCTCAAAGGTGCTGGGCTCTTCCCCCACGCCTTTTATTTCGCGGAGTTGCTGGACCTCTTGGGGGGGGAAGAAGCAAAGGGGGAAGAAGCAGATGGGGAGGCGGCAAAGAGGGAAGAAGAAGATGAGGAGGTGGCAAAGGGGGAAGAAGCAGATGGGGAGGCGGCAAAGAGGGAAGAAGAAGATGAGGAGGTGGCAAAGGGGGAAGAAGCAGATGGGGAGGCGGCAAAGAGGGAAGAAGAAGATGAGGAGGTGGCAAAGGGGGAAGAAGCAGATGGGGAGGCGGCAAAGAGGGAAGAAGAAGATGAGGAGGTGGCAAAGGGGGAAGAAGCAGATGGGGAGGCGGCAAAGAGGGAAGAAGAAGATGAGGAGGTGGCAAAGGGGGAAGAAGCAGATGGGGAGGCGGCAAAGAGGGAAGAAGAAGATGAGGAGGTGGCAAAGGGGGAAGAAGCAGATGGGGAGGCGGCAAAGAGGGAAGAAGAAGATGAGGAGGTGGCAAAGGGGGAAGAAGCAGATGGGGAGGCGGCAAAGAGGGAAGAAGAAGATGAGGAGGTGGCAAAGGGGGAAGAAGCAGATGGGGAGGCGGCAAAGAGGGAAGAAGAAGATGAGGAGGTGGCAAAGGGGGAAGAAGCAGATGGGGAGGCGGCAAAGAGGGAAGAAGAAGATGAGGAGGTGGCAAAGGGGGAAGAAGCAGATGGGGAGGCGGCAAAGAGGGAAGAAGAAGATGAGGAGGTGGCAAAGGGGGAAGAAGCAGATGGGGAGGCGGCAAAGAGGGAAGAAGAAGATGAGGAGGTGGCAAAGGGGGAAGAAGCAGATGGGGAGGCGGCAAAGAGGGAAGAAGAAGATGAGGAGGTGGCAAAGGGGGAAGAAGCAGATGGGGAGGCGGCAAAGAGGGAAGAAGAAGATGAGGAGGTGGCAAAGGGGGAAGAAGCAGATGGGGAGGCGGCAAAGAGGGAAGAAGAAGATGAGGAGGTGGCAAAGGGGGAAGAAGCAGATGGGGAGGCGGCAAAGAGGGAAGAAGAAGATGAGGAGGTGGCAAAGGGGGAAGAAGCAGATGGGGAGGCGGCAAAGAGGGAAGAAGAAGATGAGGAGGTGGCAAAGGGGGAAGAAGCAGATGGGGAGGCGGCAAAGAGGGAAGAAGAAGATGAGGAGGTGGCAAAGGGGGAAGAAGCAGATGGGGAGGCGGCAAAGAGGGAAGAAGAAGATGAGGAGGTGGCAAAGGGGGAAGAAGCAGATGGGGAGGCGGCAAAGAGGGAAGAAGAAGATGAGGAGGTGGCAAAGGGGGAAGAAGCAGATGGGGAGGCGGCAAAGAGGGAAGAAGAAGATGAGGAGGTGGCAAAGGGGGAAGAAGCAGATAAGGAAGAAGCAGATGAGGAAGAAGCAAATGGGGAGGCGGCAAAGGGGGAAGAAGAAGATAAGGAAGAAGCATATGAGGAAGAAGCAGATGGCGAAGCTGCAGAGGGGGCGGGACTGGATTCTCCACACGAAGACGCCAAGCAGCGTGTCGAAGATATGATAAAGTCCTACAACATCAGTAAGAGCGAATGGGCCATGGGAGAAAACCGAATCTTCCTCACGGATGTCTCTTTAAAAATTCTGATGCAGAGAAAGTGGGAACAGTGCATGCACAGGATGATTCCAAAGTGGGGTGCAGCAGTGAATGCTCATCAGGGGGCACACCCTGGGGGGGAAGAATTTACCTCCAAGGTAGCAGGGTTGTTAAACCTAGAGTGTGTGAGAATCAGCCAAGTGTACAAGAAAGAGGATGCTGAAATGATCTACAAGATGATGAAAGAAGGAATGGATTCTGATTCGAAAAACGAAAACACATATCTTAAGTACATCATGGAAATTATGAACCTGAGAAGAATATCGGAGATGTATAATTTCGGAGGGGACAAAGCAGAGGACAAAACGGGGGAAGGATCCATGGAAAGAGGGGGAGACTCCTACCATAAACAAGGCAGTGATCTCAATCAAGACGCAGTACAGATGTGTGGTATTATGAATATATTAAATAACGTGCCTACTTGCAACGGGAAGGTGAGTGATCTGGATGAGGCCCTGAAGGGAAGCCGCACCTGCGGCATGGGAATGCCAAACTTCTGCGGCGGGGACTCGCCGTCTAGGGAGATAGTGTCGCAGGGAAGCGCGGATGCGAGTGTAGTGGCTGATGTTGAGAGGGGAGAAGTAGACCGGGAGGAGGTACAACAGGGAGAAGTGGATCGGGAGGAAGTAAAACAGGCAGAAGTGCACCTGGACGGAGTCCAACCTGAGGAAGGAGAACTGGAAGTTGCCGAAGAAGGCAAAGCGAACGGAGAGACAGCCGAGGAGGAGCAATTGAATGAGGAGCAGTTAAGTGAGGAAGCCCCCGAGGATGACCTGCCCAAGGAGGAGCTCCCCCCTGTGGACGCCACAAACAGTGACGAACAGGAAGAGAAGAGAAGAGGCACCGTGAGCATCAACACGGCCGATGCAGGAGAATCGCAGGAGCAGGAGGTAGATGTGGAAAGGGCTGGCTCTGTGCCGGTGGAGGTAGACGCCGATAAGGCAGGTGAGGATGGCGCGGAGGAGGCGACGGAGGAAGTAGAGGTGGTCGATTTGAAAGATGAAGGAGCCGAGGAGGAAGAGGTGGAGGCGGAGAAAGATGAGCCCAAGGAGGAAGCGGCGGAGGAAGTGGAGGTGGTCGATTTGAAAGATGAAGGAGCAGAGGAGGTACGGGTGGAGGCAGAAGTGCAGGAAAAGGTGGAAATGGCGAAAGATGAAGATAAGGAAATTTCTATGAAGGAACAAGAGGTGGACGGAGTGGCAGAGGAACCAAAGGAGGGGGAGGTAAAGGTGGAAACGGAGGTGGAAGCAGAGATGAAAGAAGAGGTGAAGGAAGAGGTGAAGGAAGAGGTGAAGGAAGAGGTGGAAGCAGAGGTGGAGGCAGAGGTGGAGGCAGAGGTGAAGGAAGAGGTGGAAGCAGAGGTGAAGGAAGAGGCGAACGAGGAAGCGATCGCAGCGGACGAAGTGGAGGCACACGAAGAGCCGGAAGACGTAGAAGAGAAAATGCCCCAAGCAGAGGAACTAAACGAGGAGAAGGTACAGGGGGAGGTGGCGAAAGATGAGCCGAAGGAGGAAGCGATCGAAACGGACGAAGTGAAGGCACACCAAGAGCCGGACAACGTAGAAGAAGAGATGCCCCAAGCAGAGGAGCTCGAGGTGCAGGCACTGGAAGTAGAGGTAGACGAGATGAACCCGTTCACCGAGACAGATGCAGCGGAGGACATGAACCCATTCCCCGAGACAGATGGAACCGAGGAGATGAACCCGTCCACCGAGACAGATGCAGTGGAGGGAATGAACCCACCCAGCGAGAATGGTGCAGCCGATGAAGTGAACCCCCAGCATCAAGAGGAGGAAAACTCGACGAAGGACGAAACGAAGAACTCGAAGGAGGAAGCTGCAGATGAGGAATACATTGACTACAGTCTGAACTGCTTCAAAGCAATGGCATCGAAGAAGATAGGAGAATTAAATAAGATGTTGCTAAGTTGCGCTGGAGATGAAGTGAACATGATTCAGAACATGATGGACTGTTACATATGTACCGAAGAAGGGCAACATTATGAGCATTGCTTTATAGAACCCAATTTTGGGAACCTCTTAGATGCAGGGAAAGACGGGTTCAGAGAATACACACCAGAATTAAGGAACCCAAAGCAGAAGCACTTACTGTTGAGCCACCTAAATGAGAAGTACATCACCAAGTCGGATGAAAAGATGCATCTAATAGACATTTTAAAAAACATGATCACTAGCATGGAAAATGTACACAACAGAAAATGGAATATTTTCTTTACCTCCTCCGATTATTACTTTAAATCGTATATCTCCGACGAAGATCATCTGTGTTTGCAAAATGATTCCGTCGATTTAGACAAAAATGTTATGTTTAACGAAGAGTGCAATTATTACAAAAACAAGAAGGACAAAGTGCATAGGCATAGATATAGTCCCATTGTGGAGTATTTAACTCTCCCGACGCAGAAGGATATCCACGAAATATGTCTTTCCAACAATGCAGATAAAAAGTATATAAAAGATAATTACACGATTCTTTGTTTCCGATCGAGGAAGGGTTCTAAATTGGATTTCATGAATGCCAAGGCGTTCTATACATCTATAGAATACAAAAAAGTGAAGACGAAAAACATAACTCATGTGCACACTGACTTCTCCTACATGGATGACAAGATGAAGTTCAATTTCAAGCAACACGTAATTAATGAATTTATTAACAATCCCAATATCAGCATGGAGGAGTTAGGAAGCAGCTTACTCAATTTGGCAACCTACTTTTACTACGAAAACAGGGGCTCCTGGTGTGTCTTCGTGTCGAAGAAGCGCGACCTCACGGGAGTCATCAACATCGTTAAGAATAGGTACATACGCATGACGGCGAAGAATAAGAGGAAGAAGTATCACATCGTGCTCTTCGAGACGCCCGTCTGATGGGGCATGGAAGAGGCGGCAAATAGGCGGAAAGAGGTGGAACGAAGGGCCCCGAACTGGGACGTTTTGACCGATCTTTTGAGAGAGCTTTTTAGGCACCTTTTAAGCACCTTTTTAAGCCCTTTTTTAAGGACTTTTTTTTAAGCACATTTTAAGTACCTTTTTAAGCCCGTTTTTTAAGTTCGTTTTCTTAAGCATCTTTTTAAGCCCGTTTTTTTAAGCCCGTTTTTTTAAGCGATTCTTTGTGCCCCTTCATGTGTACCTTCAAACCTGAGCCTTAAGGGCAGTCCGCGGGGTCGCCCGGCGACGAATCCCGTTCGACAACGACCAAACCGTGAGCAGTTTGAGAAGCGCGAGGGCCGTACAATGACACTTGAAAAAAAAAGTTAAACCAAAAATTTGTGGGAGAAGAGGGGAAATGCAAAAAAGGGTATTAGCAACCTGTTCGGCAAAATATACAAACGCAATGCGGATGGAGAGGTCACACACCTTCCTGGCGACGTTAAGCAGGGATGACGCGGCCGCGCTCCCACAGCTGCGCTCCCACAGCTGCGTCGCCCAGCTAATCGCGGATGGCACCATTGGGGGTCTTCTTATTGGTGTAGTCAAAGACAGTGCCGTCGTCCGACACGAGGCACTCGCCCGTCATCCTGGCCCGCATTTCGATGGCGAGCTTTTTGCTCAAGCTGCTTCCATAGGTGTTGATGCCGAAGTTCTTGGTGCGCTTACACCCGCTGGGGCTTCTCCACTCGGCCCTCCACGCCTGAACAATGCCGTTGATTCTGATCATGTAAACCCCCGCAGGGGTGGAGGAGTTGGACTTGTCCATTCTTTCCAACTTGCTGTACATGCTCATATCGTCGATCTCCTTTTTGATGTTTCTCGTGAAGGGATTTTTCGCTCCCTGTTTGTTGCCATTGTAATAATCCGGGGTGGAAGAAAACTCCTTTCCGTTCGGATCGAAGGGGGCATCAACAGGAGTAAGCTCTTCGCCTGTTAATCCTTTACTGAGCCTCTCACTTTGTGCCGCGTAGAGGTGCATCATCTCGTTTGTTTTGTTGGTCGTCGCCCCCGTGTAGAAGTTGCTGTCCCCGTTTTGGTCCTCTGCTCCGGGAACACACACGTCGTTTGGGCCAATAAAAAGGTTGCTGTTATTGTTGTTGTTGCTGCCGTTGCTGCTGCCGTTGCTGCTGCCGTTGCTGCTGCCGTTGCTGGTTCCGAATGGGGGAGTGGCACTTCCTCCCACGTTGGTTCCGAGGAGGGCACTGTCCATACCATTTCCGTCGTGTAATCCGTTCGGGTCAGCACCTTCGTTATCATTTGGATTGGTTGCTCCTGCGATAGCGATGTTACTTAAGGGCGCGATGATGCTCATCTGTAAATCGTTCTGAAGAGCTTCGCCGTCGAAGTTGGTTGCCCCTACTCTGCCATTGAGCACAGAATCGGCCATGTTATTATTTACCATGTCAGTGGTGCTATTGCTTCCGACGGGGCTACTCACAAGTTTGGTGTTTTCCTTTTCCGTGTTGTTAGTCGTGTAGGGTGGAGTGCTACTCCCATTCGGGCTGACAAGGTTCATTCGGATGCCCTCACTTGGGGGCGTCAGTGACATGACGTTTTGGTGCACTCCGTCTGTTCTGGGGTCCCCCTGGAGGAGGTCGCCTCTGCAGGGAAGAGGAGCCCCCCCCCTGTAAAGATCTTCCCCATAGAGATTGTTTTCCTTACAATTGGAGTAGTCCTTCCCATTGACGTAGCCATTTTGCACGTAATGCAGGTGGTCGTTGCTGGTCGTGGGGGGCGCAGACAAAGGAGGCGCGCCTACTCCGACCGTTTTTCCGTTTCCCCCGTTATTAATGTGTACCTTCTTCACATCAAGAGTGTCCATCTCGTGATTGGGGCCACTTTTGCTATTGTGCCCTACGCCACTCCTGCCCCCCTGGTTTAGGCCATTCATCCCGGTTGCTGCGATCAGCGCCGCATTGATCGCCGCTGCGCCCTTCCCCGTGTGCGTAGGGCTCCCTTTCCCCCCATGGCTGCCACAGCCCTGTCTGCTATTGTTACTTCTGCTGTTATTGTTATTGCTAGCCTCGTGGAAGGTCTCCCCTATGTCGTAGCCATCCAGTCCATTTACATCGTCGAATGATTCCGTTTTCATCATGGTACAAGCATAGTGTGCATCTTTTTTTCCCACATTGTGGTTCTTCTTATAAACATTTTCGAACTTCTTCCTCGCGGCAATGGCTAAATTTCGTGCTCTCTCTTCACCAAATTTGTTAATCGAAAAATATCTTTTTTCCTGCTTCCCATTCGAGTACCAGTTGGCACAGAAAGCTTTTTTGGAGTCCTGATAGAACACCCCCTGGGGTAGAAGAACCGAGTGATCAATTTGATTCGTTTCACTGGATTTTTTATTATTCGATTTTGCGTACGTGATGACATTGTCTCCTGCTTTCCCTGTTGGGTACTTTGCACACGTATTTCTATTTTTGTCTTCTGTTGCACTGAGATGGTTTTCTCTGTTTGCTCGATCCTTCCTGCTTGTCCCCATCTGATTGCAGTAATCGTAGTTCATGTCTTCATCGTCGTCATGCTCAGGATCATTCTCGTGAGGGTTCCGCGCGGTGTTCCCATTGCTGTTAATCCTTCGCCTGCCTCCTCTGCTGACACAGGTACCGTACTGCTCATTTTCGTTTTTCTTTTTTGGCACACCTTCATCCTCCGCTGCGTGCTCTGTGCTGGGCTTCCCATCCGGGTAACCACCCTTTACGTAACAATCGTTGTACTGCCGGAGGGCGCTGGCCTGGGACAGGTGTTGTCTCCCCTTGCCTTTGCCTCCATCCAGGTCGTTCATTCCGTTGACACTGCTCAGGCCACTCACGGGATAGTCTCCCCTGGCTCCAGCCTCATACCTACCACTAACAGCGGTACACGCCCGGTGATACTCATTCCAGTCGCTGAACAGGTCAATCTCGATCCCCTTGTAGTCGGTCGCGTACTTCCCCGCATAACCATCGTAGGCACCTCCATTCTTGCACGCTCCACCTCGGACGTCACCTTTGGCGTTTCCAATGTTCCGCTTCTTATTATCATAGGCGGGATGGTACCCCTCATAATCCACCTGGTGATGCTGAAAAGGATACTTTCCCCTTTCCCCGGCTTCGTAGCCGTTTGTGGATTCTCCCACATCGCTGTTCTTGATGGCATCTGCGTAGGGGACGCCATTTTTGTTGCTTCCCTCCCCTGGGTTGTTATTGGTCCTTAATTTTCTCTGGTTCTCTGATGGAAGGCCGTCCTCGTCCTCGTCGCCGGTTGCAGCGGCGGCCAGTCCCGCCACTCCTCCTTTGCCACTCATGGGATCGTTCTCATCTCCCATTTTATGTTCCCTTCCTCTGTTTGTATTCCCTGTGTACATGGTGGACCCTCCTCGTCGTCCATCTCGTCTATTCTTAGGAGCGCTATTCGAGTCCACTGCGTTGTCTTCATTGGTGCTCGGCAGGTACGCGCCTCCACCTCTTCTCGACATGATTCGCCTGTTCGTCCCGTCTACGTAGCTGCCGCTTTCGAAATGGGGAGCACTCGCACCATGGTTGCCGTTGGCATTGTCTTCATTCGTTCCGTTGTCATTCAGATTCGCCGCGTTTTCTTCCTTCCCCCCCGCGCGTGCGTACTGTCCGGAGCCATCCGCATTGACCGCCTCCGTCCCATCGTTCGCTCCGCTGGAAGTGACATCATTGGACGCATCGCAATTGGTTGAAGCTGCTGCAGTCGCCGCTGTCGTCGTCGTCGCCGCCGCCGCCGCAGCAGAGGAGCCCTTTTTGCCGGCGCCCTTTATATGCTTGGTCCTATTTTCGAAGGCGAATCTGGCCTTGGTGGCTAAATTACGAGCTTCGTCCCAGCCGTAGTATTTAATTTTGAATCTCCTTTTGATTTGCTTCCCTTCCTCGTACCAGCTACCTATCCATGCCTTTTGCGATCGGTCGAAGTAGACTCCTCTCTGGGGCTTCAGCTCCGATGCTGACATTTTATATTCGTAGTTTTCGTTCGGATCGACAACTGCGTTGTTCCTCCCTTTCGTGTTCATTCTCCTGGATCCGATTCCTCCTCTTCCAGTGGCATTGTTTCCTCTACCAGCCGGGTTTGTTGTTGCCGTTGCCGTCGTCGCCGTGCTCGTCGTCCTTGTCGTCTCCATGTGCAATTTTGTCTTGTCTTTGCTGTGATTTCTTCCATTTCCTATGTAGCAAGAGCCATTGAGTTTACCACTCCTATGATCAGCATCCATGGGGGGTACTGCCTTGCCATTCGTAGCGCCATGCACACCATTCATCCCTGTTTCTCCCGCACCACCAGTGGAAGATTCCCTCCTTCCATAATATCTACTCTCCATCTGGTAGTTCTTCATATAATTTTGATTCAGGACTTTGTTTCTCCTTCCCCTTCCATATTCCACCGTGTAGTTGTTTAGATAGAAGTTAACATTCTTTCTTCGATCGTCTTTCATTCCTAGTTTCGTCGAATCGACACTACTAACATTTTCGTCGTCTTCATGGTTGGCTCCACTTCCAGCGACGCTACATCCGACGCTGTTTCCGCCTTTTATATCTTTGTGCCTTCCCGATCTGAGCAGATTTCCACTGGCCCCTGCGGTGGATCTGCCACTGAAATAGCCATTCTTCATGTGTATCTTTTTCTTCCCATGTATGTCATGGTCCCGACCGTCTAAGGCAATGTCATCACGTCGTCCATCAGCGTCGTCATCGTCCGCTTCGTCATCCACCGCATCGACATCCGCCGCATCGTCATGCACCCGATCCAAATCCACCGCGTCCACATCGTGCGGATCTTCCATCCCCCCACCATGGAGATAGAACTTTTTTAATAAGTTATATTCTGTCGGATCTGCAGATAATTTCATCAGATATGTATTGATCTCCTGATCGGTCATATTTTCTCCATTTTTTATTCTTCTTAGGAGTGCCCTTTTTTTCTGGATATGGTCACTCATTTCTTCTCGTCTTTTCCTGGTTAGGTAACGATGCAAGTTGATGTCATCTGTTGTGTTCCTTCCGCTGAAGAGGTCAAGAGAGTTTCCCATATGTTTATTACACTGCTTAATCTTTCCGTGATCAAAGGAGGTCATTACATCTTTGTACAAGTGTGGGAAGCTTTTATTGTGGCTGCTCCCTTTGGTGGCACTTGCTCCTCCGAGGCGGTGGTATCTGTGCCTACCAGTGCTGTGACGACCTAGTCCATGGCGGGCACTAGCCCCACTGCCACCCCTTCTGCTGCCTCCACTGTCATCCCTACTGTTGCTGTGTTCTCTTCCGAGAAGGAATTTCCCCAATTCGTCCACGTGACTGACATTATCGCTGCAATTCTCGTTCGGATTGGAGTAGGTAAAGTTCGTGAGGTAGTCACAGAGGTTGCTACTTCTTCTCGAGTCGGTGCATCTATTCACATGATTATTGCAATTGAAACGTATATTGCCACTTCCGCCACTGCTCTGTGCACCGTTATGGTTAGACCCCTCAGTGGGATAGAAGCCCGATTTGTAAATAATCGAATTGTACAAGGACGACAGGTAGTCCTTCATTCTACCACCACCCATTCTGTTTGTCCTGTGATTGCCATCGTGAAATAACATGGTCGGTTCATTCCTGTGGTTCTCTTCGTCATTTAAGAAGAGGTTCTTGTAACTCCTGTGGGTATGCGGATACATTCCTTCCTCGGCTGTCCCTCCGGGGAAGTGACTTCCCGGCGCTCCGCAGGTGGTATTCGCTACTGCGAAGCCGCCATTCCCATCCCCCTTATCAAAGCAGGGAAACAATCCACTGTCTTCCCTCGTGTAAGACGTAAACTGCATATTGTCCCTCCTGGAATGTAAGAGCTGATTGTTCAGTGAATACAACTCTTGTTCATACAGCTTGCAGCTATCGCTCAGCAGTTTGCAGCCATCGCTTAGGACTCTGTTCCCACTGCAACCGTTCCCACTGGCGCCTTCCTGTCCGCACCCGTTTTCCGCTCCTACGTGATCACAAGAGGAGAAGGGGTGGCCAACTCTCCCTTTGCAAAAGAGGTAGTCATGCTTGGTGAAATATTTTCTCAATCCGTTTTGCATCTCAGTGCAGATCTTATCATCAGCAGGATTGCCGTTCTTCTCTTTCTCTAGGAGCTCATACAGATGGTATAGCTTCCATAGGTTATTACTCCTCTTGCTGATCTGATGCGTGCATGTTGAGGCGGTGGCGGTGGAGGGCATTAATCCGCTTCGGCAGTTCTGGCAGTTCGGGCAGTTTTGGCAGTTCTGGCAGATACCTCCGTTGCTGCTATTTGTGCAGGCCGGGTCAATCAGACTGTCATAGGAAAGCTTCCCATCCGGGCATTTATTATTGTTCATTTTTAGAAGGTTTTCCTCTCCATGCACTTGTTCCTCTGTCATGTCCCCTTCCTTACCTACCTGTCCGTCATTCTTATTGATCAGTTCTTGGGTCGGATGGCTAGACAGATGGTTTGGCATGTCGATAAGGTTGCCTTTGCCCCCACCGACTACTTTCTTCACACAACAGGGACAGTTGGACGGATTATTCACCCCACCATGTGTTTTATCACGATGGTGCTCCCCTCCATACATCTCATTACACATCACATTGTTGTTTTCTCCCAAGGGATGTCTAGACACCGCTGAACCATTCGTCTCTTCCAGCATCTTCGAGTCAAGAAGAAATTTTTCATAAGGCAAACCTTCTAAATTCATTTCTCCAGATTTAATCAAATTGAGAAGAATCTTTCCTAACTCACCTCCATATGGATTGGTTCCCTTGTTGTTGTTTTCACATCCACTGGGTTCACTAATGAGACTGCTCTTAACATTTTTCTCATTTAAGTTGCTGGCCAGTTTGATCTTCTCCGCGCAGGGGTGGCTGTCAGGAGTACATGCTGCCATCCCTCCGCCGAACAGACCATTAATGTGGCTTACGTGCTGGTTCAGCATACCCACGAGGGAACACTTGGGATGATTCGCATGCATGAAAACGTTTGCTTTATACTGCGGATCGTTTTGCAACTGATTTGCATCGTTCCACCCTGCGGATGGGTGCACCAGACAGGTTCTGTTTCCACTGTTGGCAATGGCATTGGTTGGCTCTTCTCCATGAAAGGAACTGCACCGATGTAATGCACCCTGTGCTCTGAGAATGTTTACCCAGAGATTGTTACTTCCGGCTGCACACATGTTGGGGACACTCCCGCAGGGGAATGCCCCATAATGGAGCGCTTTGCCGGCATCCACCGTTTTGTTGTCGTCCAGTGCGTCCTTATTGTCCGCCGTTTTGCAGCAGTCGCTTTGTTGTGGCCCATCGCCGGCGAAGCTACCGCTCGGGAAGGTGTCACCGGACGGGATATGGTTGCACGCGCTCACTGCGCTGAGCAGAAGGTCGCCCCCTGCTCCTCCATTATCGCACAGACGCGATTGTGCACTCACATTGGATTTACCGATAGAAGGTTTTTCAGAAACACCAGCGACCTTAACGGATAAGTACCATTTTAACAGATTAAAAAAATTCTCCTTGTTTAGAATGTTTCCATTGGGATTGCTTTTTCCGACGTGACTCGAATCGCAATCTATGCTATGATGATCTTTCTGTTGGCTAAAATTGTATCTGGTTTGTTTCTTCTCTTCTGTTTGGAGGGAGGCTGCACTATCATCGAAGGGGGGTTGTTCCCCATTCGCCCCGTTTGCTCTGTCCGATTGACTATTTTGCACTTTTTTACTTACCCCACGGATGTCATTTTCTGCAGCAGTATAGCTTGGCTCATCCCCATTTCTGCTGCCTCCGTGATTGTCATCTTTCGGTGCTTCCCCCCCCAAGACATCATTGTCATTCGAGCTGAGTTCCACGCTCTGGTTAATGTGTGCGCCGTGCTGAATTAGAACCTCCCGAATGAAATGCATCAGTTGAGTTTTGCATAGGCTGTCTCCACTGCCGCAGGGGTCCACTGCTTGACCTTCCCCGTGGGCGCAGTGCGAGATGAGATCATCCCGACTACCCCCAATGCAGTTATGAAGATTGTTATGGAGATTGTTGTGCACACTGCTTCGCACTTCAAAGGGGGCAGAGTGGGCAGAGTGGGCAGAGTGAGCAGCGTGGACAGCGTGTCCCGCGCCCCCGGGCCAGACTGCCCCTACCTCCTTCGCCTCCCCATGGGGAGCAAAACCTAATTTTCGCATCATCTCCTCAGCGACAATTCTTTTCTGACCCCCCTTCTCCATCATACCCAGTAGATACTGTAGCGCTTTGTCTTCTTCACCTGAAAGGATGGCCTCATTAGCATACATGCCACCAATCCTGGCATTATTACTGCTTGTCTCGTCCAAAACACCCCCCTTTGGTGAACAAACGAAGCAGTCGATCTTCTCATTCGTATGAAGGAACTCTCCACGAAGGAGCATGCTTGTATTCTTATGCATAATCTTCCCCTTGTCCACCTCGATCAGCTTAAAATTGTCCAGTCTCAATAGGATGTTGCTAATGGTGTATGCACTCAAGGAAGACAACACTCCTAGGTTCTTCAAAATCGGAGTAAAGATAACTGCATAATTGAAAATATCGTTGCAGAAGAGTATGCTCATAACTTCGTTCAAATAATGCGTCATCATTTTTTTTTTCTTCTTCTTCTTCTTATTTATATTCAGGTGCATTATGGAGTTCTTCATGGGGGTGCTCAGAGAAACCAGTCGGTTCTTCACCTTGCGATTTTGCTTTTCTGGTTCCGTCACATGGGAGTGGTATTCATGCTGATTTTCCCCAGGGTTAGCCTCGTGAATGGTATCAGCTTCGACGGCGGCGACTGTTGCGATTGCTTCCACTTGTGGCACTCCCCCTGCCGGATCATTCGCCTTTCTTAGAGGCAAAGACAAGCGATTTGAAAAATGGCTAGCTCGATAAACCGAATCGACCCCCTCAGAATCGAATTCCGCCGAATCGAACTTGTCAGATGCACTTGTCTTCCTCTCATTGGATTTTAATTTGTCCATCGCGGATACACTCAGGTACTGCTCGTTAAAGAGGGCCGATTCATCATACACAGTGGGGTGGACGTTCAGCGGTTTGTTAGTCTCTTCACTGGGGTCCCCCACTACAGCGGGAATTATGCCTGACTGTAAATCGAATCCCTCGCCACGGCTGATGATACCATTATGTTGGTTTTTTGCACTCCAACGCTCGTCGGAAGGATGTGTTGCCTCCTCCTCCTGCCCCGCTTTCACAATGACACTTTCGTCCTCCCCATTTGGGGTCTCCTTCCCAGTGAATGCTTCCTCCTTTTTTGTAGACTGTTGCAGGTGGGATAGTGCCTTTTGATTCTTCGGATCCAGGTCGTTTTTTTCCGTACCGTGGCTACCTCTAATCTGTAATGGGTCATCTAGGTGTGTCCCATCGGCGGGAGCTTCCTCCACAGGAATGTAATAATCCCCATTGGGGGTCTTGGTGTCACGCTCTCCGAAGGTTTCAACTCCTTCTTTCGGTTGTGCCCCTTCTCCATGAAGTTCCTGCTCCTCGTCCACTTCGCCCTCTTCGCTGTAAATCTTCAATCCAGACTTACCATCGTACTTGTCCGGCTTGGCATTCTCGTTAATGACCGTTTCAATGCTGGTTCGCATGTCACTGGGTGCGTAGTAAATTTTGTCTTCGACATCGATCATGCCTTCTCTGCAGAGCAGTCCGTCTGTGTCCTTGGAAGCCATAACGTTAGGGTCGTACTGACCTTGATGAGGCCTATACTCGGAATGGTTCATCCTCAGTTCGCCCATTACAAAAGAATGTTCATTGGTGTTTGCGTCGTTATTTGCCTCCTCATTTACGTCTCTATTTGGCTCGTTATTTGTACAATTCTCGTCGGTGGAGATCGTGTCTGTCTTTATCTGCTTATGGGTGTATACATCTGCCTCTTTTTCCTCCCCGAGGCTGTGTTTTCTCTTTAGGGACCTACCGAGGCAGTGGATCCCATCTGCGTGATGCATGGGTTGGTTGAACGCAGAGTGATTTACCCCCTGGTAGAAGTTTCCCCCGCTAGAGGGGTCATTTTCTCCATTCATCACTATGGCGGTTATCGCATTCGGAGGCAGTGTATTTAAAATGGGCATCATTTTGGCATTCCCACTTGGGATGGAGACCTTACTGTGTAGATTGCTCCCCTGCAAGGAGCTTCCATCGAGACCCCTCCTCCCCAGTGTGCATCTAACCCGTCCATCGGTCAACTTCTTCTTCATGTTGGTGAGTACCCTGGCGTAATGGACAATCGAATTGACGTCAACATAGGAGCTGTTAATTGCCATAATTTTCCTGAAGTGGTAGAAGTAGGCATCCCCATTGTTGCTGGAGACCCACTGAGGGTTATAGTCCCTCAGATAATCCAACACCTGAATGAAGCAATTTTTAATGTTACATAAGAGCTGTTCTACGTATTTATTCGCATCCGTGTAGATAAATCCAGAAATAATCTCATTGATGATTCTCTTTTTGAGTCTCTTCCGACGCACTGCATATGCACTTTTGGTGGTGCTTCCGATGGGGTCCCCAATGGGGTTACCAATGGTATAGGCATTCGTGATATAGAGTAGAAATAACGGGACGGTTATTTTGATCCTTCCCTGCTGGGTTACTTTGTCCTTCGCGGAGTATCTACCGAAGGGGTAGTCTATATGGACAGGATACGCGTGCATGTGGCTGCTGTGGGGGGTGCCCAAAGGCGTTGTCATAGGGGAAGCCACACCGGTAGCCACCGTGGAAGTGATTGCAGCGGGATGTTTGGTGCTTCCCTGGGCTAACCCAGGAGGGGGTCCACCATTGAGCTGCTTCCCCTCCTCGAAGATCATCTTGCTGCTGTAATTCTTCAAGTAGTGATGGATCTTCATTGCGATATTTTTAAACGCATGGTCTGGGTTCTGCTCCCCATCGTCGGATCGGTTTTTCATCTCGACAGATAAATCATTAGTGTGCTCATCTGGGACAACGTTCCTACCTTCCGAGTGACTAGCCAAGTCGTAGTTGCAGTTATCCATGCTGTCTTCCACTCCTTTGTTGAACCCCTCATTTGGGGATTCTTCATTGCTATGATTGGCATAACGTTTCAATTCGTCACAGGAGGCGGAACTATCCTTGTGGATGTCGCCATTGAGGAGGTCCTCGGGGTCCTGCACTCCTCCCTGCAGATAGGCCTGCACATGCGGAAGGGTACTTCCATCCGTGTGTGCATCCGTCATTGCATTCGTGACGGCATTCGTGACGGCATTCGTGACGGAATCCGTGTGTGCATTCCCCTGTGTTACCCCTTGCGTGTCCTTCACCTCGTGGTCAATGACAGGTTCACCGTAAAGACCAGCCTGTAGCGTAGCTTCCCTTGGAAGATAACCCCCCTTGAAATAGCCCTTCACATCAAATGCTTTCTCATCCAAGTTGCTGAGTTGGTGCTGCTGCTGTTCCCGCTGCTCCTCATTCTGGATGCTCCCTGGCCTGTTCAGCCTCTGCTCTAGGTAATGCTTAATGAACCTGTAGTCGTAACCGTTATGGACCTCGGAGTGGCCAGCCATCTCGTTTTGTTCACTGCAGTTGGGGAAAATTCCATTTCTGTAGAAGGAATTTTTTCCATTATTACATAGACAATTGGAGTCACCACAAAGGTGATTCTCCCCTGCATTTTGTGGTGCATAATTGGGACTATCGTGGTAAAAAGAGGGGTTACATTTTTTCCAATCTTCTGCTGTTACGTCCTTCCCATTCATTCCTGTCTTGTTGTGAGTAAGGTTAAAATGGTCTCTGTGTGTAGAAATTGCCCCGTTGATTTGGTTCGCCTCGTTCACTTGTGAGGGGTTCCTTTCCATTCCGATCTGATCAGTCGGAGAAGGTTCACTAGGAGGGGCTACTTTACTCGCTTCGCTGAAGCCTCTGTTCGTGGTGATTCCCCCTCCAGTGTCATTCACAATGGGTGTATTTAAAAAATCCATCACGGGGCTGTTTCGTATCATGCCGGTAAAGCTCATATCTTTAGCTTCTCCGGTCCCCTCCTCCATGGGTGCATCTACCACCCGCTTGCTGATTCCCTTGTCGGGGTTTCGATCCAAGTAAAGGTTACACAGATCATTTACATTCATTAATTTATTTTCATCGATGGTGGAATTCGATGCGAAGGAGTCCAGATTTTTGCTTTGCAACATCGAGGGTAGAACATTCAGCTCATCCATGTAGTTCTTGTAGATGTCTTCTTTGCTGGCCTTCCCTCCTTCCGTTTTGGACTGCTTCTCCATGGCGTCACTTCGTCTTTTTTGTTGTATTTTTCTTGGGGGGAGAAAAGGCGAACTTCTCTTCTTTGGCAGTGGTTCAGTGGTTACCTTGGATGGGCTTCTATATCGTTCTACCGGCTTCTGTCTATTTCTATCCGCACCTCTGCCTTAGACCCGCAGACGATAGTACAAATAAAACAAAAATTAAAAATGCTCGAAAAAGATGGTTAGTCGCAGGCGAAGGGGCGGAGAGACTCTCACATTATTCATCACATCTGAGCAGATGCAAGCTAAGTGGAGTCATCTTCGAAGTGGGATCACGTTAAAGCGTCTGCCCATCTGGGCGAGGAAGCAAAACTTGACTGTGATTGCTCAGGGGTGCGATGGCTTCCTTTTCAAAGCCACAAAAAAAAAGAAAAAAATGCCCCTCACCAGCTCCTGCAACACACAGCACAAATCTGGGGCGACTCGCGGCACGTGTGTGTGCGCACGCGCAGATGCAAGGTGCTCTCCTCGTGTATGTCCGTTTAAAAAAAATCACTTGGCTGCTGTAGTCACCCTGGTGTGCTGCTCAAAATGGATAATTTTACCACATATGCTGCGAGATCTGCGTTATTTAAAATTTTTCCCTTTCTTCCAATGCGCTTGATAAAGGGTGTGCTCTACAGCTGTGTGGTCAACGGACCTAGCTCGTGCAAATAAATGCGCGTGCACACTGCTGTTATATGCACGTGCGGGAAAGAAATTAAAGCGTCACACAATGAAGAAGGGGAGGGGCAAAAAAAAACGGGGAAGGCAAACGATGATTCGTGAGCTCACATGTGGAGGTTACGTTGCGAAGGCGTATCGGATTGAATGATCACCAGGTGCTCCGCTTCAAAATTGAAAAGTAGCCTACGAAGGGGAGGCAGTCACGGTGGCAGTTGCAGTTGCGTTGCAGTCTCTGTCGCAATCGCGACCGAACTCGTGTCGCTTCTGCTCGTAAACAAATAACATTAAAAAAAAAAAAAGGCATACTCGCGTGAGGGTCCCTACATGCACATAGCCAAGTAATTATAACATTTTTGCATTCACTTGGAGGTAGCTGCAAAGCCTTTTTTTTTTTTCTTCGTCCTCACACAAACCTGCGTGGTCGTCGACTACCTCAAAGGCTGTCGCTGCGAAATTGTGCAAATGGGAAGAGGAAACCTCGCAGAGATACGTCTCCCTCTGTCGTGCAGGTGTGAATAGCGACAGGGTTACACTCGCTGGTACTTATGTGGAAAAATTGGGGAAGATACACGCCTCCTTTGTCTTTCCACAATTTCGGTCAAATTACTCGCCTCGGTGTGTATGTGGGAGAATTCGAGGGTGTGCATCACGTGTGTATATACATGCGCTGTCCATTCCCATGTATGCACACAGGGGAAAAAAAACTCGCATATGCATACACCACGGGGGTGAACAAGTCGTTGGAGTGGTGTGGCACGGCAACTGTGTGTATGAAGTATCTGCGCCTTGGTTAAGAGATCGTGAGATCTGTTCGTGCGCAGGTGGACCCGCCTGTGCCTCGAAAAAGGACAAAAAAAAAAGGGGAGGAAATTAATATGCAAAAATGCAAAATTGCAAAAAAAAAAAAAAGATGCAAACGCTTTCACCAATTGGCGCAGCAATTAAAGACCACTTAAAAAACTCACTATAGTGTGGGATTAAAAAAACAAAGAAAAAAGAAATACATACAATACTACGGCAAAGCACAACAAAGTCAACACACCACAGCAAAACGCTGAAGTGTGGAGGCTCGCCGTGTGCACCTGCGTACGCGCGCCACTCCGTACTGACAGGCACAATACACGTGCATACACGCACGCGAACCTCTGCACACGTGTTGCGAGCACTCCGGTATATGTAGCTGTGAGGGCCCTCCTACCTCTTAAGAGGGGGAGAAAATACGCCGTTAAAAATGGCACAGAGAAAAAACAAAATAAATAAATATAATAATATAGTTATAATAAAATACGACTCACACATGTGCAGGTAAGTCAGCCAAAATAACACATCACGATGGCGCTACAGTGACAATGAAAACGACACAACATAATTATGCATTTACATAGGGTTGTGTTTAAACACGCACGTGCGCGATCTGATGGAAGGCAACTCAGTCATTGTTTGCTCTCCCTGTGATTACATCACTTTAGTAGAAGTCACAGGAAAAAAAAAAAAAAAAAGAAAAGAAAAGAAAAAAAAAGCAGAAGGATGAACCAAATGAAGCAACGTGAAAAAAAAGAATAAAAAAAAAAAAAACAGGAGCGTCAGGGTAGCAACGATGGATACACATGGACACTCTGGATACTCACCGCTTCCCCTTTTTTTTACTTCAAAAAAAAGAAAAAAAAAAAGCTATTCCTTGGTGTGTAGGCACGCGGGAATAACGAATGTGAAAAAAAAAGGGGAGGAAGAATACAGCCCACATGTGCTGCTCACCCGCGGGCGAATGGTGCAAAAAACAACACGGTGTCATGAGGCGCAAAGGCGTATGCAAGAATAGACCTGTAAACAGGCGTGTGCACCAAGGGGGGTATTGCTTCCGAACTGTTCACACGCACGAGGAGGCAACTCTCGCCCGAGGAGGTGGCACTTCGGAGAGTTTCCCTTTTGGCCCCAATGGGCGACAAATTTGACGTACGTGTGACGCACGTTTAAACAGGGCCTCCGCGCGTGGCTGAAGGGGCGCGCGGAAACGAGCCCAATGCACTTGGACACTAGCACCAGGACGCACGCGCGCTTCGCGAGGGGCACGCGGATCGGAAAAAGCTTCAAAAAGGCAAAATTCGAATGGGAGAAAATTGAAAATGGAAAATTGAAAATGGAAAATTGAAAATGGAAAATTGAGAGTGGAAAATTGAGAATGGAAAATTGAGAGTGGAAAATTGAGAGTGGAAAATTGAGAGTGGAAAATTAAAAATGGAAAATTAAAAATGGAGATTTAAGAAGGCGATTTAAGGAGGCCTTTTAAAATGCCGCTTGAAGGCAGCTTAAAATTTAAAGTGGAAAACTCACAATGGAGAATTCGAAAAGAAGCCAAAATGAAAAGCAGAGGGAGAGAGAAAAAAAAAATGAATGCATAAGGCGAAAGGACTAACTCACCATTAAAAAAAACTGAAACTTGGCAACTAAAAATTGGCGATTAAAAACAAAAAATTAACTGTCAACAAAAACAGGAAAAAAAAGAACGAAAAAAAACAGAGAGCAGAAAAACAGAAAGCCAAAAAAAAATGAAAAGAAAAATGCGAAAAAACAGGGAAAAAGAACAGGGCAAAAAAATAGGCCAAAAAAACGATGCAAACTTGTGCGTCAAGTCGTGTCCGGAAGCGTACACACCCTAGTTACGCACAGGCGCGCAGAGACGAAAGCGTCCCTCCGTCCCTTCTCCTTTACAGCCCGGCGCGTATGCACGACCAGTCATAGCGGGGGGTGTATGCGCACCACCGGGGCGTGTTAGTTCCCGAATGTAAAAATGGATCACAAGGGAAAATCGCGCAGTGCACAGAATGGTCTGAACACTTGTGCATAAGGAGGGCATAAAGAGAAGCATACGGCAGGAAGGATGCATACAACAGGAAGGGCAAACGGCATGAAATAAAAAGCAAACCTTAGGAGACGGATTAAAAGGTGACGAAAGAAACCAAATGCGCTAACTAAAAAATGGCCGCAAGCGATGAGACGCCAGCGACAGATAGACCAAAACGCTAAAAAGGAGAAAGAAGCGGCAAAGTGGGCTAAGTGGCAGAATGGAAAAGGCAACAAATTAACAATCAAGAGTGAAAAGTCAAAAGTCAACACTTAACAGCTAATAATTGACGATTAACTGGGTAAGCAAAATATAAGGCAGTCAAAAAAGAAAAAGAAGAAAAAAAAAAATAGCCAGAATCCCGCATACTCTTGAGTGTGCCAACGTCTGTTCTTTTCCTCCAGTCTCATGGAGATAAAATGCGATTATGCTCCCCCGGGGGAGTAGCATTTATGCACAATTTGAAAAGCAAATTCGCGCAGTTGCATACTGTGCACAAGGGGTGGGGCGGGAGAAAGAGGACTATACACACATGTGTGTGTATTTATGTGAACGATCAGACTGGGGTGCGGGCTGAACTTACGCACGTGGATACGGGTATGTAACTGTCTGGAGAAACCACTCGCGCTTATATGAGCAAGCAGGTGGAGGGAGCGAAACGTGAGTAATTTTAATGTAAACAAGAGGACTCTTAGCCAGTTTGTGCTTTACAGACAAAAAGGCAGGGGTGAACATTTTTACAAATAAAAAAGAAAAAAAAGGAATGCAAGACGCACGAAGGTAATTCTTCCGCTTCTTCTCCTTCTTCATCTTCCTTTTGGTGCCTTACTGTTGATCTTTTTTTTTTTTTTTCTTTTTTTTTTTTTCTGAGTCAACACAAATGCAGAACAAGAGTAACAGGAGAATAGCGAAATTGGTTCATGCCCAGGTACAAATGCACGCTTTGATCTAAGAGCACGCTAACGCACCCCCGCATACTCGTGTGCACACAGGCGGTTACGAGGAAGTGCCAACTGTCCCCTAGACAGACACGTGTGCATACAAACAATTAAGGGAAAAAAAAAATGCGCAAAAGGGAAAGTAATTACACCAAAAGCGTAACACACTCAGTGCCTTGCACAGTCGGCATACGGCACTTGGCGCGGAACACTTTCTCGTGTCGAAGTGACAGTCCAGGGGAATCGATTGGGAAAAGGGGACCCGAAGGATGGAGAATTTGTCCAAATGAAGGCAGGTACACGAAATTGTGCTGGGTGCACCCAAATAAAACCGAGGAGCTGTACATCCAAGGGGCAATTTCACTTACGAGGGAAGAAAAAAGAGTCCACCATCGACTTGTGCTGTGGCCCAAACAGTTAAGAAGAGAGCCAGGGGAAAAACATGTTTGACCATTAGGACACTTGGCCAGTTGCCGATTGCTCACGTGCGCGTACGTGCTTTATTTTTTGTCGCACAAGGGGTGTGCCCAGCGCGCACCATTTCGGGTTAGCACACTCTCCGGTGAAACGCGTCACGTTTTAAAAATCGCAGCGATAGGAAATTTCACAAAGGGGGGAAAAAAATATAAAAAGACAAGCAGAAAACACACTTTAGTGCGCATTAACGTTTCATTGTTGCCCTGTTCTGTTCTTTTTTTTGTTTCGCCTTGTTTGATCTGTTTGTTAACTTGTTTAAAGCGATTTTACACTTCCCTACGAAGACGTGGTAACGAGCGTGCATTGGTCCCTCTTGCCGTTTCGACGACTGTTTGTGGACAAAAGGTGGATGCAAAGTAAAGCCACCCTCCCGCATGTTCATCCCACTTTGTGTAGAGAGGGATAGCCGACGACAGTGACTTGGAAGTGGCGAAGTGGCCACTTTGAATGTGCCTTATAAAACCCCTCCGTGGTAGTTTTTTCTCGGCTTCCCTACTTCGCCGCGTTACTATCCCATTTGCTTGTCGCTTGGCAGGAAAGAAAAAAAAAAATTATTATGACATATGGTCATAACTTTTCGCTTCCCTTTTTAAGCAGCTAGCCAACTTTTCGCCTGAACAGGTCAGCAAAAGGGTGCAAAAAAAAAAGAAAAAAAAAAAAAAACACTAGCTAAAAGGCTTCGTCACTTGGCTGGTCAGCACTCGGAGGACACATTAAAAAATAGTATCTCATTTTTTGTTATAAGTGACAAGGCAGGGTTTTAGTCTATTTTATGCTTCCTTACCATGTGGAGACGGAATGACCCCCTCACAAAAAAGTTTACTATAGCTCCCTTCAAGAAAAACAAGCCCGATGGGGGGCATTCCAAAAAAAAAAAAAAGCACAAACTGCACATCCGCAATGGAAGCAGTTTTGCCATTAGACTGCTTTGCCTTGTGGCAGAATTTTTCCTACTTCGATGTTATCCGCGGGAGAAGCCAACTGTGAGTGGGCATTTACTTCTGCTTCAAAGAGGAGGAATTAACGGCTAGTTGTTATCTCCGCAGCAGGGTGGTTTTCACCCGGTTGGCGTGAGAATGCTCGCATAGGGGAACATATGTCCCCCTGGACAGTTAAAAGGGAAGCGTTGTGAAGTTGGCTGGAACTACATGGGAAATACACCGGGTGGTGTACCACCCCTGAGCGCTTCATCATTTTTGCGAAAAGGAAATGGATACGAGTTCGGATGCGCTTCCTTCCTGTGCATAGCTGCTGGTGTTCCCTTCCTTGCGCGGAGCTTTCCGCGATCTTCGTCAAATGGTGAAGGACGCCAAAGTCGCAGTTAACCGCTGCTGGATGGGGATGCATGCGGCTCCTCCGGAAAGGGGCACGCATGCAGCATGTGGAAAAAAGTCAACGCGGTCACATCGCGTTCGGTCGTCAAATGGTCGTCAAATGGTCGTCAAAATGGTCGTCAAAATGGTCGTCAAAATGGTCGTCAAAATGGTCTACAACAATGCTCCGTAAAGTCGTTTGCAATGACGGCGCGGAAAAAGCGGCTCACGAAAAATAGAAGAGGAAGCGGCCTCAGTCAGGCCGCGTCACGAATGCTGCATCGCGAAGCTTGCCTTTTTAATTAAAAAAAAAAGAAAGAAGAAGCAAATGGTAAGCGCGCGGTGCTCTGCATGTGAAGGGGCCCTCCGCTCTGGATGCTGCGCTTGTGGCTAATTTGCGCCAGTCGAGGAGTTGTTGAGCTGCCGAGTGAGCGGGAATCCGGCTGCGCTTTTCTGGCCAGTCGCCTCTCCCCTTATCGGTTGTCCGCCTCGGGGCAGGTGGCACGTGGCAGCCCTCTCGAGCAAGCATCGTGCATCGCCGATACCCCGCTGACGTCTACCCCTATCGCTTCCACTCCGCTGCCTTCCCCCCCCGGCCGCAATGTCGCTGAAGCGGAACTGCCGGGAGCGGCTCTTCAGCGTGATCGAGAAGATCACCCAAGTGAGCAAGTATGTCATCATGGTGGTGGACCCGAGGGCGCACCAAGTGCTCTCCATGATTTGCCGAAGCGAAGAGCTTCTAGAACGTGGCGTGTCCCTCGTGGAACAGATTGACGCGAAGCGGAGCAGGCTGCAAGATTTCGACTGCATCTATTTCCTCAGTTCCAAAATGCAAGTCGTGGAAAGCATGTTGGAAGATTTCAAAGATGAGAAAGATGCAATGTACAATAATGTCCACATTTTATTTACCTCCAATGTGGGGAAGAAAAAGAGAGAAATTTTAGACCTCCTGGCGACTAGCGATCTGCTACTTAAGAGGATGAAGACATGTGCCTGTTTTAACATCCCCTTCTTTGCATTCGAAAGTAGAGTCTTCTACTTAGACCATAAATTAAATCTGTACGATTTTTATCCTATAAAAGATTCAAGCATTTTAGAACACCTTGCGTTGGAGTTACTCTCTGTTTGCTCCTGCCTGAAGAGTAATCCTCTTGTCCGTTATCTGAATTCTCCTCTGTGTAGGAAGTTTTCCGAAATCTTTTACAGCTGTGTGAGTGACTCCAACATTTTGGAAACATCTGATGGGAAAGATGAAGAGGACATGTTGTTGATTTTGGACCGATCGGTCGATTGCTCCATTTTGTTCGTCCACGACTACGCGTACCAGAGTCTCTGTTACGATGTGCTGCGGATCAGGACGGAGAGGGGGAAGCCGAAGCAGTCGGGGAAGGCCAACCAGGCAAAAGGAGGGGTGCGCACCGAAGGGGGGGGCACTGACCAAGGAGATGAAGACCCCCACACAGTTAGCTTCGAAATTACAAACAACGATCAACGGAAGGAAGTAAAAAGAGCCACCCTCTCAGAGGAAGACAACCTTTGGATAAAGTACAGACATACACACATCCAGGACGTAAATGAGATGATCAAAAATGATATTGCTTCCTTTACCGAGAAAAATGCAGTCGCTAAGATTAAGAAAAAAGATGTATTAAATCCAAATGAAGCACTACATGCCCTGCGATCCCTTCCCCAATACGAAACGATGATTCAGCAATACTGGCTCCATGTCTACCTATGTGATAACTGCTTCAAGACATTAGAAAAGAGAAATATCGTACAAGTCGGGATGGTGGAACAGGACCTGTGCTGTAATGTGGACACTTACGGGAAAGAACTCACGCACAGCAAAAATTGCAAAAATGTCCTCTCCATCATCAGCAGTAATGATTACCAGCAAGAGGAGAAAGCCAGACTACTTCTTCTCTATTTTGTTAATTATGAGAATGTAAGCGAGGTGGAGAAAGAAAGACTGATCGAATCGTCCCAGGTTGGTCTCTTCATGGAGAAGTTCATCGAAGACTTCCTCAATTTGAAGTTGCACTCTGGGCAGATGCCCTCTACTCAGATGCCCTCCAGCCCATCCGCCCCCGTGGAGAAGCACACAGCAGAGGAAAACCCCTCCGCGGGGTGCAAAGTTTCCCATATCCTCGAAAGGAACAAAAAAAAGGTTAAGCATTACAAGAATGTCGCAAAGAATGCAAAATATGAGCTCAGTCGATATGAACCAAACATTAGAGACATCATTACGGAGTTACATGAGGATACTCTCCACAGGGGACACTTCCCATTCGTGGATCCTAACCGCGGGTCCTCCTCCACCTCCAACCATGTAAAAGAGCAGAACGCCTCTGCAGGGAAGAAGTCAAATGTGACCAGGGGAACTATGTGGGAGTTCAAATCAGTCGAAAGGAAAGAGACCCAAACGGGGAGTCGAAAAAAAATCATCCTTTTTATCCTTGGCGGGATTACCTTCCCCGAAATTAGGCAGGCTTATGAGCTGTCTGAGCAGCTGGGCGTAGACGTTTATTTGGGCGGCACGTCCCTGCTCACCAGCGAGGTGCTCTTCCAGCAGTTTAGGCGGTTCCCCGGCGGGTAGCACAGCGAGGGAAGGAAGCGGCCTAGCGAAGCGAATAACATGCTGTCTGAAGTGCGCACCCTAACGAAACTGCTAATATGCTATCCCAAGCATGCACCCCCCTCCCCTTTAATCCGTTTTTTTTTTTTTTTTAACCTGATCGAGGCGCGACTCCCATGATGTGCGGAGCGTCCCCTACCGCCTCCGTATCAGCTCACTTCCTCTTTGTTGTCACCTGCTTAGCAGGAACCGACGTTGCGTAGCTGTCCATTTTGGGGTAACTTTAATTTGGGCCACGGGGCCGATCGAGTTAAGCGCGGCGAGGTATCCTGGTGAGTTCTTCCGAGATAATCGCAGCGGCGATCCCCCCCCCTCCGTAGTAACAAATGAGAAGGTGGACGGACGGGGGCCGCCTTAAAGCGAACCGGAGGGGGGTAAAAAAGAGAAACACGCTAATGAGACGATAAGCGTTCCACGAAAAAAAGAAAAGCAAGAAAAACAAGAAAAACAAGAAAAAAAAAAAATAATAAATAAAACATGGGTGAGGAAAAGGCGACGAATTTAATTACTGGAACGGCGCTACCGCCGCGCCCGCTAAAACGCTCCCCTTCCCTGCGCTGACACGCATCCGCCCCTCCTGGATGTTCCTCTCCTTCTTAAAGGCCCTGATCCACTGGCTAAATTTTCTGTTCACGTAGTGGGTCTTCTCGCTTTGCCTTTGTGTGTGGCAAAGGTTTCTCTTCCCATGTTTGCTTCTCTCCATCACGGAGCCCAGGAACTCGTTCCACTCCTTGAGAAGGCCATAGTGGAGTTTCACCCTGGCACGCGGGGGAGGAGTGCCCCCACGGGATGATTCGTTAGCTTCTCCCTTGGTAACCCTACCACGTACATTCATCGTGGCTACCCTATCCTCCGGGAAACACTCAATCGGGATCAGATAAAACGGATCGGAGTTAATATCAAAAACGATGAGAGAACTCCTCACCCGGTGGGCATCCTGACCTGTGTGAATTAGAATGCCTGTCTTCTTACTTCGTGACAGTTCAATTACGAATGGGTAATAGTTTCTTCTCATTCTGATGGCTAGCTCGAGGTTAGACATTCTGTCCATCTCAAAACGGTCGTCTTTAAAAAAGGCTATAAAAAAATTGCTGTAAGAGTCAGGTGGGATCAGTACATTGCTTAACATCCCTCTGTCATAGACTCTGCAGTAGTGCGTATATAGAAGGTCATTTTTGAAGAATAAGTTATTCTTTAAGTGGAAAAAGACACAGTAATAGTCATCCCAGTGTTCATTCCCGATGTAGAGGTAGAAGTATCCCTTCTTCAGAATCTCAATGTCATAGATGTCACTTTCGTGGACCCTTCTGTTTGCGCTAGCTTTCATGTGCTGCGTAATTTTGGCCATGTCCAATGGGGTCAGCTGGCTCCTCCGCGGGGAGCAGCTCGCATTCAGGGGGGAAGCGCTGTTAGGAGTGCAGTCACCGACTGAGTTAGAAGTAGAATCACCGTATGGGTTAGCAGTGGATCTTCCAACCGGGTTCGCAGTGGAGCCGTCAACTCGGTTCACTGCCCCCTTGGCCGAATTATCACCGGCCGTAGGGTCACTCTCTTTTCCAATTGTCCCCATGGAGCTGAAAAATATACAGTTCAGCCTCTCCAGCAGGTTCCCCTTGGGGATACCCCTCCTCTGTGTTTCCTCTGCGAAGAGGTTTTGTATTGACTCCAGGCTCGTGTCGTCAAAACCTCCGACCATTCTACATTCCTCTATATGTGATTGTCGTCCATCTGTCCGTCTCCCCGCGTGATTAGCGGCATGGTTAGGGGCATGATTCGCGGCAGGATTATCCGCATAATTATGGGCAACCCCGTTTGAGGTGGCCCCCACAATGGATAAGGACCCCGTTGATAGACAACCTCTCGACATGTCCCCCCCCTCCACAGGGTAGATCAGTCTACTAATTCTATTCAGCTGATTCGATAAGGTATGAAAAAGGTTTCTATACTTATTATACGTGTGGAGAGCGAGGATGTCATTTTCTTCCTCTAATTCTGTTGTACCAATTGCTGCAGATCCGCCCCAAGAGCCATTCTGAGTGCAATCCACCCTTTTTTCGTTCAATTGGCTATATACATCTCCATCCTGAACACAAATGTCATACAAGAAAATATACTCAGACCCATCGAGCTCTACAGTCTCTTTGTAGGTTTTCTGTATAACCTCCTTTAAGTAGGTAAATGTATTTCCATTCGTCTGGTAATTTTTTCTGATCCCCTGGATGAACACTCGTTTGTTGGTACTATGATGGTCATCACTTGGGTCCTTTGTTTGTTCCAATTGACTGTTCTCTTCAATGGAGTTGCTACGTTCGTCCATATGGTCCGTGCCGCCTGTATCCATGTTGGTGTCCCCATCGTTCTCGGGGCCCGTTTCGCAACTTGGCTCCGTGTGGGTAACCCTTACCTGATGGCTCCCTATCTGAGAAGTCATCACAGGAGTGATACTCTTCTGAGCCATCTCCTCCACTCTCTTCCCCCCGTCTGTACCATTTGCAAGGTACGCAGCGCTGGCGGGGAGGTCTTCACAGAGGCTCATCAATTTTGTTACTCTACACAGGTTCACCGAAGTGGAGGCACTCATCCTGCTGCCCCATTCGCCCGCAACGCTTGTGTTGTTGCTCGCATGTATTACGTAGTTGGAGCTAATTCTTCCCAGCGCACAGCCCAGCGCGGTCTGCCGTGTGTATGAGGAATGAGCAGGGGTGGTAGGGCGCCCCCGCTCCCTCGGCTGGACAGCGGCGGCGACGCGGTTGTTTACGTTCGTTTTGTGCGTGATGTCAGTTTGGGTTCTTTCGCTCGTTTGGGTTGTTTCGCTTGTTTGGCTCGTTCCGCTTGTTTGGCTTCTTTCGCTCGTTTCGCTCGTTCTTTCCGCTTGTCTCGTCCCGTGTGTTTCCTTCGCTTCGCCCGCTTGGCCTGCTTGCCCCGCTTCCCCCGCCGCGCCCAGCCGCGACCCCCCGCTGGAATAGGAACAAATCGTCTCCTGGCTCGAAACGCTCATTTTCCCCCTAATCGAGTTTTCTTCCAGCGAACCAACTCCGCGTCCGTTACATCCATCTGCGAATGGGAAGAAAAAGGGAAGAGATGACGGGGTGGATATAGATAGCCACGCTAACAAGGGAACAAAGAAGTAATCGCATCAGCGTTGGCACTTTCGGGGAGCATTACACCATAGTGTGCATGGCTACATCTTTATAATTGCAACGGAGGAACGACTGCATCGATGGATGTGCTAGCACCACGCCGCAAATGAGGTGATGCTTCAGATCTGTGTGCATCCCCCCTACTGTTCCACTTGGAGTGTATGCCAACAGGGTTAAACGTTAAGAGCGAAAAGGTGTGCAGATTCGAAGGGGGACACCAAACCAATTGCGCAATTATTCAGACACAAACAGTTCATCGTGTTGTTTTTATTCGTGTCTGTTGTAGTATCTTCGCGTGGGGGGGGGGGCGAAGGAAAAAAAAAAAAAAAAAAAAAAAATTGTCCCATTTTGCACTTTGATCACCTGAACGGGAATTTTTTATTTTATTTTTTTTTTATTTCTTTTTTTTTTCCCCTATTTTGGCTAGTTCTTTTTCATCTGCACAGTGCAGGTGAAACTTGCATAACTTGTCACTTGGCCTCCGTCAATCTGATGGTTCATCGCCCTGTTTATCCCACCATTTAGCGCGTTCTCCGCTTGGTGTTTTCCCCGTAATGTTTACGCATTATGCATATGGGACGGGTTGGGGAGGCTACTTCTTCCGCCACCCCCCCCTCCGTTCCATCACAGCTGGCATGCCATCTGTGCAAAAGGTCGCTCCTTGCCAAATGGGCGGAGGCGCAGGGGGTTCATCTGGGCTGAGTTCATATGTGACGACAGGGACGGTTAGACTGGTGTGCCCGTCATGTTCGTTGCTTGTATGATTTGTCGCATCGGTACATCCTCTCATTCTATAGTGTGTGCTCCCCACTTAGTCTTGACTTTTTTTTTTTTTTTCCCTTACTTTTTGCGGGGCCCTCATACTTCGGAATGACAGCCTCGAGCTCCTCCGTCTGTGTGTGTTTTTCGCGCTGCTCGAAGTGCATTTTGTCAATGTTAAAAAAAAGAAGCAGCGGAGCGAAAATTAAAAAGGAAATTAAAAAGAACAAAAAGGGCCCAAAAAAGTCCTGCACAAATGCTTCCACAATGTGTTCCGAAATCATTTATGGACGAAGTGTGGTGAAGGGTTGCACGATCTCTTTAGGTGAAGCCACCCCCAAGCTGAGCTGTGAAGTGTAGGCAGGGGAAGTGAAGTGTAAGCAAGGACAGTGAAGTTTGGGGAAGGCCAGTTAAGTGTGGGCAAAGGGAGTTAACTGTGGGAAGGGACATTGAATTGTATTTTGACGCGAAGAAAGTAGACAAAAGAGAAAGTGCGCGTTCGCGACTAAGCGGTGGGTACTGCGCGGAGGGGGGGCTCTCATCTACAAAAAGCATTTCCGCGCAGGCTTGTGTAGGTGCGCGTGTGCAGAAAAGTCCATTGCAAGGCAACGCAAGGGCAGAGCTGTCACAGGTGCGGTTGGTGAGAAGCGGCGGTAGAAAAAAGAAAAAAAAAAGAAAAAAAAGAAGAAAAATGAGAAGCAAAAAAGAAGAAAAAAAGAAGAAAAAAAGAAGAAAAAAAGAAGAAAAATGAGAAGAAAAAAAGAAGAAAAATGAGAAAAAAAGAAATAAAAGAAACAAAAAAGAAAAAACACTGGTGGCGCAAGAACTTCCAACGAGTGACAGATCAAAAATCGGCGATTTGTTCTTCCGCCGCGGGGTTGTAGGTTGCTTTAGGGAGTTATCTTTTCCCTTCGTTGTTCTTTCGTTTGCTTCTTCCTTTGCTTCTTCGTTCCTTTGTTGTTCCTTCTTCTTGCTTGCTTGCTTCCTTTTTTTTTTTTTCACGCCCCGCTATGCCTATCTCTACGACGCGCCTTTGTGTAAATCTACGCTGATGGTGTAATTTCTGTCGACAACTTTTTTGAGCGCCCCAGGTTACAGTTGGCCAAGCGATCGATCGAACACGACATCTCCTCCCTGCCAACCGTTCGTGAGAATAGGAAAATTTTTGCACAGTGGTTTTTTATCCGCGAATGGGTACTATATTTTTGTGTTGTTCGAAGTGGGAAGAATTGAAGGGGAAGAAAAAAAAAAAAAAAAAAAGAAAAATACACCGCTGGGGCTGCTTTTCCAAATAGAGGGAGTGGCCCTTTCTCCTTCACTCCGCGAGCAGCCAAGTGACGCCCCTTTTTTTTTATACAAACTGTTCTTTTAAATTCGCGAAAAATATGATCTTCGAAAAGGCGTTTCAGCTACACCGCAGGGGGAGGAACAAAAAGGTAAAAAAAGAGGGGAAATAAAGGAAAATAAAGCAACCAGGCAAGAGAACAAAAAAACAAACAGACAGAGCGGTCTACCCCCCACGACGGTCGAACTGCCCTCTTGGTGCTCACCCGTCCCTCAGTGTTCTATTTTTCCTTAAGAGGGAAGAGGCGGGGATGGGCGACAGGTAGAATCGGCAAGTAGAATGGAGAAGTAGAAGCGACAAGCAGGAGCTAAGGGTAGGGTAATTTGCCCCGCGATGTTTTGTTCTACCTTTCTTTTGTGTGCTTAATTTTGCTCCTTCTTTTGCCATTTCCCTTTTGTGTTTTTTTTTTTTTTTCCTCCAACACTCCGCCCTCATCTCAGGGCATGTTCCCCATTTCTCTGGCGTGTGTTTATATACCCTCCCTCCCCATAAAGGTGTACCTTTTCCTACACCACTTCGTGTCGGCGAGCAAGTCTTCCATTTTCGTTTCACATGAGGTGTCCTCTAAGGAACTCCTCCATAACAGAGGAGTTCAAAAAAAAAAAAAAAAAAAAAATCTGACCATGCTGAAAGGTGGTCAACCTTCGCAGGGATGGTCGAAGTGGCAATGACGGGAATATTTTCGTTGGAGTGTAGGGGGCGCACGGAAAATGGTTTTTACCACTTCCCTTTTGTGGCACCAAGGAGGAGTTGTATGTGCGGGGGAGCGGCCTGGAAAAAAAGAAAAAAAAAAAAGTCACACCCACGATCATAATATTAATCGGAATCCCGATCGGGGTAAAGCGGCCCAGCGAATCGGGGCAGTAAGGCTCCTCAGCAAAAGTCGCCTCAATAAGTTGCCCCAATAAGTTGCCCCCGTGAGGCCTCCCAACCGCATGGAATGAACCTCATGAAAACACTTCGCCTGGCGATGAACCCCCAGAAGAGGTTAAAATAGGCTTCTTTTTCCCGTGATAATGACATGCACGGGACGGGAGCCGCCAAAACGAATCAGCAAGTCCTCCATTAAAACAGGGAGAGCGAGTGAAAAAAAAAGGGAATCTTCTATATTTTATAGTGACCCTTTTCGTTTGAGTAACACCCATTTGGGAAGCGCCCCTTTTTTTTCTTTTATATTTATTCCCTTCCGCTCAACCTTTTTGAGGAAGCACTTCCCCCCTATTATAACTGCATCTGCTGTTGGTGGGATGCTCCCCAGGGGGAGGCGGGGTAGTCCAACGGTTGATTAGCGGTCCACTCGTTCGCTTCGTTGCCGACTCAGTGTCCTACCCCAGGGGGACGTAGGCCCTCTGGAAGGTTTGTTTTACGCAGCTGGTTCGGCCTAGCGATCTGCTTCGTTATCTGCTTCGTTATCTGCTTCGTTATCTGCTTCTCCATCCGCTTATCGATCCGCTTCTCTATCCGGTTCTCTAGGGGCGATTCGATCCTCTTCGCAATCCATTTCTCTAGGGGGGACTCCCCACCCAATTGGACAAGGCCGCGTTGCTCCTCACCCACCGAGTGGCACTACCCACTCCTTGCACGCCCCCCGAAGGATGGAATCAATCAGCTTTAACATCAAAGTGCCGCTGCTCGAGAAGGCGGCCACAAACGTCATGGACATCATCTCACACATCAGGCTGAACGATGGAGTCTACTTCGATCGCAGCAAATATAACAAGGATGAAATTATGGACGATCTAAGAAGCAGCAACGACCAGAAGAAGGTAGAGGCGGTTAAGCGTCTCCTCATCGCGCATGCCATGAAGGAGGACGTCTCTGAATTCTACGTGGAAGTCTCAAATAATCTATCCAATAAAGACCCAACACTGAAGAAGCTAATCTATCATTATTTATCTCTCTATGCTGATCGGAATGGCGACCTGACGATGCTTACTGTTAACTCGTTTAAGAAGGACATCATCAGTATGGACTTCCAAATACGTGCCTACGCGTTGAGGGCCATGTGCTCCTGTCGTTCCCTCGAGATGATAAGTGTCGTCATGGATTCACTTAAGATAATGGCGAAGGATCGATCTCCCTATGTGAGAAAAACCGCCGCCGATGTGATCCCATCTATATACAATGTCGATCCTGATCAGTTAGTCTTTTTGCGAAACATTTTACTGGACCTGATTGGTGACAGGGAGGTGACCGTCGTTTCCGCCGCCGTGGCTTCCTTCTGCACCATGTATTTGGAGGTCCTTCCCCAGGGGGGTGAAACAATCCACGGGGGGCTGGCGGACGAGCCAGGGGGGGAAATTACGAAGGAAAACCCCGATGAGGAGGCACCCCGGAATGGCAGCACTGACGAGATGGCTTCTACGAAAGGAGGAAACACCAATGGGGGCAATACCAATCGGGGCAACACCCCCAATGGGATTCACCGCGAGAACCTGCACAATTTGCTCTCCTTCCTTCACCCGCACTATTACAAATTGTGCAGGTACTTACTGATGATGCACCCCTTCCACCAGACGTACCTAATCGATTTGCTTCTTCGATACTGCCGGGTGTTTTATCGAGACCCCCTTACAAATGAGAATATGAATTTTAAGCAACTGCTTAGCCTTTTCCGTTGCTCCGATGGAGGTGAAACTGAGGAGGGTGCAAATGAGGCGGAGGAACAATCCCCCTTTCCTCAAGTGATCTCCGAGGCGGGGCAAAAATGGGATAGTCGTCCTGGGGAGGATTCTTCCCCTAGTGTAGAGTGCATTCCTCGTAACGGTGCAGGCACTTCCCACAGAAGAAGGAGCCCCTCCCCATACCACTCCTACTACAGCACGGACGAAGAGTGGAGCGACGACCAGGAGGAGGATCACCCGCATCAGCATTCGCAGCGCTACCGAGTGGACATCGAGCTGTACATTGAGAAGCTGCTTCTCCTGTTGTCCTCCTGTAGCTACAACGTAGTCATACAATCCATATCAGCTCTGTACCACCTGACGAAGTTTACCTTCAAGGAAAACATAATCCAAGCCATCATCTCGTCTATCATGAGGAGTTCCATCGAGGGGAATGACCACACGTATGTTCTCTTTATTAGAAGTGTTCAATCGATTGTAATTCATTTGAGACAAGACTTCGCTCCTTACCTGTCCTTGTTCTACATTAGCGCCCTAGACAGTATCGTCAAAAAGAGTATCAAAATTGACCTCCTTTATATACTAAGTAATGAGGAGAATAGAACAATCGTTTTGGAGGAACTGCTGCATGCTCTCTTTCAGCCGGGAAACGATGATCCCCTTGTGAAGAAGCTATTCAGACACATCACTGCAGTGGCTGTGGTAGATTCGTCATGTCTCTCCACCGTCATGCAACACATCATCTCTCTCCTAAATTGCAGTCTCCAGTTGTATTCGTATGAAGCCATTCTTTCGTTAAGGCAGCTACTCAGGCAGAGTGACTCACAGCGTATCGCCGAAATTAACTTTTTCTTGACTCGCATTTTTTTTACCATTGAGTCGACGGAAGTACAAGTGTCCGTTTTGTGGACGCTGGCCAAATATCAGAACTTCTCCGACCATCTGCTTCTTTACGATTTTGCGCGCATGTTGGTGAAGCGCTTCGAGGACATGGAGGGGGCGCTGAAGGTCCAGGTTCTCCACTTCTTCATGAAGGTGTGGGCCTACCAGTACGCCAGATGGTTCCTCCAAGGTGCAGAGGCGGGTGAGGGGCGGAGCGGTGCAGAGACAGGTGAGAAGCGCGCCTGGGAGAGACCCGCCACAACCACGAGTATCTACCAAGAGCAGCACAGCAAGATCGCAAACGGAACGAACAACCACGCGGGGAAGGCGGTGGACGTGGCGAACGTGGCGCACCACATGGAACGCCACGAGGCCTACCACCTGGAGGACTTCTCCAAATACGAGCGTCTATGCAGGTTGGCCCTTTTGCAGGGATCACGCCCTGAGGAGCGTTTCGACATCCAGGAGACGAGTAAATTTTACGCCAACATCATGCTGAGGATAAGGCAGCTAGCAGACAAATGTGATCTCAACTGGACCTTTTGGCAGAGGGACCTCTACAAAGAAGCAGTTAGCGAATACACTCTGTCTCTGTGCTACTTGAAGCACGTTATTCTCAGCACCGGCAATGGAGATCCTTCAGCGGTGTTGCGTCTCAGTATGGAGGAAATGCAGCATGTGCGTAACTCTCCCGTTGGGACAGCTCAGGGGGAGGAGCACAATGATTATGGAGAGTATCACTTAGACTTGGACCATCACTCCAGTGGCAGCGGCAATAATGGCTGCGTCTATGGGGACGTCCAAATAGATCTGAAGAATCCAGTTGTCCTGCAGCTGAATACCATGTCTAGCATTCTCAACAGAAGACTCCCATCCTATGTGGAGCTACCCGACTTTGCGGAGGATGATTTGCCCAGAAGCGCACACATGACAAATAGGAAAAAAACGAAGCAGCCCGTGACAAGTATCTCTTCGAGGGATGTAAAGATCAGCTACAGTGCCCAGTTGAGCAATGATCAGATTTTTTCCGACGTGGACGATTTTTACAGGGAGGAGGGGGGCAATCTCGTGGAGAGGCACACGGGCTGCACACAAAAGACGCCGCGAAATGCGCACAAACCGATGCTGCAATCCAGAAGCGGACTGTTAACAAACAGGGGGACCAAAATTCAGGGCGAGGATGACGAGTCAGACGAGTCTAACAAGTCTGATCAGTCTGACCAGTTTGATGAGGAGCAGAATGAAGCCTCCCCCAAAGTAGGCTATAGTGCAGATACATACCTAGGGGAGTGCACCTCCCCCACCAATTTTTCCAAAATAGACGAGCAGCAAATAAATGACATAGAAAAGTTCTTCTTCAGTGATGAGGAGTATTTCGAGAGGGAGCCGAATGAAAAGTCAACACAACTGCGGGAGCAGACAGAGGGTGATTCTTTTACGTGAGCGTTTGTTTTTATGGACACGCAATTCCCTTTTATGTGAACGTTCGTAACATGTGAAGCGAAAAAATATGAACAGGTCAGGTGGGAAGAAAATCATTTTGGCTAGTTTGTTCGCGTTTGCAATTTTATCGCCTGACCTGTTCATATTTTTTTTTTTTTTGTTTTTTTCTTTATTCACACATGTGCATACAGGAGAGGGCGAAATATGTCCCCCCGATGCAATCCCCTAGTGGAGAGAAGAACCGACCCCCGCTGAACATTACGAATGAGTTAATGTGGAAGATTTAGTCTTCTGCAGCACCCTGCAGCTGCAGGTTGTGTGTGTGCGTTTTTTTTTTTTTTTTTTTTTCTTTTTCGCGTGGATGACGTGAAATAAAAATGGTATGGGCCCATGAACGAGCAACTGCAGTTGCATCGTCCGGGGGGGGAGGATTGAACTCTCTCGTTGGGTCACGGCCCATGTATGGAGCCCTTACCCCCATGTTAACGCATCGAAAGGGGGAGCATCTATGTGGATACTAACCTTCCCCCCCGCTGTTCACATTTCTATTTGAAGAAAATACATATACACAATAAAAAAGTACTAAAAAAGATATGTATTTATTTTAATGAACAGAACGGGCGCTTCCTACATCGGGCGTGCGGGTGCGCATGTGTCCTTATGCGACCATGAAAAAGGGGTCTCTCCAAGCATAGTGCTGCACTCTCAAGAAAGGCGTTGCAGTCGTGAGCACCCCCCCACACACAGAGAGACACAGAGACAAATGGGCAGACACCGAAACAAATAGGCAGACACCGAGACACACTTCACAGCTGTAACCCCACGGCGCGGGCCCCCTCAGCTAAGGCCTCCACCTTCCCGGCGTACTTAAACTTGCCTCTATCAAATTTCACCTTAAAAATGCCTTTATTTAAGGCTTTCCTTGCGATGTCCTTCCCAATTTCCCACCCGGATTTAATAGTCCTCCCATTATTCACGACTCGGTTGGTTGTCTTTTTTCTGTACGTGCCTAACACACTAGATAAGTTTGGATCTCGCGAACAGGAGAAGCAGAGTATATGTCTCCTGTAGTCATCCACCACCGTCGCATATATATGATTATTAGTGTTTTTAATCCTTAGCCTTGGTACTCTCTTACCTTGAAGAATCTCCTTGTCGACGTCTACACTGGGGTTGTCCGACACGTCTCTCTTCTCCAGCTTCTGCAGCGTCTCCACTTTTTCCACCTTTTCCACCTTCTCCGCATGCTCGCGGAGCAGCCTTTCCAGAGCGCTCTTCGGGGGGAGAGAAAAAAAAGAAAAAAAAAAAAAATGAAAAATAAAAGATAACGGAGGAGTTACGTCGAAAGGTCACACCTTTGCTTGTGTGTCAAGTTATGGAACTCCGCATGGGGTGTTGCTGGACACCTCTGTGGAATGCTGGGCACACGTGAGGAAATTTCCCTCCCCCTTTTTTTTTCCCTTTTTTAATTACATTTTTTTTTTTCTTCTTTTTTTCCTTCAATTTCTTAACCTTCCCCTGGGGGAGTTGTTCAGGTGCGGCTTTCTTTCTGTTCGGTGACGAGAACAAGGGGAAGGGACTCCTTGGAAAGACCGCCCTGTTGGTTGTAAAGCTGTGCAATACGTCGAGGTAAAGGAAAAGGAGGGGGACAAGGAGAGCGGGAGCGTTCATAGTAAACGCGCCATTTAACTGTGCTAAGGCGGTTAAGGGGTTAAGCGGCTAATCGGCTAATTGGCTAAATGGCGCAATAACCCTGGAGAGAAAAAAATCCTTTTTACAAAATGACACTCGGCCCGTGGCAACACCGTGAGGTTCCCTTTTCGACGAGTGACAAACTTGTTTCGATGAAAATGGTCAGTTGGGTTGCCGGGCGGGCAAACGAATTCACGCATCCCTCTTCAGGGGTAAGCACGTGGGGGAAGAAATACATAGGCACAAAATTACGTGGGCGAAGCAACACGTTTGCACTCCACTCTGTATAAGTACACGCCTTTGGCCTTTGCTGGGAACCTCCGCCCTTCCTCCTCCAAAAATGGGTCACATGAATGGGGGGGGGTGTTCATTTGGGAGGTGCTAACTTTCTGCTAACTTCTTCAATTCGCGGTTAAGCTACTAATGTGGCGGCACATAACATGGCGGTTTGTGTACATCTCTCCTTAAGGCACTCCGCCTCAGAGGGCACGCTGCGGAGTCGTTCGGTCGGGGCGATGAGAAGGGAGGCAGCCAAAAAAGAAGCATCTTCAGAGGCACGCATCTGCACAGGCAGCCATCTCTATGAATACGCACCTGTATGAACATGCGCCCAGAGGTCGAAATTTTCCTCCCCCCCAGGTCCTAAACCCAGGCGATTTAAAAAAAAAAAAAAAAAA